AAAACGTCACATACAATTACATATTTCTCATTGACTCCCAAGTATTTGAGATTCGATTCGAAAAAAATATTCGATTCGATTCTGAAATGACCAGTTATTCGAAAATGCCCATCCCTAACCGTGCTAAGCGTTAGGAACAGTATGTTCCCAAGCTTTTCATTTTAGAGGGGTGTTTCCAAATTTAGGGGGTGGTAAAATTTTTGCAACTTTGGAGTGTTTTGGGGTCGTTTAATTGCAGAAAGCTATGTAACTAATACAGAATTGGATCGTAAATTCTAATAAATCATGTGGTATTGGTGTCTTCCGAAATGGTACTTTAATTTCAAAAGTATGGAAAAGTATACAAAGACAGCAAATCTCAATATTTTATATGACAATAATCTGGAGACTGAAAAAATGGAATTCCACCGATAGCTAGAATTATTGCTGAAATCAAATTGGCACCTAAATTTAGTGGAGCGTAAATTTTTCATAGTTTATAATTCTCGAGTTAGTGAGTCAAGTGCCATCCGAGTCAAATACGGAATCCCAACGGATTTCAAAAATTGCGTCGATTCACTGTATTCTCGAGTCCCTGCTCTTTCGTGTAATAAATAGATCGGCGTGAGTTGAAGTAATTCATAAACAACGGTAAATTAATCACTCGCTAACTTATGTGCCTCCAACACTAACCAATCGATAGTTTCCAAGACAAAACTGGTATGGGAAGGTGGGGCACAGTGGAAAATCAGCGATACGACTTTTACTGTACTCGTATGTTTATGTATGTTTTTCGATGTTTGATTCCGCCTTTTGGTGCGATACGACATGCCCGCGACGGAAGCTATGAGATAAAATTGGCTTTGAGAGGTTGAAACTAAAATTTCGTCATTTTTTCTTTATTTTCTACTTTAGCATTTCTAAAAGTAAATACCACTGTCTGGTATTTCTTTGCTTTAGCCCACTTGGGGCGGTCTGAAAATCTCCTATGAGAAGCAATGCCAAATCTTTCCAAATTTGATGCCCAGACTTCTTGAGATGGTGATTCTTCGCTGAATTTTAACGCCATACTTCGTTCAGTTTAATCGAGCGCCAGGGAATTTCTTAGTCGCAAATGAATGCGCAAGTTGAAGGGCTCAAAAGTTTCAAAAGAAAAAAAGTGTCCCAACCTTCCTCCTATCTGCAATTTCACAACAACTTTATCAATTTAATAATTGAAATTCATGGTAAAGTTTCTCTTTCTGACAATTATCAAATCATCCAATTCAGATTATCAGAAAACGCCGCATCTAGCAAGTCTATAATGGGCGCGTCTGACAATATGCATGCCTTAAAATACCTAATTAATCTAGTTTTGGAAACACGAGTATCTCAGACATAGTGTGATTAGGCTGGCATTTTTAAGATCACCGCGCAAAAAATGTTATTGATAATAAAGTAGCATTTTGTGGCCTGTATTCAGATATTAGCAAACCCATAGTTCAACTCGACAAGGCGCATTTACTACGCGCTGTGTTTTATATTAGGGCGTCTAGTTGGCGATTATTTATAACCAAATGAGGAATATATTTTAGGATTCGTATGTTGTGGGAGATAATTATACGCAAGGATTGCTGGACTCCTCGCAGCCGTAAGTTCCGTGGTACGCCATGTGAATAGGTCATCTAATAGGCCTTCTTCTCCCGCTGAATTAATATGTAAATCTTATTCTAATCGGTTGTCAAATGCTCGCAACGCAATAGCAGAAGGCAAACAACGACGCGGAATGGAAGGAGTGATGCCTATCATACAAACGCTAGGGGTATCTCTAGTTTGTGTTCAGATTTTAGGTTCAGTTAGATATAATTCCACATGATAAACTTAAATTTGGTACATGACTTTGTGAATATACCGATAATAGCGCCATAAAATCATGGCAAGAGACGCCGCGGTTCGTTCGCGATAGGATCTGCCATGAAGTGGTGATTATAAGAACTGCGCCTCAAAAATGACGTGAACCACTTTTGAAAAGTTACCATTCCGTCTGTTGCACTGCTTGATCATACACCATGATGATTGAAATTAGCATTATAAATTAAGGTTTTAATTATTTTTTCATTTTAGGTCAATGAGAGAAAGGTATTCTATGCAAATGTAAAAAAATGTAGTATTAAATGCTGGAAACCCTTTTATAAAACGACTCAAGTCACCACTTTACAACCCAGCCGTGATGCTGCCGCAGAAAACATGACTGAGCAAAATTACAATGGCTTAGTTGGTCGACGGACTGCCTTCATGTCGTCTGTCTGAAAAACTTAGGAATATTTGTAGTACCGGGGCTATCAGGCTAGAGACTGTTTTTAGTGATATTGCCGCACCGCTCATGTATATATCTCAGAATTATTTGTCTTTCCTTCTTTGTTTTTTCACTGGCAAGTACGAGTACCGGTATTGGATTGCCAAAACATTCCGGGACACCTTAACAACTAGAATTTGAAAATTAATGAAACAAAAGCGTGTGAATCACGAAAGACATCAAAATAAACAGTGTATGCTGTTCGTTGAAGAGTGATCATCGCGCAGCTATTTTCATAGATTCAAGCCTCTAAATAATTTTAACTTAATCAAAAAAACTTGAATGTTGAATCTTTGAGGCATAAATACAAACTAATCGGTCCAATCCAGTGGATCTCAAATTTTTTAAGCTGCGATTCCTTTCTATAATTTAGCAAGTGCCGCGCCCCACCTCAAAAATGACTAGTTCACAATAAGATACAATTCCGTTCCGGCCGTCGTCGGGTGCGGACGTGTCTGCTTGAAAAGACTAGAGAATGCTACGCGGTGTATGTTTCGGTATTTGTATCGCATAATATCAACATGAGCAAAGCCCATCCAACGGAATTAAAGAAGTTTATGGATAAAAGATTGGATTTAAAGTTAAATGGTGAATGATCTGTTACGGATATATTGCGAGGTTTCGATCCTTTCATGAATCTAGTTGTGGATGATGGAACAGAGCGCAGAAAAGATGGGACCACTGCACCTGTTGGAATGGTGGTCGTTCGTGGAAATTCGACATTAATGTTGGAAGCATTAGAACGGATACAATGATTCTGCCCTGGGATAGTGGATTTCATTTTCTAAAATTTGGTAGATCAGAAAATTCTTAAGATAGGACTCTTTCAATTCTTGATAATTTCAGTGCAAGCAGGGCTGGAGAGCTGGTTCGAAATCATATTGGCTCCATCTCACATTATATTTCAAACTGTGGCCCCAGTTCAGGCGCTTCATTTTTCTATGTTCAGATGACTCTTTAACATTAAACAAGGATCCACTGGAAGGCACTGAATAGCTTTCCAGTTCGCCTAAGATTTTAACATAGTTTGTTATAAACACCACACCATCACAGCACTATTTTTTTAGTTGGTCAACACCCAAAAGCACCTCTTTCAGCAATTTTTGTCAGTCATTTAATGTTCGAACAAAGTCTTCATTCAAGCGACCTGTTTATTCTAATAACAATTTTCCTTTACCATTTGCAGTGTTATTCCTACAATCACTTCATTTTCTTGTTACACATAAAAACGATGTTTTTTATCTGTATGACCCCTCTTTAATATAAACTCATTGTTGTCACTGTTATTCACAAATTTTAATTATTTGAAGTTATTGCCCGATTCTGTATCGTGTATTTTTGTTTTATTGTGTTATTTGACTGTTTTTGGGGGACGGGCGCGTATTTTCACGTTTTTAACTTTTATTTAAGTTATGCCCGTCCTCCAGGTCCTCTGTGTTTTGTGTTTGTTCGTTTGTCATTGTTTTATACCAGAGCGACCGAAATAAAATTGATTGATTGATTGATTGATACAAATAACAGATAGTAATGCGAAATAATTTTTTATTCAAAAAATGCTTTTGAAGATGGAGCATAAATAATTGTTTTTGGCTGACAAAATAAGAAATGTAAATATCCAAAATAGGGGGGGCAAGATCAAATCTAACGAACATTTTTATTTTTAATTAGCTTCACGCCCCCTCAAAAAATTGTCTGCGCCCCCCTTGTGGGGCGCGCCTCACCGTTCGAGAACCACTGATCTAAACCTGTGTTCACATTTACTTTTAACCTTCTTTCTTACTTGCCATTAACCGACTTACAGCTACAGAACCGCTTTTAAAACTACCTATCTGCATTTTTTTTAATTGATATACCAAGTTGAATTGATGCTCTTAAATTACAGAATTAAGGTGACTGATGTAAATGTGCAATCCATTTTGCAATTGTTTCAACTTATTTGATTATTATGTCATCTGAAAGTCACGGTTGTAGAAAAACATGTCTTATCGAAAAGTTTCAACTCACTTCTATTCGAATAACCCATACAGATATTTGCTTGAATTACATTCGTTTCCACTTTTTGAACGAAGCCAGCAACCTTACATGGCCTTCTATCTTAGAACGCTGTGGAACGGGACAAGCGTAGCCCAGCCCGGGACGCCAGACATCAATTTCGGGATTGTCCCGGCCAGGGTTGGTAGCCCTAGTCGAGTAACTCATGGTTTGGCGCCCACTGGACCAAATCCCAGAGAAATGCGAAAATTAGCATTGCTAGTTTGGATTTATAGCGTCAAGAGACTAGAATGAAGTTTATAGCGCAAACTGGATATTGCACGCTATAAAAGGTTTTGTCTAATTTTCCAATTGTCTTTTGTTTGTGTGAAGTTTAGCTATTGGAATCGTGACTTTTGTATGTTCACTTAATCCACGCATTTTATTCCAAAATTTGATATTATGATATTCTTTGTTTTGATTTCCTCAGGTTAATTAATGGGATCTACAGAGACGTCTTAAATCCTATGTTGAAGTTAATTCAGTAGGCGAATGCTCCCATGTGTCGTCAATAGTTTTTTATATGGCTGGTAGAGATAAGAAGAGATCATCACCCCGTAAACGTACACGTAAACCGAGTAAAAGTGTTGAGCGTTCAAATTCAACAACTTCACCAAATAAAAGTCCTTCACGAAGCAATCAAGCGAAACCTACTGTAAATAGTCCCAAAAAACGGGCAAAACGTGAAATATTAGACGAAAATTCACGAGAAAGTAACCGGTAACGGTAAAGAATCGGAACAAAAACCCTCAGAAGCGTCACTTTTAGTTGACGTTTTAAATAAACAAGCCACAATCATGATGAAAACTAGGAGCTCAAAAGCTAAATATCATGAGGAACGCGGAGAGGCAGCGGCAATACAGAAACTGGCAACCTCTGTTGCTAAAATGGAAATTGATACTTATCAAAGTGAGGGTGGTATTGAACAATATTACCACACAAAAATCCAAGATCTACAGATGACTGTAAATGAAAAAGCAAAAAATGTTCGCCGACTCCAAGCTCAAAGAAATGAGCTTAATTCTAAAGTTCGCATGTTACGCGAAGAACTCCAGCTTCTGCAGGAACAAGGTTCTTACGTTGGTGAAGTAGTCAAGCCAATTGATAAAAAGAAAGTCCTTGTCAAGGTTCACCCTGAAGGAAAATTTGTTGTCGATATTGACAAAAATATTAAGATCGAAGATGTGACGCCAAACTGTCGCGTCGCCCTTACGAAGTGATAGCTACGTGCTTCACAAAATTTTGCCAAAACAAAGTTGATCCGCTTGTTTCACTTCATGGATGGTAGAGAAAGTTCCTGATTCGACTTATGAGATGGTCGGAGGCCTCGATAAGCAGATCAAAGAAATTAAAGAAGTCATTGAGCTGCCTGTCAAGCATCCTGAGCTGTTTGAAGCTCTTGGAATTGCACAGCCAAAAGGGGTTCTTCTTTACGGCCCCACCTGGAACTGGAAAAACATTATTGGCAAGAGCAGTCGCTCATCACACCGATTGCACCTTCATTCGTGTTTCTGGATCGGAATTGGTTCAAAAGTTCATAGGTGAGGGGTCAAGAATGGTGCTGTGAATTATTTGTTATGGCTCGTGAGCATGCTCCCTCGATTATATTCATGGATGAAATTGATTCTATTGGTTCTTCGAGATTGGAAAGTGGTTCTGGAGGAGGGGATTCTGAAGTACAGCGAACTATGCTGGAACTTCTAAATCAACTTGACGGCTTCGAAGCTCATCAGAACATCAAAGTTATCATGGCAACGAATCGGATTGATATTTTGGATAACGCTCTTCTTCGACCGGGACGTATTGACCGTAAAATTGAATTCCCACCTCCAAATGAGGATGCTCGTTTGGATATTCTCAAAATCCACTCGAGAAAAATGAATCTTACTAGAGGAATCAATTTGCATAAAATTGCGGAACAAATGCCAGGAGCATCCGGTGCAGAGGTGAAGGGAGTCTGTACTGAAGCTGGAATGTACGCTCTAAGAGAACGAAGAGTACACGTCACACAAGAAGATTTTGAAATGGCTGTAGCGAAAATTATGCTAAAGGACACTGAGAGGAACATGTCAATCAAAAAACTATGGAAGTAAACATTACGCTGCTTATAGTAGCAATAGGACATTTCTCAGACTATTTTGTTCCTGTTTATCTTAAAATTTGATATCACAAAACATTAGAATTTGTGCAAATATTAATGGCCAGAAGTTTGGTATAATTTATTGACTTTTGAGGGTAAAACGATATAGACCTATTTGAACAATTGCTTAGATTAGAACATCTTGGATTGCATTTTAGAACAATTATGATCTATAAGTGGAAATCCATGACACTTGTACTCCATAGGAAAATCCGAGGCATATTTTGTCAGATTTATACTTTCAAAAATGACATGTTAAATCCGGGAAATTAGATAATAAACAAAAATTTGGAATCGTTAATAATCGCAAAATACCACATAACAATTACTATTAGGCAGTATTCTGTTTCTATGGGTTCTGATTAATTATAGCCTTGATTAGCTCTGCAGTGTAGGCTACACATCATTTCAAATGCTCCTAATTGTTTTGTACATGTCATCTATGTGGTATTGAAATAGTGTAAATGCAAGTGTTCATTTATATAAAGTTTTACAATTCCAATAACGATTCAATAATACTACAATACACTGATAGTTCAATAACTCAGACAGGCTGATTTCCAAAGATAATTTTCAGCATGGATTAGTGAGCACATTTGTTATATTCATATATTTTAAATAGGGATATCAAAAATGAAGTTTTGAAAGCATTCAAAATCCGTTCGCTATTCAAACAGAGAACATTATTCTCTCGAATGATTTAGATTATGCTTTTGAAATTTGATTGTCGAAACCGTTTATGAATTAGTGCTATACAATACCATAAATCCCTGCCTTATTCAGAATTCGTTTTGAGATTTTTTGAAGTGTAAAAGTCGAACTGGTTACGGATCTAGATTTGAAATTATTGGTATTCATATCGTAAATAATTTTAGTGCATATGAAATATGATGATGAAGTAACAGTAAGTTCTGATAACCTATGAACAATGTCCACCCTGTTTTTCATGCATTAAAAAAATGAACCCATATTGAGTGTGTTTACATTTTCGGTAATGAATATCCAACAATAACTTCATTTCCAAATAATTTTTGATATCCATGATCTCACTATGACAATTTTCAAGCCTGAGACTACAGAATGAGCATCATTGTATATAGGGAAATACTTGAATTGTGTTAGTTATTGCACCACATTGTTTTGAGTCTATTTGTTAAGCTGGCTGGCTATGACTTTCCCAATTTGTTCAAAATAATAAAATCTTTCTTTCAATAATTTGTTTCCTAAGCTATGTTATATAAAATGGCTTTTGTGTGCATGTGCAGCATTGGAAACGAGGTCTGGCATTTGTTGAAGGCATCAAGTTGAGTAATCCCGTAGCGTGTGCACCAGGTTAGGATTAGGCCATAATTTATTTCCAATTTTCCTTATTTTAGTTCTATTACGAGTTCAGGGACTGTCTGTGTTAGCCAAGTGCATATAATCCCTGCCCATAGGCTTCAGTCTCTTTACACAACGTGATGTAAAGTAGGTGTTACCTACATACTTCTGAGGCGCCTTAAGTTGACTGTCTGAAATAGGGTTTGTCAGCGCAAAAGTTCTGTAGGTGGAATTTCATTATCAAAGAGGTGACAGATGGAGTCAAATTTTTCGAATCGTAAGTTAAATTTCTGACTTCACAGCAATGGGAACATTCATGACTCGTCTGCCTCGAACTTCAAGAAAATTAGGGTTCACTGCTATTTCCCGTAACCCAGTTGGAGGGGATTACAATGCTAGGAGAAAAACTGATTTTCCTTTCACTTCACAAGAAACTCCTTGTTCCTATTGTTTGATAAGTCACTTATTTCACAGGGCATTTTCATTTTGTTGCGCATAAATTGTGAAATAAACCTATCAAAATAACACTATGAATACCACTGAAATGAAAAACTGGGGGCCATGAGTGCCAAAAGCCTAGGCCATGAGGAACATCATCAGATGACACACTGTCACGCATACAATCAAAATAGTGTTTCGAATATGGGTTATTAAATGAAATTGATTTAGAATCAACTCATTTCGGATATAGCTTTAGCAAAGCGATCATATTTTTCTGATTTTGTGAAACTTAGTGTGGTGATAAGATAAATTACAAATTACTGAATGACAATCTGCTGCTCCACTGTAAATTCTTGTTAATTGTAAGCTTGAACGATTTGGACCATCCATTACATACTGCATAGATAAGTCGGCACTCCAATTTTCCTTATTTTAGTTCAATTACGAGTTCGGGGACTGTCTGTTAGTCAAGTAAATATACCCACTGCCCATATGTTTCAGTCCCTTTGCATAACTTAATGTAAAGTAGGCGAACAAAATTAGTTACCACCATATTGGTACACATACTTCTGGAGCGCCGATAAGTCTGTATATAGCCCTTGGTGATTCAGTGGATGTTAATGATTCTTTTATCAGTGATCTTGCGAATTTGCATAATCACAAATGTATAGGAAATATTTCTGCACCAGTAACATTCTTATTCACAAAAAAACATATCATAATGCATATTTCATTTCTTTATTAAATTGCACTACAAATCGGCATTGTATATTGTTATTACAAGAAAAATATCTTGGTCCGATAACATATTTAGGTACGGTTGTTCCATAAAATGAACTAATCAGGGTATGTGTGATAGATACATACTTGACAAAGGTAGGTAGGGGTATGTGTGTAAAGTAATGCATGTCAAAATTGGAAAAATAAGACTGCTTGTGCAACACATTGTGTACGTGTTTAGTACACAAGGGCAATACCAGGCACATGTGGATATTTGACAAATGCCTAACAACATGGTTAGTACCATGTGTGAATGTGACTCCTACTTGGCAAAAATGGGACCTGCATGAAATTTGTGGGGCAAAGGCAAGAACACGTGTACCTATATGAGCCTATGTACATGCGTAATAATGACATATGGCTCGCTCAAGCACATACTTTCAAATAGGGAGTATCGTAAAAAAAATGTTTAATATGAAACTCAAATCGAAGTGTTATCATTTAATTGAAATGTGATTAACATGGTGTTATAGGCTAAAGAAAATTTGAAGAACAAGAATATTCATCTAATAACATCACCCAGATACTGTACAATATGCTCACTAAAATCTCATACTATTTGAAATTGACGATTTCAATGAAGGGATTTTTTGCATACCAGATTAGGACTACAATTTTTCCAAACCAAACCAAAAATTCTTGGGGAACACTGTTTATAATGAACATATAATGCCAAACCACCTAAAACTATACTAAGCGAACATATATACACTGTTAATAAAACTGAGTACTGAATACCAAAACACCTAACTGATGTAGGCTACTTGAAATACTTCATATGGATTTGTTGTTTCTGGTCAGTACTAAGCCCTTTTAATTCAAGGCATACAAAAGTGGGCTATGCGGAACATATTTCTAAAGCCTTCAGTGTACCTAATTGCCATTGGCTATGCATCGACTAAATCACGATAGTGCAAACTGCAACCCCAAGGAAAATTTATTCGGCCAGCCGAGAAGTGCCAATATTGAACAAGTTTTCAATTTAATTTGGTCCATGCGTGTAATTCCAATCCCTTTGCGTTGCGAAGACTATAACTGAGTCCAATTCATCTATGACTATGAACAACGCATGTCATAAGTTCAATAACTAACATTTTGGTGCCTGCAACTACTAGATAGCCTCTTTTAAATAAAAGAGCGGCCCACAGTTTCACCCAGTTATTTCTATCTGGCCCTCTTGCTACTTATCGATTTTAATCGGTAAGTATGTTGATAGGTATTTGTCTGTCTGTTAGATGCACGCGATATCTCTCAAAAGCGAGATCGAATCTGCTCCAGATTTTGCATGTGCATTCATCATATCTTGGAAGCCTATTGATTTCGGATGAATTATGTCGTATAATTAGCGAGATATTAATTAATTAGTGATGAGACACAAGGTGCCAGGTAAGAGCGCTGTTTTGGGGGATCCCCTAACTTTCGATCGATAAGTCTTCGGTCTCTGACCGATATTCTCGTATTAAAGGTTGCACCCTCTGGACTAAATCCTTTTTATTAACATTGGCTCACATTTACTTAATGTTACTTTGGGATGACTATATTACCATATTCATTCATATAAATTATAAAAAATAAACATCACACATTTTCTCACAAACACAAAAAACATCCGCATATAAGAAGAAAAATTCAAAATCATATCATTTTTGTGGAACTTGAAAATTGTTAGGGCATGACAAAGAAAACTGTGTAACATAACACATGTAATATGAATTTGAAAGTACTGTCCGCAATAATAGTAATATAATTAAAATCGTTTTTGAGACAGTTAAAAATAAGTGACAAGCAGTATGGAATGGGCAGGGGATATATTCACTAAAACAGACAGTCCCATAACTAGAATTACAATGGGAAAAATCAAAATAAAATCATGACCTAACTCCAACCTGGTACACACGCTACGGGAGTACCCATCCAAAAGCATGAGAACTGTGAAACAAATGAAAAACGACTGATTTCAAATGAGAAATATGAGGGTTTCGTTGCAAACCATATTGTATACACTAATAGCCTTCAAAAAAAGCAGACAGTGTGTAATTGATTACCGCGTAAGCTATAATATAAAAATATGTAGCTGAGCAAAATATAATCTACTCAAGCAGTATATGTTAGTTATTTGATAAATGACTAAATTATAGTTTTGAATATTTATCATTGTAAATGATAATAAAAATGGTTTCGATTAGAAGCCAATAATAAATATCTTGAAAAAAGTTGGTATTTTCTTTGAGTGAGTTTTGATTCAGACGAAGTGACTTCTTGTGCTTCAGGGCAAAATGAATTCCTAAAAAAGGTGAATCATTACTTTTACAAAAATTCACCAAAAAAAAAAGAGTCAGAAGCAGGAGTTGTGTATAAATAAACTGGTCTGGTGGAAAAATAGGGAATCTGGAAACATTTGAAGAATAGCCTAATTCTTTATTTGCTATCAAGGGCTAAGACAATCGAAAAAAGAAAGAGCCAGGACAATCGAAATAAGAAATGGTTCATTTTACAGTAAAATAACAGTGACATTACTGATATTTTCTCATGAAATTTCAGCCAGAAAACTTTTGCTGACAATTTTTATTTAACGAGTTTCAATGATTTTAATGTACAAGGCTTCGGACAAAAAAGCACAATTTTATATCAGAAAAATGTTATTTCCGCAGACACATTGTGAGAGTCTTCAAAATTAGTAATAGGAGTGGTAAAACCAATGAGCCCAAAGCACTGATTTTATTTATCACAATGATCCAGTTTAAGGGCTTAGATATTACAGCACAGTTATATCTTTTATATTTTTATGGAGTGCGTTCGCAACCTCGAAAAAACGTTATGGAGTGCGCGTTCGTAACATCGGAACAACGTAAGTTGTGACCATCGTAACCAAAGGACTCCCTGTATGTTGGATTTGGTTCCATTACATTTGAACCCACGTACATTTGAACACATGACAATTGCACCTGTATGCTATTGCACCTATGGAATTTTTTTTGTTCCACGGATAGTTAAACCCATACTAACCCTAACCCATGGGTTTTAGCACCCGCATATAGATTGAACCCGTGGATATACGCATGGGTTCAAATGTACATGGGTTCAAATGTACGGTCACCGTTGGATTTGCAAATTGAAGGCAGAAATGTAAAAGAAAGCTGGAGAGGGATTGGTATATCAGCATCAGATTGGTCTCAAAACTGATAAAAATGTTTTTCGTATATTAACTGTTCCTTGACTTGCAATACAGTACCCAAAAATAAGTGCAAAATTTTTACTGCTATATCATAAACAGTATGTATGTATGCGTGCTTATTTGCACCAAAGTGTAACATCATCTGCACAATAAATCAATATTATAAAGAGACAGGATACGTGTACAAGATACTGCTGGCCTAAGATACACTTCTGTGAAATATACCCTCACAAATATAACAGCTAAATATATTGAAAGTGAAAATATTTTGAGTAATGTTATGATAAAAGTATAAGTATGTTGGACTTGGATTAAATCTGTCGCAGGGTTGCAAAATCAGCATAACAAACTGGAATGAGGCTTGATGGTCGGAACCAAAAAATCAATGAAAAATATCTGGCCAGGACAAAAGAATTCTGACCAGTCATGCTTCAGTGATTTCAGGTTGGAATTTCTTTTCAATTTCTTGTCAATCAGAGATTACAGCATCCAAAATTTCTAATGATACCGGTGTAATAAGAATAATATGAATCATGTGAATACTAGTATGTCAGTAGTTACCGTACTACTCTTACTATCCATTTATTGTATTGGCATCAACTTTCAGATCGAAGAAAATAATAATATTACATTAATTATAAATTGTGAATAAATTTAACATTTTATTATGTGTATTTCATATGGTTTGAGGGAAAAATAAATGGTTCAAAAATAGGCAAACTGGAAAAAAGGAACATATTGAAAAAGAATTGTGAAAAAGGAATGTTATTGAGAATTTGAACTTTGATTTTTTAAAGGAACAAATTACTGGAAATGAATGTATTATTTTATAAAACTTTCAGTTTTAGCAGTGGTTTCATAAAATATTTCAAAAAATATTAAATAAAAGTCTAATGTCATGAATTTGCTGAAAACAAGTCTATTCCATTTATTTTTGTTAAAGAATGTAGGAAAGACATAACTTCCGGATAACGTAACTGATATAAAACTTTGACACGTTGGAGTGTCCATATAAAGTGGAATTTATATATGCGGGATACAACACTTTTCAGACACATGATGTTTTTTATGTTACATTCAATGCTCTAAAGCCCAAAGCATAGATGAGAATAATCTTTCGCAACTACTGCTCCTCGCCTATACTACATAATTTCATTAGGAGTTAAAATTTCATTGAATAAATAAATCAAAATTTGCCTATTTGAAGTCATAGCAACAAAAACAACTATTTGTACCTAAAGTCGGTGCCACTATAGCATGAGGTCTACCATGTTAGAGTAAAGGTCTCACCTTAATTATTTTGGGTGGAAAGTCATGAAAATTTCAAAGATATGATTATGTGGACCCCTCACTATAGGACTAGTTCGAGGTAGATGCCACACTATGGCATAGTAGCCCGCACACTAAAATAGCACCCTAAAATAATTTTATATAAACGGTCCAAATGTTCTATTTGTCATATCCTGAATGCAGAAGTCCCATAGAAGATATTGCATCTCCTAGACCGACAGTTTTCACAGGGTTTTGACAAACAAGCACAGGCGTCATGAAAAAACTGATTTTACTTGTTTTCCAACTAATTATTGGATTTGAATAGTCCAGTCTAGTATCTTTGGGTTGTTCAACGTTTTCTGGAAGCCCTCCAGCAGTGAGAGGGATAGTACTTTTTAAACGAAGTTCTACCTTTGCAGGATGAACTGAATGAACTCCACATGACTGTGTTGAGGCTATCCTGGCGCCCGCGGCAACAGATGAATCACCATATCTCCATTTTGATGAGTCGAGTGTTGCCACAGTGTGATAAACCAGGGTATGAAAATGGACTCTTGATAATCTTGAGGACGGAATTCGCCGCTTTGAAAACTGTTGCAACATCCAGTGAATGATATCATTCGATACTCCTGGGCTAGGTGGGCCGTCAAGTTCATATTCCGGCTTGCAATGTGGGCCACCATTGGCCTGGCAAGTCATCCACAGCTCTTGCTCATTGAGACCGATAGAATCAACCATGGGCAATATTCTCTCAGTTAAAGCTTTGACAAAAGCTGGATTTGCCATGCTTGCAAGTTCCGTATGAATTGGAACGTTTGTGGATACTTTTGCGAGAGACGCTGCAATTTCAGCTAGTCGACGTTTCCAGTAAGCTTCTGGTTGCCCTTCTAGTAAATGTAGCCCGGTGAGAACAACCATATCTGGGTTAAATTCTTTCAAACTGTCGATGAATTTTTCACTTGCTAGCATTCTACTATTCGTTAAATCGTGTGAAAATATGAAGCGTGAAGCAATTGGGCAAACATGACCTGCCCATTTTTCACCCTTTACGTATTCTAATATAATATGATACTCATCTTCTTCTGCTTTTAACTTCGAGGGAACTATAAGTCTTCTATTCAACATTGGAGAAAGTCCAGGGCCTACCATCCCACCAAATAGAACATGGACATTTTTGGCTGATGCTTGAACAATTGCTTGTGCCATCAAAGCAGCATTGCCACCAACGTATAACTCTGCACCAGGCATTGCTTTTGACATTCCAACTGCCTTTGCAAAAAGTTCTTTGTTGTTCATGAAGCGTTCCCCTCCAGCTCCTTTTGAATGAAAATAGGTGAACACTTCTTGCAGTTGTCGGAGGTTGTTTATGGATTCCCGATCAGTAGCCTTGATTGTAGATTCTTCCTTCTCATCTGTACCAAGCTTTTTCAGGAGATCGGTTCCTTTCACAATGATGTCAATTCCAGCATTAATTCCGATAGCAATTGCATGAAATTTCATGTTCTCTGGTTTTGGGGAATCAATAGTTTTGTTCCATGATTTTGCAATTATTATTTCCATTTCATTGGGGTCGGCCAAATAATCGAAAAAATAATCAGAGATCGGATTTGAAAACCACAATATTCCACCTGCCATGCAGCAGATGAACAAAGCCTTTCTCCAAGTAAATTCCATTATAATTAACTTTAAACCTGTGATTACCTGCTGTTATAAATCTTCAAAACAAACAATAGAACCGATAAGAATGCTTAATCATATGGCAAACCACGGCCTGCTGTATGGTGACCAGTCTTTGTCAGGCATGGGATTAGTTAACCAGTTATCGTCTTGGAGCATGGACTATAATCTCGTTACCAACAAATTATGAACAATCTGACAATAGAGTTGGCCAAACAAACAAAGGATAGATTTAGGAACTATTTGGATTCATCACCTCACTGCAGCATTGCCTCATGCAAATAGGAATACCAGTCACCAGTACAGGTACCGGTAACTATTGGACTAACCTTCAGTTCAATTGAAAAACCATGCCTAATAATATTTTGCCCTTTTCTATCAATAAGAAGTAGATTAGTTACAGATTAATTTTACCCTCAATGATTATTGTTGTTATTTCATTTTGCTGTATACCGGTACCGGTACGGTAGTCTACGGTAGTTAGAGCTTCGAGATTAGTACGGTACGGTACCGGTATTATAACTTCTTTCTTATACCAAACTTTTACTTCTGTTGAATGTTTCTAGGTTGAATCTACACTGTTGTACGTCTTATTCTATTTATTTTTGTGCCATTTGAAACTGATGAAAGATACCAGAAATGCTTACGGTACCTTTTTTGACAAGGGCAAAATAGAAAGGAAACGCTAAAAGCGGGTCGCTCTGGAGAGGGAAAGTCCCCAACTTCGCGGCAGACTTTAGTGACGTGCCACCGGAGTTGATGCGAAACGGGTTTATACCAACAGATAAGATTATTGCACCTCGATTGGTCGACTTATACGGAGGTGTTTTGCCGACGTAGATATTGTAAATTCTATTTCTGTTATTCCTTGAATACCGACTCGTTCATTGGATGCCAAAAACCAGTCCAACCCGATAAATTTCAACACGATCTTTTCTAACTCGAGTCGATTTTCGTGTTTGTGCAACTCAAGTCAAGTTTATTTTTTCCAACCAGTAAAAAAATATCACAATCATAAATTACGACAAAAGAATAATTTACACAGTTTTATTGGTGAAGGAAAGTCGCGGGGAACCAAATCGGTTATGGAGAAGCGAAACCCAAGGTTCTAATATCTAATTGAAAAAAAAAAAATTCTAGCGTTTTGAAACTACCGTGTTTCCCCGAAAATAAGACTAGTTTTATTTCAAGTTTCGTTCGAAAAATAACACTAGGGCTTATTTTCAAGGGATGTCTTCTATTTTCATTGTCAAAAACAAAATTACGAAGTAGTGAATTACGAGATTTTCAAATATACAAAAAATGAAAACCGATATCCATTTGCTTTTGAATAACACGTTCACCTCCCCCACAAGTTTTAGATTAATCTTTTCCAACGTGTAGAGGAGATTTCTTGCTATCGAATAGTTCAAAAAAAAAATTCTTATTTTAAGGGGAGGGTTTATATTGAATTCATTTTTAAAATCCAGGCTAGGTTTTATTTTCGGGGAAGCACGGTACTATGCTTTATATCGACGGTGAATACCGTATGAAATATATAACTATCACCGTTTACCAGAGGCTATATAGGAGAGCTTATACTAATTGATGGAATTTTTGCCTGATTCCCATTTCCCACACAAACATCTTCATCATGGCACTGGCTGACAACATTCTTCATGAGACCTTTTTTTTTCGTAGACATCTAAATGGCACAATATGAAGGAATTACCTAAGACCTAAATGAATAGGAAAATCCAAATTATACAGATAACCATAAATTGCTTATACATAGACAGTCATATCAAATAAAAACAAATATAAGTGAATTACTACGATAAAGTGAGGAAAATATTTCTAGTTTAGTCATGAACTTTCAGGTAACGACTAACATGCTTCAAGGGCATGAAATAAATTATTGCATATACAAACAATGAATACACTCGTTAAATTTAAGTTTATAATTTTAGCAAATGCAAAGAGTAATGTAATAATTTGTAAGATTTCTACTTAAAAAAGCAATGGAATATTAACTTTTTCAACTAGTATTTTCAATTTACCCGTAAATATATACTAATAGATTTAACAAATAGAATTTTTATAGATAGGTGTGTAATTTAGGTCATATTCAGTACATGAAAAGTGACAATGAGGTGTCCACACTCTTGATTTTGCATATTTAATTCATTTCAAATTTGTAATTGCCAGTTTTAGGTTTCCTATATCGCAATTCTGTATTTTGAAATTTTACAATCGCTAATCGCTGCTGTTTCAAGGTCAGGTCGCAAAGGATTTCATACTCGTGAGTATAAACTCGCCCAGATTTTATTTTAAATTCTCAAGTTGTCGAGGTGGTTAGTCAAGTTCTTTTGTTCGAGAGACTTAATTCACTTTATTTTTATGAAACATGGTGAATCATATCATGTCGTCTTCTGAACACTGACAATGACTCTTGAAAATTTGATACTTCCTAGAAGGTCTGATGGGAAGGGAATCGAGCCTCCTCAAATACCCTTTGGTTGTCTTATATATCCTATTTGTGTTTATTGTATCAAATTGTAGACATTTTGCATTTTCACAAAAACAAAAATTTATTATCATTACTTGATTAAACAACAATTAATTAATTTAACATTGCAATAAAAAGCAACCAAGTCATGAACAGCTAATTCAAAACTTCATCGCAGACTATTTCACAGAATATACTTTAACAGTTTTGTCATTATAAAATAAATTATATTTTTGAAGGAATGCTACAAAATTTGCATCATTAGTACTACAGTGCATTTGGCCAAAAAGAGAAAAAATAGAGGAAGTTCAAAGGTTAGATGTTATTTGGCAGAACTTACAGAATGAGTATGTAATATTTAAATTATTAAAATGGATCATTATAAAAAAATGAATTAGGCAGAAAAGAGCATATTTATATAGGCAATTTTATATAGAGAGCTGAAAGTAAAAAAAGTTAATATTTTTTAACATCACAAAAACTCAATTCATTTATCACTATTTAAAACCAAAAATAAATTTGCAAATTCAAGTTTTTAAAACGTTGTGATTAACAACCCTCGATACATAGTTCTATATTTGGCATATTCATATAGTATAGTCAGTAACAGTTAAAAACAACAGAATTCATTTAAAAATAAAAGATTCAAATAATACTTGTTACAAAAAGTATTTTCTCTATACATTGCCGAATATATAGACACACAAAAAATTGTTTTCATGATTTTTGAACCTAAACAGGTATTTGATGCTCATAGAAACAAGAAATTAAAATAGCTAGTATTGTTGATACATGAATTTTGTTAATAAACAATGTAACATTGTCAGTAACTTGTTTGCTTTTAATGAGCACAGTTAATTTTAGAAATTACGAAACAATTGAGGTCAAGTTTCAGATATGAAAGAGGTTTGTTTGGTAAAGTACTGAACAAATTTGTACATGCTCTTTGTGATTATTAGATCAATATTTTCACTAATCGCATTAAAGTTTATATAAGAAGTGTTCATGATCACTAATGAGCAGATCCATCCTTCAATAGATAAAATTCATTTTTCATTCCAGTTCCTCCATTCGATACATGCATGTGGATCGGGGGCACAGTGCAGTCCTTGGACCAATAAAATGGAAATTTGGATGGTTTTGAATCATCTTCTGATTTGATTTCAAGGTAAAGGTGAACAACCATATCTTGAGAGATCGGGAAATCTGGATTACATTTTTCTAAGCAAAATGAGCAAATGTCTTGCTCCAGAGATTCATTGTCACCATTTATGTCTGGAATGGTAAAAGTTTGATTTTTGTTCTTCACATTGACCTTTTTATTCCCATTTAGTGTTAACTCAAGGTTTGATGCATGCCTGTGAATAGGAATGTAAATAGGTTGATAATCTATTGAATCATTAGGCCTAGGTCTATTCAATGTAGCCAACACATAGACCCCCCCACCACACACACACACAGAGTTCATTACTGGCAGGATGAGTAGTAATGTACGATAGAATAGGACTTTCATATATAGAGAGGAAGCCGATACGTCAACTTAATCATATGACTCTGTCTCTTATCCGGTTGCCAGTTCATATAAGGGATGGGATCAGGTAGCAATTGATTTGTTTCAGACGCATGGACTTGATGCGATAGTATGTGACAACAAGTAAGGTTTTAAAGCTCTCTAACTTTTGCATACTAAATGCCAAACTACAAAACTTATTACCTCGCATAAATATTCCCTTCAAGTAGAATTTCACTAGGCCTGCACTTCAGCTCATCAACATAAAGTTTAATGACGAGTATTTGTTGTAAAGGATCAATAATATTTGTGGGACGTTTGATGTAGACAATGTACTTGTATAGTGTCAACAGCGAGTTGATCGCTGAAAAAGTGACTGCACGGAAGCTAAAATAAAAAACAAAGTTGAAAATTATGGAATGTTTATCAATCAGTAGTATATTTTTCACCATACTGAAAATAGGCACAAACATACAAATTGCAATAAATTATAAATAGGCAATATTTCAGGGGGAAGGAGACACAGTAAACCAGTACTGGTTATCGAGCAGTGTTACCCATAAAATAAGTCTATAAAATAATACTAAAAATAACACAAAGAAGAAAAAGTCGAAATAAGTATATGTAAATTGAAAAATATATATATATTTCGAGTCGATCTCCTATAACCAGCAGTCGCTCGCTTAAAATTTAAACAAGAGAAAAGATGACTCCGAACACCACTAACTCTGTAACCATGGAGATGGCAGTAGTGAGCGTTAGTTAATTCAACTTTTTTCAAACTAATTTTTCAAAATTGAGATGGAACATGTTCTAATTAAAAATATCTAACATTGGCAGAACATTAGTGCATTCATATAAAGTGAGACCATCAGAACTAGGAAATATAGAGGATATGTGCCAGTCAATATGGGATAAATGGGGCAAAACATTTTTGAGATTCCCCTTTTAAAAAGAAATCTGTCGTACTTGTTGTACCATTGGTCAGAGAATCTCAATAAAATTCAACATGATCAATGAAAATAATTAAACTATTGTTTAGTTGCATGTATTAGGAACTAGGCCATAGGAAACAGTGTACTTACCCACATAATAATCTGCCGTGGCATTCAATATACTTTCCAACTGTAATTTTCTTCCTGGTCAATTTCTCCCAGTTCAACTTCTTATAGTCACTAGCTTTTTGGATCTACAATAAACACAAATACAAGTTTTAAAAATTAATATTACAGTCTGCCTACTTAAGCTTTTTTTTGCTTTCTTCTGATAGCATTTTACGTTTTATGCCAATATCAGTGTTAGGTAGAAGTCCCTAAGATATGAGTAAGTCAAGTTAATTCACAGGTCATCCAAGGTCAAATCAATCACAGAATTGATTCTCATTGGGGATGACTTGAATAAAGATAAAAAAAAAAACAGCGTTGTCCAGGTAGAACATTGATAAATTATTGAAAAATTTAACTGTATGACATTATTACTAAGAAACTTAACAAAAGATTAGTGCATATATTTATATATATATATTTATATGCACCAAGCTTCATTAATAAGAAAAATGAAATATTTTGGTATTTCATTAACCAAAGAATATAATTATCCTCGTTAAACAGTAATCATAATCAATATAAAGTCTGAAAACATTGAAAATATACTTACAATAACGTTTATAGATGTGCCCTTTGACAGTCGCTCAGTTGCAAGAAATATATGAACTGGTTTTCTAATCTTGATTGTTTTCTCAAGCAATTCGTCAAGCTTGAAAAAAATTGCTGATGTCAGGAAGAGAATATTTTTTTCATTTCTCGTTGGACACTGTATGAAAATTGCAAATGAAATTGAATGAATAGTTCAGCCAACAACAGTCACCACGCCAGAGCAGGCCTGCTGGGTAATACCACCCTCACTTGGCTTATAACAGTGGTTCTCAACTTATACGCACTCTACTATTGGTTCGCAGGAGCCTTTTAAGTGGTACGCATACCAGTGCCACTATCGGTACACAGGAGCCTTTCAAGTGGTACGCGTACTACTATTGGTACGCAGAAGGCAGGAGCCTTTTAAGTGGTACGCATACCACTATTAGTACACAGGAGCCTTTCGAGTGGCACACGTACCACTATTGGTGCACAGCAGCCTTTCAAGTGGTACCACTATTGGTACACAGGAGCCTTTCAAGTGGTACAGGTACCACTATTGGTACAGGTACCACTATTAGTACACAGGAATCTTTCAAGTGGTACGCGTATCACTATTCGTATGTAGGAGCTTTTCAAGTGGTATGCTAGCAGGATAGGATAGGATTTACATATTTATCCCGGGGGAGAGGAAAGCCAATAAGACGGCTTATCCATATGGTGAACCACGGCCTCTCGTCCGGTTACCATTCCAAGTCGGGTATGAGATTAGTTTTACTGTATTGTTTGTTTTCGGAAGCATGGACTTGGTGGTGGAGGAAGCCGTAACCGACCAGCGGTTACGTGAACCACCCAACGACGGCGAGGAGTCCAGCAATCCTCTCGCACATAACCATCCCTGCATGGGATTCGAACCTGCGAACCCACGCAGAGTGATTAGAGGTGCGGTGTCGAGCGTATTACTAACGCTTAGCCCGTTGAGCCACACCGCCGCACCAGCTTTGAATCATTGCAACAATTAACTTTTATGGCAATAGTAAAAAACACAAAAGTTGTACACAATCAGTAAAAGATTGAGATTTGCTGGCTTAGAACATTGATGGCTTATATTATTATCATGTTTTGTTTTAATAATTTAATACTCAACACCCTCATTGACTGCAGTGTGTATAGTGACATAGGGGGCATCTGAAGTTGTCAGTTTTATTATGGTTTTCACCCCTAGCGCACCTCTAGTTTTGAATGAGATTTTTTATATTCAACCTTTAGTAGAGGAGAAATAGAATTTACATATTTATCCGAGGAGAGCCGATAAGATGACTTAACCATACGGCAAACCACGGCATCTCGTCCAGTTACCAGTCCATGTCGGGTATGGGATTAGTTAGTTATTAGTTTTCGGAAGCACGGACTTGATGGCGGAGGAAGCTGTAACCGATCAGCGGTTACGTGGACCACCCTGTGGCAGCGAGGAGTCCAGCAATCATCTTGCTCATAAACATCCCTGCATGGGATTCAAACCCACGCAGAGTAATCAGAGGTAACCAGTTTTAGATGTATGTGGCCTTTGACCTATGCACCAACCATCGATTTGCTATTTATTAATAAAGATGTGGAGATAAATATACCTGAGTATAGACTGGTTTCACACTGATAGTCATTTCTCTTTCGACAGAATTTGGTGGGAACTCAAGTTTACAAAATGGCAGTTTAACGGCACCGCCTTCCAATCCCAATTTGAACTCAAAATAACCTCGATCTTTGCTGGAAAAATCAATATTTTTCTTGGACGAAAGAGAAAATGAGACGCTTGACTCAGCACTGCTTGTTCTTCTGTGCCTACGAACAGTTTTTTTCTGTTTGGGAATTTCCTGAAGAAATTTAGAATTGAGTGATTTAAAATCATGGTTACTTGTCTTACTGTGCTACCCATATTCTGATAACTAATGTTTCTGGACCTTGATGTGTTGAAAATATACTACCTACCTACCTTGCTACTTTACCTCTAATCACTTATAAAGCCGATAATACACGTTTTCATTATTGTAGACGATAGTGGATAATTAAACAAAAAGTTAAGATTTACCTGACTCGCATTTTTAGGTTTGAATCCAAATATCCCATTTTATTTCACAAATATGAATGTGTGTATTTGCACATATAATGAGTACTCCCATAGTATGCGAACCAAGATAGCGGACAACAGAAATAGTATGTGTACAAGGTTAGGGTTAGGCCATAATTTCAGGTACAAATACTACGGGATTCCCAGAGTTCGTAAAAAAACTAAAATAAGGAAAATTGGAATAAAATTATGGCGTAACCCCAACCTGGTAATCATACTATGTTCAGGTGTCTGCCATCTTGGGGCTTATACTATGGGGGAGCCGCACAATCTTACTAATTAAATATCTGTTCATTTGAACATTTAAAATTATGAAACCTTCTGCGAAGATTGAATGATTTAATTTGATTTGAAAAGTATTTTAATTTGATTTTGAATTGAAGAAATATTGGTCAACCCTAATGAAACCATATATTTATGGAACCATATGAAACCATAAATATTCCATATTTTGAATTTACCGTACAGATTTGATTCCCAGAAACTATTTTTTTCTGTTTAAACTAACCTGGAAAGGTTCATTTTTATTGGAGTCAGAACTTGACTGATCTGCAAGATCCCCACTGCTGTATCTTGCCGAGCACTGAAGTTTGGTTGCTGCTATACCTGGGATGAATGAATTCATTAAACAAAAAAAGAGAGCAATGGGACATAAAAGTTGATCATCCAAAAAAATAGTTTTATAATCAGACATGTCTCATGTTCAAGCCAAGCGAATGTGCAACTGGAAAGAATTGGGGTATTACCAATAATAGGAACTCCTTCCATATTTTGTAGATAGGAAAGGATTGGATTTACACATTTATCATAAGGGAGAGACGAGTCAATAAGACGGCTTAACCATATGGCAAAACCACAGCCTCTCATCTGGTTACCATTCCATGTCGGGTATTGGATTAGATAGTAATTTGTTTTCGGAAGCATGGACTCGATGGTGGAGGAAGCAGTAACCCGCATGCGGTTATGTCAGCCATCAGTGGCGAGAGTCCAGCGATCCTCTTGCACATAACTATCCCTGCATGTGCTTTGAACTTGCGATCTCACATAGAGTAATCAGATGTGCGATGGCGAGCGTGTTCCTAATGCTTAGCACAATGAGACACACCCCTGCGCCCAGGATACATGCACAGAGCATTGATCGGAGCTTAAACAAACTCTGTATAAAAACGGTGATCATCTTTCTCGATTTGATAGTTTTTCCATTCTGCTGCCAAGTGGCTGCTAGTATAAGGCGCATTGCTTTGACTTTTATGAGGGGTCAAGTACATAAAAATGCTTTTATTTTGTACTATTACAATAAAGTTTTTTATTAACATATGAAAAATACAACCTGATAGATGTGGTTTCTCATTAGAATCTTGTTTTGTCTGCTTCTTTCTCTGTTTACCTTGTTCTGGAGTGAAGTAACCGATGTTCTCCACCTTGTTCGAGGCTGTAATAAAAAATTTCGTTAACATTAAAACCGCACGATAAAATTAAAGTATTGAAAGACTGGAAATATGCATTGATCACACAAAGTGAGAATACTAGGTGCTTGAATGAAAATTAGGTATAAACGGATTAAGGCTATCTGATCTCCAACCTTTAAGACATTCATATCAGAAAGACTTTTACTAGCATTGTCAAATGCTATTTTCATTTTTTTTCATAAAATTTACTCCAAGCAAGGTTGTGCGGAACTAACTCAGAAAATAAAGAGATTGATTTCTAAATGAAATTAGGAGTGACCAATGGAGTGCCAAGACCTACTGAGAATATAACAAATTATAGAGTAGACTTACCGTACATGTAAGTGAATACTAAATGATGCGAGATTCAGAAATAAAGGATCTTTGAGCAATGTTACGAATTGCCACTCAAGTGCCAAAAGTTACTGAAACTATAACAAATCATAGCATAGAATTATACTAAGTGATTTCAAGTTAAAAGTAGTTCAGATGAATCCGATAAGGAAAATATAAATTCTGAATTAGAACTCTCACTAGATTTCTTTGAATTTAAAGTCTTCAGCTTTTGTTTGTTAAACTTCTTGGTTTCCAAATTTTCGAATGTTCTTTTGGAATCTCCTTTACTTGGTCTTCTTTTCTTTCCATTATCTGAGACAGCAATGTACAAAAAATATATTTCAATACTGGGGGCATTGTAAATAATGAGATTATCAAATAAAATAATTCATTATGAACTCTACTGCGGTACAAAAACGAAGACTTGAAATTCAAGTTGCCAAAATTTCAAATGGAGTTTGAAGTCTAGTCTAGTCATCTTACTGAGCTTTTTTAGACTCGTGATATTACACCAATATTATGTGAATAAAATTAGATGAGGTACCGGTATTTCCAGATCAGTCGTTACACTTTGAAAAATTGTTTATGCTGCTGACATACACACATGGGTTACAGTGAGTTTAAGCAGAAAAATAAAAATGGTATTTTCTGGCTCGACCACAAATTAAATTTTACTTTTATGTCCCATGTTTTTTGTTGCTGAGACAAGCTTCTTTGCTTCCAAAGTAGCTTCTTGTCTTCTTTTTTCCAACTTTAATTTCTATACAATAAAAGGTAACTTTTTGATTAGGTGGCCTAATTTTGAACAATACACAAGGCCAAAAAATAGATAGTTATGATATTTTTTCATAAGAAAAAATTGAAAACTTTGAAAAAATATCATTGAGCTATGAGTTATAATCAAATATATCTGAAGAATTTTGTTTGAACAAAACTTTAATTTTGTCATAGTCAAAAAATATTTTTTATACAGACTTGTTGTATATGTCCTCTCTTTGATAAGAAATTTATGACATTGAAACTTAGCAACATACACCATGTCCATGCATGCAAAATTAGCTTGAATATTATTTTGCAAAAATAGTATTTAGTAAGAAACCTTTTAAGATATGATATAAAATACTTACCTTTTCATTTAAGTAAATTGTATCACGGCGATACAACCTGTAACAGGAATGAAAAAAAACACCAATTTTTTGAATGGAATAATTTAATACGATATAATAATACGGTATGTTGTGTTGGTTATTTTTACTTAAAAAAATAAATTGATTGAATCTCAACCGCAATTTATAAAAAAATATTAGAAATAAATAGTTTAAATTGCACTTTCCGGTTATGACCGGATATGAAAGCCATGGGTATAAATACAAAGAAATTTACAACAGTGAAGTGAGCTATTGTTAATCGAAAATGATGGTATATCTTTAATATATTATCATTTTCCTTACAATATGATTATCATAATGATAACTAAGCATGATTTGGCAGAAACACAACTTGCATTTTTCAAACCTAAATTTACGCATACACACACGCTATGCTCAATTGCAGTGGTTCCCAACCTTTGTAGTGCCATATAGACCCTTTTCAGGATTTGCCTGAAATTTATATACTCTGTGAAAAGCTAAGATTTTCCTTTTGGAAAAGTGGTAAGTAGTCCATGCATCTTGATTGGTAACCACAGCTCTAGACTACAAAAGTCATTGAATATAAATGCCTAACAAAAAAGGAAAAAAATTCTTACCAGAAAAAGAATAAAAGAGCAATGAGAATAGCACCGAACAAACAGAAAGCAGTTAGATCGAAATTTGTGTCCGATACAGTAGCTTGATGTAACATGATGGCTAATTAATACTTATTAATATTTAAAAAAAGGACTGAACAAGAATAAATAAATATTATGATCTATTAAGCAAGGCCCATCTGCTAGTTTTGGGTCATTCCAAATAATGAATAACATAACAATTTATGATTAAAAAGTGACTTCAAGAAACAGTGTTAATTTCAAACAATTCACTATTCCCTTACTGACACTGCTCGATACCTATTAATTACTGGTCTATCGGGTCCCTTCATGCTTCAAAATTATTTATTTGTCTTCATCCTGTATATACACTTTGTATTTTTGGTATGTGAAAAAATAAACTACTAGCTGAACTTAACTGCTAGCCAAACCAGAGGCAGTGATTTCCATAAAGTTAAAATGTCCTATTGTCGTTCCTTTCCCATTCATAAACTTGGCTAGTGTTACAAATCGATCTAAATTTACAAAAAAAGAGGTTAATTCTACCAACGTGATCAAACCACCAATTCAATAGCAACAGCTGATATCCTTTCTTCCAATAAAATATACTTCCCCTTTGCCTTTGATCTTCCAGATAATTGCTAATTATTGTAAATACCCACTTTCATGACTCTGGTTATGTTTAGCACTTTACCTGTGCTTTCATGCTTCATTTCAGCCTGGCTCAAATAAATATAACTCTCCATTCTCATCGGAGGGAATACGTGGCAACTCTCCCTCTCTCTATATAAACAGGTATGTTGGGTTTTCCCCGGGTGTTGAAAAAGCAGAACTTCATTGACGTGGCTTGTGTATCTATAATAAACATGTCCAAGCATGATGGATGTATACTTTTTGTTTGTAATGGGTCTATCGCTTCAAAGGCATTTGAATATAAAGAACTAACAATAATATATAGATAGAGGGAGTTAATTGGAGAGAATATAATTGAACTGAGAGTGGTCTATATCTGATCAGGTATTTTATTATATTAGCAAAAAGATGTAAACCTGGTGCCTGAACCAAGCTATTCTCCATCTTTGTTTTCCATTATTTAACCAAAAATTTGGGTGCTCCCGAAGTATGTGTACCAAGATGGCGCACAACCTGAACACAGTATGTTTACCAGGTAGGGGTTATCAGGTTGTGCACCATCTTGGTGCACATATTCCCGAAGCGCCAAATTTGTAGTAAAAAATTTTATGCTTCGAAAAAGGCTCTACTCTACATAGACAGTTAGTACAGAGTACATAGAAGACATTGGATTTGAAAAATATGTAATTTTTAATTCATCAAAGCCTATCAGAACTTTTCATTTCTGCGATTGAGACAGTCGAGGGACTAAGGCAATCGCCAACAGTCTGCAATCTGTGAGTTTATTTTTCACTATGCTGAAAGCACACTTGATATACAAATTGCAATGAATAATGATAAAAACAATTCAGGATGAAGAAGGGACCACTGCAAACCAAATTTTGTTATTGAGCAGTGTCACCCGTGCCTAATACACCCATGCAACAAACCCTTCCTTAATCCTTAGGCTTCTTTCTAACTACTAGTCTGACATAATCAGCAAATACATTATCAATATTTATTTTTTCATTTAATGATAAACAAAAAATAATTTTTTATCAATATCACTTTCCAATATTTACCTAGTGGGGGAAAGACTCAAATTTATTACTGGAATAAATAAATGTACTTCTTATGCTCACCACTTTTATCATGAACTATTTTGAGAAGTGTAGTACATAGCTGTTATCAAAAAATAATAATACAGCAAAAAGCAGTATAGAGCCGTGGATGCAGTTACAGAGTCTTGTTCAAAGAGAAAACCATTGCATAACTTTATATGAAACAAATAAACAGATTGCAAAACATAAAATAAAATGCATAAACAATGACAATCACCCCTCCCATTAAAATATAATTCAACTTAATTCAACATATCCCCAAATGGAAAGAGACATGGTCCAAATTTACAGCCAAATATGCTATGATTAAAAGTATCAGCATGAAAAATGGGAAAATTTAATTCTTAGGTTCAGTTTTTATTTCCATAATGCTTTACAAAATTTAGTATTTTGTATTTAAAATAACACCTGATGTCGGAAAATGTATTATTTAGGGCCGCATTTACATTCCTTATGAAAAACAATTGGAACATTTTCCTTTTGTTACAGACATAAAAGCATTTAATTGGATAGCATATTATTGTCGCCTGGCTTATTCATGTTATGGAAATTGAAAAACCAGTAAGAATGAAAAACTTTGACTTTGGGTATATTATTTTAATTTTTTATAAAGACACTATTCTGATAAATTTACAATCGGAATGCTAAGTAAATGCAAAAATTACATTTCAAACATTCTGAAAAATTATTGTTTTTTTCCTTACCATTTGTGAAGGTAAAATAATGTTTGCATGGAGGATAATTCCCATTGATATACAAATGAAAAGTAATAGCAAAAAATTAGTACTTTCATGCTCCAATTTTCAAAATTATTAAAAAATATGTCAAGATTCAAGAATCTTAAATGTTGAGTATTAATATTGAGAGCACCCAATAAAATTATTATGTAAGTTTATCAAAATAATAAACTAAATATTGCATATGCGTGATATAATGATAGAGCGTGGAGCCAAAACTTAGAAATAATTTTATTGATATTGAAGACATATTCTTGTGCTCTCTGAAGACGAAGTCCAAGCCAGAATTATATTTCCCAAACCAGAATTACAAATTTGCAATAGTTGGTAATCAGGCTCTCCAGAAGTGTGTGTACCAATATGGAGATAACTAATTTTGCTTGCCTACCTTATGTCAAGTTATGCAAAGGAACTGAAATCTATGGGCAGTGGGTATATTTACTCGGCTAACACAGACAGTCCCTGAACTAGTAATAGAACTAAAATAAGTAAAATCGGAATAAAATCATGGCTTAATCTGGTACACATAATACGGAAGTACTGGTAATCGAACCAGTTTCCAATCTGAAAAAGCATTGAAAGGATTGACAAAGCATTCCAATTATTTTTTGGTCAAATTGTGCTTTTTCGGAGTTGTGACACAATTCAGAGAAGAAAATTTTATTATTCCGTAATGAGAAGCCAGAGTTGAGCTCAAGATATTAGACAGTAGCAACATAGTTTGTTTCAACTTAATAAGCATTCAGATACAAAGCGATCGATTAGCATCAATTTTAACTAAATACTAAAATTTTATATGTAACATTAAATAGGATATACACTTTAGTCAGCTCAGAAAAAAAATCACAATTTTTAAATGAATAAGCGGGACAAAAAGGTCGCTTTTCTACTTCAAATATAAAAGTCACTTGATTCAATTTAAGTTTAATTCTAAAATGTCAAAAAAAAATCGATAAAACATATTTGGAATGAATTGGAGTATTGTCATTTGTCATCATGACATTTCATGCAAATATTTTTACAGAAGATTGTGCAAATAAAAAAGATAGAATTCTGGTAATTTTGTCACCATCTACCTATAATTTAGTCAAGAGAGTGAGCTTTTTGTTGTAATGTGACTCAAACTAAAATCTCAAATCTGTGACACAATGAAAGTAACCCAGTATTATATTTTTTAGGTTAGGTCATAAGACCATACATATTTTCAAAATGTGTGATGTGTGAACATCAAAAAAAGTTTTTAATTTTTGAAACTTATTCATATTTCCATATTTGATTGATGAATATGAATTAAGGGTTGCTTAATGAAAATATTTGTTTTTTAATTCATTCAATTTTGCCTAAAGGTAGAGAAAAGTTTTTAAAATAGTTTATTATAGAAAATGACCTCTAGTCCAGGCATATAAATTTTGACTCCTACTCCAGTTCTGAAAAATTTGAATCTTTAAAATACTGACTTCTGAGCTTCAAGAAATAAACACAAGATTTAGCTTCAAGAAATATCATCCTTCAGTTTCACTAGCTATATTTGGCTATAACACGTCCGACAAGTCATCAACAGGTGTGGAAGCAGTAAAACTTAAGCCAGAATCCATATCTGAGGAATCCAACAAAGGTTTATTAAGAAACTGATTGATATGCTCCAATGCTAGGAAATTGGGACGAGGAGTACTGGTTGAAGGCAATTGCATGTCAAGTTGGGGGAACGGTTGCAAAGGGCTAGTACTATTGCTTAAAGTGTTGGTGCCAGCATTGTCAGAAGTTAGGGGCTCTCTTCTTTTGATATTTTCCTCAGATCGGGTATGTGGGAGATCAGGAAACATATTATCAAAAAAATTGGATTTTAAAGAACAGTTTGGACATGAATTACAATAGTTCATTTGCTGGCCTATTGATCTTTCACCATTTGCATTGATGGTAGTGCTTGGTTTGACATAAGGGTCATACAAATTGTCAGGCGCGGGCAAAGACCACTGGAATCGATAACATATTGGTGAATTCTGATGCTCAGACCATACAGAATAATGCAAGTTCTTGTAATGATGAGGAGGGATTGACTCAATGCTTTCCTTTTTGATAGAAATAGGGAGATGTACAAGTACTTTTTCTCTGCTACTTCCGATCTTGTGTTCAATAACTGGTGACATTGAATTCATTCCTTCGCACTGAAGTTTTGCAGAAAAAGTACAAGGTGGCCTGAAAAGATATGTTTAAAATGATAAATGTGGCTTCAGCCTTCTAAATTTTACCTTGCAGTGTGAGTTTCAATGTTTTTGGCAGATGGCACAATATGCCCAAGTGTGAGAAGTGCCAATATGTTTGCCAAGGCACCAATAATTTTTTAATAGGAATGCTACTTTAAAAAAGTATGGCTATTTGAATATCTAAAATTGAGGGTTGCTCTCTCATTGGTGTTTAATTTCAGACTCGAGTCAAAGCTATTGGCTGAAATTTAAAATGACTTGCAAATATTAAAATTTTTGTAGTTGAATTTTTTCCATTTTTAATATCGCGCTTGATCCTTATATGCAAATAAATGTCTCAAAACAAACTAGGTCAATAAACATTTTATTTAGTTGCCATGGTACATACAAAGTGTATGCGTAGGTAGAACATTCCAGAGATTCCATATGACTACACCCCCGACTACATTTTTACAGTAAATATAAATCATATAGTACTATGATACCATATATTGCACTATTAAAATTATAAAATATTAATTTTGTTTCAGAATTACACATATGATCTCATTAATAGAATAATACCTGATAGGCAAGATTTGCTTGCCCACTACAATTTCAATAGCACTTGAATCAAGACTGGCATTTGCTTCTTTACGAACATCACGATGACTGGAGTGTAGTAGTACGAAGAAGTTTTGCTCGATCGGATCATTTAGACCTATTGGCCGCTTGACATAAACAGTATGGAACAAATCATATGCAGGAATAAAGCTTGGCGCATTACGACAAATTACTCTGAATCTGAAAGGAAAGAAATTGGTCAAGTTAGACATATTTTTAGTTGGTTCACTTCAAACGATGATATGAGAGCTAGAAAATGTGTATTTGAATTTAATATGGCTCGACTGCTACCTCACTAAGAGTTTGGAACATTATCATTTTTGGTCTGCTGGTTACTCTGGTTCATGAACCCACTGGTATCCATCTACCAACCACAGCTATGCAGTTCTAGTTTGATGATTCAAATTCTGCAGGAGAAGGGCGATCAATTATTCCAACTGGAAATACGGTAACTCAAAGATAATGAGGCAAGAGAATAATGCGGTTCACTATACAGATGTTCTTTTGAATGCTTGTTCAAATCTCACACCCCCCCACCCATCCCCCCTCACCCAGGGTGTAATAAATTGGTTACGCAATCATGAACTGGAAACATTTCCAAATATTTCTTAGATACCGTTGGGTATCAGTGGGGATTTGTATAAAGCCTTGTTTAGGGTAAAAGAGAGAAATACCGGTAGGTATTTTTTTGCTCCTAAAACTAAATACATATCTGTGGTAAGAATGTTGTTTGAAAAGTGTGAAATCCCCCCATAATAAAATTGTACTAGTTAATCATAAAACCGACTGCATCAATATGGCAACAAAGCGGGCATTTGTTTCACTCAATAAGATATTGTTTGCATTCTTAAGATAAGTACTGTGTTTATTTAAAGCAAGTGAATTTTACCCAGCAAATTTCTTCAGCTTGAAGGAAATGTAATCTTGTTTCTGAGATACTTTCAATTTATCAACTGTGGACCACTTCAGATCGATTGAGTCATGAGTTGTTTGGAGCTGGAATGTACAGAAAAATATTAATAATCCTTTTTGACCAAAAAGAACAATGTTTGTTGAACAGTATGGTAAAACTTTAGAGTTGATCAAATTTATAAACATATAAAATAGGAACGTATGCAGTGAGAAAAATGTTGTAACCATGTCAAAGCACTAAATTTGAAAATATATTTTTGGCAGCATTGGCTAAAGGATATAAAATTTTGATTCAAAATTTAAAATGACAACAATTAGCAAATGAAAATGTATTTTTGTCTGTTTAGTCAAAAAAAAAAAAGCAGCAGAAAGTTTTTTTACCTCAACTTTCTGGACTTGGTTAGATGGTGGATAACAAAGCATTTTTACTTTAATTTCAATTGGACAAAGAAAATTGACAACATCTGAATTGTTAGAGCTTGAACAATGGATTATTGGTGTGATGAGTGTTTTATATTTTCCATGCTTTCTTTTCTGAAATAAAAACAAGTTGAATCTTTCCTAATACACTTTAAAGTGTGAAGTTATTAATATATGATACATACATCCTTAAGTGAAGCTTGAAATTTTATGTCAAAGTCAGATAGTTTTGTAGCTGCTCACATTCGACTAGTTGCTATTAGACCTATTTATAGTAAAACATACACAACTGGTAAAAAGCAAAGCAAACAATACAGAATAGGATTTACATATTTATCCTGAGGAGAGAAGAATGCTAATATAAGATAGCTTAATCATATAACAAACCACGGCCTGTCGTTCACTTACCAGACTGTATGTCAGGCATGGGATTAGTTAGCCAGATATTTGTTTCAGATGTATGGTCTTGATGGTGGAGGAAGCAGTAACCGACCAGCAGTTACATGAACCACCCCACGTACCTACAGTTTAGCCAATCTTTCGAATGTCTATATAAAACTTACTTCAACGAGGCAATGACTACAAAATTAGATGAATATATGTAACAAGACTGAAGTCAATTGTTTTATATTTAAATTGTTCATTGACAAGGACTTTAATAAAAATTCCAAACATATAATAAAATATATAAGGGAATAGTTCACACAAAATTGTGGTTGTAGGTAATCCCATGGGAATCAATAAAATGAAAATCAGTTGAAACAAGGTTAAATGAGGCCTAACTACTTTAATGAGAAAGGTGAGTCTTGACTACATCAGAAAATAATATTTAAAAATAGTTTGATTGAATAAAAACAAATTATGACATAACTACCATACTTACTTTGGATACTACAGACTTGAAACAAAGTTCTATTTTGTTCAAAGTTACTCCAAATGGGAAGAGGATATTACAAAATGGAAGATCAAGTATTCCTCCACATTCTTCCAACACAAAATAATAGTAGCCATTCTTCAATTCCCAGGTTATATTGCATAAATGCAATGGAACGGTGTCTTTTGTTTTGACCGTTGTAGAAATCTGTAAAAATGTACAGAGATTCATTCATTTCAGGTTCATAGTTGCACTAGTTTTGCAGTGTTCCCTATGATATATATACAGAGTTAATTAATCCTGAATATAAAACATAGGGAACACTGCATAAATATTGCAACTATTATGAATAACGAAAAAAAATTTATTGGCTGTACAACAACTTGAGCAATTCAATTGATTTTGAGTTAAGGTGTTTGAAAATTCAAAACGACACTACAAAACAACCTATTTAGAGAATCATTGACTTAGGTGATAACCCGTCTAAGTATAACTTGACAAATCATGACACCCTGAGGCCTGAATTAATAGCTTTCAATCATGGCGTGATAGACTGCTAATATAGTCATTCAACATTTTCTAAAGGTATTTAGAATACCAAACTATTTAGTTTTTGTCCTACCCCATTTCTCTGACAAATACTTACCGGTAATAACAATTTTAGGCGCTCCCGTAGTATGTGAACCAAGATTGCGGACACTGTAACGTAGTATGTGTACCAGGTTAGGGTCAGGACATAATTTTATTCCAATTTTCCTTATTTTGGTTCTATTACGAATTCGATGACTAGCCAAGTGGCTACAGTAATATTTGTAACTGAAAATTATGGGCTTGCGCTGTCCGCCATCTTGGTTCACGTACTACATAAGTACCCAATTTTAATTATTTTTATTGCCAGGAGCTTTGTCATTTTAGTGGTCGCCCCATAACACTGCTCGGTAATAGTCTTCTTTAATTTCTGAGTGAGTTCTCCTGAGCTTGCTTTGAGCAAATAGAATAGCCTTAAAAATACAATTTTAGCATTTTATAGTATTTCAAATATTTTAATGGCTTTATTTCAATCAACTTATTGCTAAAGTTTGTTTGATATTCAATATTATCGATGCTGTAATAATGTCTCAATGCATCAGAACGATAGATTAAAATGCAATTTTGGTCTGATAACTTCCCAGTACAACATGGCACATAATAAAAGTCAAACATAAGGTAGTAGAAAATAAAATTTACGCTCCCAAACACACCTTGGAATAATAAAGACTGTTTGCTTGTGTTGAATGACTGTTTGCACTTTTATATGTCGAGCAAACAGTCTTTTTTACTCTGTACAAATAAATTACAGGCAGGCAAACTAAAGTGTTCTTTCCTTGTTTACTCAAAAAAAGATGAATATAGGTAAACAACATAATTTAATATTTCTGAATACTTTCTAAAATATTATTTCCATACCCAAATAAATACTAAATTGGACTTTGTTCAAGAAGGATCACCTAAAACACAATTTATAGATTCAATAGGTTGGAACTGGAATGCATGAAATTTGAATATAAACAGTGGTTTTCTATTAAAAAGAAGTTTTCTAACATTAAATAAAAGCCAGTTTACTGTTTCAAAAGTTAAATAAAGACCATTTCGTAATGTAATACTTCAATTACTCAAAATGATAAATCATAAATAAAACTTAAAAAACTATATCTGGAATCAAAAATTTAAAATATCGAAAACACTTGAAATCAATTGAAACAAAATGTTTAATTTGTTTTGTACATGTGTGGCAATTTGATTATGCCAACATTATTATTCATCAAATTAGCAATTCTTGTTGATTTCAGACTTGTGTTCGTTACCTCATTCGAATCATCGCCTGTTTTTTTCAACTTCGAACAAATAGCTCTGTCTGAATTACTGTTATTTCCTGTTGGTGATATATCTGTATTCTGTCTTGATTGAATTCTGGCTTCTCTTTCTATTACTTGGTGCTTCTAAATTAAATACACCAATACTATTTACTATTCAAACTGGAGTGAATCAAACTTACAGTTTTTCAGACATAGCAAATGAAGTAAAAATTAATAACTCCTATATTTGAAAAATATAAAACTAAATTTCGATTTTAGGTATAGCATTACATTATATATTATTAAAAATATTTTTGACTAAATTATCGCTATAAATATGAGCCTAATAACATCATTTCCTAATCCGGACATATTGTAAGACCATAAAGACATCTAAGGCAATATAACATTAGTAATATTGTAAGAAAATTGGTTAAATCAAGATTTAAAGTGAATACAATGTGTGCCATGCCTCATAGTTCAACTTTGCCTTTGTAATCAAATAAAACTTTGTCTATAACATTGGTTTTCGGTGGAACGAAACTCAAATGAAATAGGGAACCCTGTGCAATAGTTCAATTACTGGCCTAATAATACTGGCAAAACGACATGATTTTTAAAGTGTAGCGAGTTAAATAATACCGGATAACCTAGAAGGTATTATGTTAAAAACAATGTACATATATTGATATAGACCAGAGGTTCCCAACCTTTCATAGCTCATGGCTCTTGTATGTGGGATTTTAGCACTCGCGGCCCCCTGTTTACCATTACAAAAAATAGATGCACTATTATGTACTACTATGTAGAGTCTTTTGTGTATTTACCATTTTTATGGGATATAAAAAGAAACCAAAAGCGAAAACATCAGAGGGGTGTTTAATGCACAACCGATTACAAATGTATTCAGGTAATGAAAGTACGAAAAAGAAGGTATTTTCATTCAAAGAGAAAAGTATGTAAACGAAATATCATTAAAATCAAGTTGTCATGTAGTATTGCGGCCTCCCTATGACTGCTCTGTGGCCCATGGGCCCCTGGGTGAAATATAGACTATCAGATTTAAACGAAAAACCCTCATGTCCTGTACTGGCGAAACCCTAGTGCAGGGGTGGGCAACCCATGGTACCAAGTTTGGCACGCGAGCGTATTTATTCGGCACGCGAGCAAGACCTTGGAAACGAGATCATTCTCCTTTAGATAAATAGTTTTAAGATTCTGAAGTCTGAATTATCTAATGAAACTAGGTGTTCGTTTATTAATTATCGTCTGTTAACAATCCCTTATTTATTTAAACTCTTTTTGTCTTTTCATGACATATGGCTACAAAAATATATTATGACGTAACAAAAGAGTGAGCTCTCTCTCTTCGTCTGTACCACTGTACCATTTCTGCTTGATTTATGAAGTTGTACTGCTCATGTTGGTTAGAGTTACTTGCTAACTTGCTGTTATAAATTGTTTTCTAAATAAATATAAGCGATTAGGCAAGAGAGAAGTGCAGAAAACAAACTATTGCGTGATTGGGATGTCATTCCCGAAATTTTTTTGTGTCTTGAAAAATTTACAACTTCATTACTCTCCATGTTTTCCTCTACATAAGCTTGTGAATCTCAGTTCTAAGTTATGAACTTTATTTGGTCTCGTAACAGGAGTAGCCTAAAAGATGAAACCAGTAATTTGCGTATTTGTTTGTAAGTTACAAAATATAAACCCAATGTTAAATCTCTATCAGCGGTAATACAGCAGCGGACGTCTCACTGATATATACCGTATTTTCTCGAAATTACGCCTATCTCGCGAATAGGCCGACTCCCTAAAAACGGCCTTAAAACGGCAATTTTATAAAAAATCGCACATAAGCCGGTCCTACGAATCGTTACACGCCGGACGCCTCAAAAAAAGCAGAGAAAAAAAACAAAATTACTGTAACGCAAACATTTCTCACGTTTATCATTTCTGTTTGTTAGCAACGGCCGTAGATCCTTACTCGTAACTCTTAATTGTAAATTCATGTTAATAAAGTCTATATTGCTTTTCATGCGTCGTGATTTGTATTAATGGAAAGGATTGTTGTCGGGAGTTTAATAGAGTCCCTGAGTCAGCATAAAACAATTTCCTTTGATCGTCCACAACGCGGTTAATTTCGATAAGAGTCCTTATCACCGCCCCTCAACGGATAACATATCGTAAAGGTGATTAAAAGTCGCACGTTGTTAATTGCCCCTACAGCAATAGCGCAGCAAATAATAACGTTTTCACCACGAAACAAGCCTTCCGTAAATCGACACTGTTGCACAAGCGAGCGAAAACAAACCAATCACAGACTGTACAAGAGTCATGTGTTAAACAACCAATCTCAGACTGTACAAGCCATCAGCTGTATGATAAGACAATCTACCTTTACAAGCGATTGTGTGTGTGCGTGCACGCTTTTTACCACGAAAACTTGGTATGGTTTGAAGCTTTTGGAATTACCGGCAAGTCAGCATAATATCATCTCGTTGCGTGATCAAATTCTGATGCGCGAATGAGCCGATTTTTTGGTGCAATCTGAGTTATGCGCGAATAAGATGGTCCCTTAGAGCAGGGGTTCTCAAACTTTTGGCGTTGCGGAGCCCTTGAAAAGGTTGACTATTATTCACGGAGCCCCAAAATAAATGTTAAAATTGTTACTTTCCGATTAATATTCCTGAGTAAGTTAAACGTACTTTACTCAATTTAAATACTAAACCCTTTTAATAGGGTTAATACAAGTCATAAATAAATCTAAATTTCAAAGATAAATTGTATATACTAAAGCTGTAAATTTGACACATGACAAACATATTAATAAATTAGGCGACGAATCTTTTCCCCTCTTGACATTTTTGGAAGACTTAAAAGGTCGCTAATAACGTGCGCGATTGCATTTTGTTACAATCGCCGATTGTTTTCGTCAGCATGGCGTGTTTTTAAACCTCAAACATCTTTACGCCGGTGTTTATTCTCACTAAATCAAAAATTTCCTTCGGCATATACATGTATTGTTCCACAATGACGACGATAATTGCTTTTTCGTTCTTGTGGGGAATTACAAGTTCAATGTGAAAAACATGTTACCATATTATAATCATCGGCGACGAATAGCTAAAAATAATAGTTAATAAAGAGGTAAATCCGCAATTCAAATTTCTTGATTAAAAAGCGTCATTCTAAAATATTAGAACTAAAACTTAAAATGGAAGATAACACTATACGTTTTGTTTCAGCAGACTCACGCCAGAATAAAATTTTTCCCCTCTAAAACTACCGACGGAGAACAAATCAAGTTTAACAAATCCCAAGATCGCAAAAATACGGCTCCAATTTATTTATAGTTGGCAGTTTATGTTATTTTAGAATAGTATTCTTTCATTTTAGTAATCCTAATAGTTATCTGGAATCGAACGTGAGTAACGATGAGCACAATTAAATTATTACGACAAGACACGCTCACATCGGTCATGAATTGAATATTTTACGCAACAGAAATCTCGTTATCTGTTTTTTTTGAATCGCCAAGAATGTTGCGCATAAATTTCTGATTCCAAATTTGAACCTCCTCCCTCTTAAGAATCCTGGCTGCGCTCCTGCTTATAAATAATGTCATTTTTTAAGTCCGCCACTTTGCCATATTTCGAGGCTATATTGTTGTTAAATTTTATCAAAGCTGTTATTGTTTCTAGGAACAGTTTTAAATTAGCCAAGTCAGTATTTTGAAAAGTAATCGAATAGCTCGCGGAGCCCCTGGGTTTCTCTCGCGGAGCCCTGGGGCTCCGTACGGAGCACTTTGAGAACCTATGCCTTAGAGCATATACGGTAATAAGAAATGTGATCAAATCTATTTGCCGAATTGGTATTTTCCTGAATAGTGAATCTGTTGGTACATGTTTAAAAAGGTTTATTATTGTGTATTTTGCTTTGAAAGTAGCAAAGCTTTGTTTTTAATTTTGGTCGGCACGCGGGAGAAATTTGTCGTTAAATTTAGCCGATTTTGGCGCGCGAGCCGAAAAAGGTTGCCCACCTCTGTCCTAGGGGGCTGCAGAACCCAGGTTGAAAACCACCGGTCTATAAATGGAAATCTTTACCTTACGAGTTTGCTCTGAAATTGAACCTTTAATTTTCTTCTCAGTTGAGTGGCCTTCGATGGCTTTCTTTGATTTTTGAATAGGAGCTTGTTTTGTATGGATAATTTTATTCAGTCCGATACTGGAAAGCAAAAAATACAGTTTCAAAGCCTTTAGTTTAAAGAATTAGACCTAACAAGCATAAAGCTTCGAATTTGGGGGAATAAAAATAGTGATATATGACTATGGGCATTTAAAAGGTTATAAAAGGCCTGCTACATTTTTAATACTTTAATATGCAAGGTAGGAAAGATCTCATTTTGAAAATCTCATTTAAAACAATATGACACTAACCAGCATAAAGTAAGTGGGCAAGTGAAAGTCATTTCAGACATTGAATTTCGAGGGAAGGACTCCTATTGGTCAATATTCATATAGATAAGCTATAAAATACCTCATTCATATTCTCATTAAAAATCACATACGCATGAAGCATAAAGCATTGCACTTGGTTATATGAAAGAAGTTTTGAAATATCGGTATCATATACTATAAACACCAAGTTTCATTATAGATATCAAAATCTTTGATATATATTCTATCCAATTAAAGAATCCTGTTGTACCTCAACAAAAATGTATTTCTGTAACGTTTAGTACGACTAAAGCCAGACTTTCTCAGACAAGCAGTTTACAACAATGTAAATGTACAGCAGGATTATTTAATCGGATAGAATTATCATGTTTATTCCTGCTACAGCATCCTAGCAGTATACGCTAGGGATGGGCCGGGATTCGGATCCGGACTCGAGTCGAATCCACGCATTTTTTGGACTCGGATTCGATTCCGAGTCCACGTCATTTTTACCGAGTCTATAATCAATTCTGTTTTTACTTATTTACGCCTATATTTGTACTGTTGCTTCTATAAATCTCACTACATACCTTAACGAGTTAAAATTCAAGGTTAAATCTGTAAAAATATCCCTCACGTCTACTATAAACACTCCTAATAAAAGCGACAACAGATATCCAGATAATATAACGCATGTTAAAAACTATTGATCGCTTATAACAATGATGTTGTGCCAGTCGCCTTCAAACTATCTATCCTTTTTGATACACAATAAAATATGTGTTAGCGCAATATTTTTGAGTTTTTGATTCGCGTAAAAATGAAGCATGCTCTGGATCAACTCAATGGGGAATCTCATCGATACCTCTTTTAAATCGAGTTTATTACGTGCAATCCTTTCTATAATAAGGGAGCAATGGAAAGCATGGAGCGTTTTAGAACGTTTACATGAACTACTAAATTGCAATCATTGTATTGACGACGAGTGGCATCTCTCTACCATTTGCGCACGCCACATAGTAAATTTAAGGCTAGAAATATCTGGAATTATGGGAAGCATTGTAGTCAAAAGCTTTTTATTTTTCATATTGACATGTGAGAATTTTTAAAGCTGCCCAGAATTGACGCAAGGTGGTGGGCTGGAAATCCAGTTCACAGCCAAGGCGCACATTGGCCCACGTTTACGTTTGTATTATGGTCGCCAAAAAAAAAAATAAAAATATATTTTTAAATTGATCCAACAGCTATCTGCGGAACCATTAGGCAAAAAATATGAGCTACGACGTATGTTTGTGAGCGCGCGATGCTGTAATATGGTCAAAAACGTGTTTTTCTACTTTTACATTATGACGTCACGGACTCGGAGGATTCGATTCGAGTCCTTGACCTATTACTCGGATTCGTCGAATCTCTGTAATGCCGGACTCGTCCCATCCCTAGTATACGCACACAGATGCACTAGCATAAAGGCATAGAAGAAGGATAGGAAATTAGTCTTACTCAACTCAATATATATGTTGATCAAACAATACAAGACGTCTTATAATCTCTGCAAAATCACATTAAAAGGGGGGAATATTATACTACTTCAAACTTACAAATAAAAAGCATAAAGAGCAAGTATTGAAGTTGCAGTCACAGCCCCAGTGACAATCTGGACAAATTCCAACAACTCCATTTTTCCCGTTTGGTTCTCAGATTCTTATAAATTTAGACTTGTGTAGTTCTGATACAGTTTAAGTTATAATCCATACCCAATATATTTACAGAGATAAATACTACACAATAGTATCTTATTATCTACAGATATAAGTAAAAATATTAGTATTATGAAACAAAAAGATAGATAATCAGCTCAAACTGAAGTTTGGTGATTTTGTAATTATAAAACTTGGAATGCACTTCAAAAATAACTCTTGTAATAAATAAACTTTAAATTAGGTATATTTAAAATCAGAGAAGTATATTAAATATATATTATTCATTTCGATATAATTACAAAAGTCATAATTATATTACATTACCCATATGTTATATTTATCTTGAGAAAGGAAATTTGATGATAGGGCTACATAACCAGGTTAAGCATTCAGATTACAGGTTGGATTAGTTATATTTACAGTCTGATAGAAAGTCTGAGTCTGAATTTTATCACCAACTTTGTGAAGTGGATAAATTGCCCTTATCAATTAGATAAAAATATTATTAAGAATATATGAAGTAAAAATTCATGGTTTCAGAAATTAGACTTTAAATATGAATTAACCCCAAAGATTAAGGCACAAAGTTATCAAGTTTTTTTTAACCAGACTTTATCTCTCTCTATTCAGTTTTTTCACTGTTTCTATATTTACACTTGAAAGCCTACTTTAATTTCCTAATTAATAAAATTTTTGGTCATGTGTTAAAAATTAATATTATACATTTAATATAGCAAACACTGAAACAAAACAAAGTGCTTCAGAATGAAGTTAATGAAAATGTTAATAAAAATATAATAATACACTTCAAGTATATGAAAAAAAATGTGTCCAAGTGTAACAACAAATAACAAATTGAACAGGGACAAGCAAACATTTGCAAGCGAAAATATTAGTATACTAAATTAGATATGTGAATGTGTGAACATGAACAGTTAGTATTACGGTAAGTATTACAGTAGAATTCCAGTTTTTTGTTGCCTCCTAAAAATCGTTATAATATGTATTATATATATTAATATATATGAATATATAAATTAGGAAAAAGGGTTACACTAACTCAGACTCATAACACAAAATCAGGAATAATAACATAAAATTGATATCTTGCTCTATGAAATAATTAATTAAAGCATAAAATAGAACATTTTACAGTCATATAAAAACTGAAATTGCTATAAACCCAAAACTGCTTAATTGTTGGTGAAAGGCAATTGCTTTCGTTTGAAAATAATTTCTCATGGAAACACATACCCAAAAAGCAATGCTATTATCAAATTGATTAGTTTTACAATACTTTACATGGGAAAAGATAGCATTTTCCTATTTATCCCGGGAAAGAGGAATGAGCAGTATGACTGACCACAGCACAGACTCTCTTTCAGATCCAGGTTCACAGTGTGGGAATAGCTAACAAGTTATCGTTTCAGATGCGCGAACTTCGATATTTGGTTTTGACATGAATATTTTCAACAAATCAGAGATAGAATTAATTCTATGTGAAGGTATACATGAAGGGTCATCATAGTGGTCTACTTCAATCTTATTGCAATCTCTCTCATAATAAATAGACATTGCAAGTTTAGCATCATTTGCGCCTTTTATGTCAGTCTCAATTGTATCACCAACCATTGTACATTCATCAGGCAGACAGTGGCATATTGAGCAAGCCTTTTGGAATATAGAAGGATGTGGTTTGTCATAAGGTTCGTCTCCAGAAACAAGAACATAATCAAAATATTTCTCAAAATTTAGTGTTTTTATTTTTTCCCATTGCACAACACTGCTACCGTTTGTCAGTAGTAAGAGTCTATAGCGCTTTCGCAACCTACACAATACTTCAAGACTTGTTGGCTCAAGCATTTTCAAATTATTAAGCCTCGTGTCATGCCAGATTTTATACAAGTCTTCAGCACTTTTCAAACTTTCATCAAAGGATATTGTTGCATTGTTTTCAGTTAATACTCTCTGAATGGCAGAATCCCATAATTTTATTCTAATGTCTCTTGGGCTTTGTAACTTGTATTCTTCATTTTTGATAGAATTCAAACTGTGGCTGAAAGTTTCAATCAATTTGTCTGCATGCTTATATAAAGTGCCCATCATCAAAGAGGAAGTGTTTTTTTCATGGAGATGCTCTTTAGTATGCTGATATGCTACATTTGTTGCAAGACTTGTGCCTATCAATGTCTCGTCCATGTCAAAAAATATAGCTTTAATTGCCATATTATAAATATGATTTTTCCATTCAGTTATGCTTCTTATACTAAACACTGAAACAGGAAATGCCCTATGAGTACAGAGGTAGGCAAAAGGCAGAAAGGATTGAACATTACAGCATTAGCATACAATCAAATCAGCTAAATTCAACCTAGAAAATTTTCAGAATAAATCAGGATTATTTGCATAAATAAAGTGGTACTTTAAAAAATACAGGAAAATCTTCCTTTCTATCAGTAAATCTATATGAATATTTACAGAAATAACACTGATTTCCTGGATTTCTTAAAATCTAATAGATCAAATTCAACTCAGAACTTCTATGCTATCTGGCCCTGATTAAATCCTGTAATCATATTATGAGCACATTCTACTATCTCAAATTGTTAACTGTTGCATTACTCTCATCTTATATTTGGTTGGCTTTAAATATTCTCTACTTCTGCTTCTGCTACATTCTCTGGTATCTCAAGCGACTGAAAAGCTGCACAATACATATGGCGCCTTACGCTTCGTCGATTCACCGATCTTATGAAACATACGTCATTACGCCAATAGTTCCGCACAGTCGCTGTTTCAAGTAACACGGTAATAACAGTTAACAATGTGGATTTGTCGCGCACGGGTGTATATTTACTCTGGAATATAGATCGAGATGTAGGACGATCGGTGATAGGAAAATGGTAGCTCGTTGATTCGTAAGCAAATTAATCACTGGGAATAGTCATGACTTCATTTGAAAGTTAGTTTACCGTCCGTGATTTTATGAATATGCATAAGATATTGTTTTCAGGAGCAAGACTAATCAGAATTTTCGCATTTATTACCCATGCCCACACACTCACCTACGCCCGAATATTAGTATTTTATTTGAGTAGAGTTATTTTATTTGTCCAAGAAAACACAAAAACGTTTCTAAGATAAATATTTAGATCTTTTTAGAAATCCACCGCCAAAGATAACACCCCCTTTCCAGAATATAATTTTTATTTATTGATAAAATGCAGCACTGAATTCGGCGATTTACAATAATATTTGGTCAAAATGGTATAACTCTCGAAATTTCATGCTCTATGTAACCTGTCCCTAATGTTACGAGCGCAACTTGCAGTACCTAAAACGTGGCGGGGTGTTTTACTCAAATCTCGTATTTTTGGATTGTGGCGGCGACTTTTTACAAAAATGACAGGAAAGGAAATCATGCAGTGTGCAAGACATTTGGATGTAACGAGAACAAAAAAGAAAAAGAATCATCAAAAGAGACATTAAGTGACAGAGCATAACCAATGGGAATTACTTTTAATCAACTCATTTTTTACTATTTATGAATGTCCCAAAGCCTTTTTCATCTAGCATGCTTCCAGATCAACTCATTCATTTCAAATACCGCGTTTAGACATTGAGTTTCTTACTGAAGTTGTACTGGTATAAAGAGAATGATATGTTCAATGTTGTATTTGGTGATCGGGGTACAAACTTATTTTCGTAAACGTAATTAAATGAATGGATTTATTTTTCTTCAGTCAACATTGCGTAGTACATATGATGAATAGATGGATATAACAATGGATTACCATGGAATATCATTTAGAAGGAGAAGTTAACAACTCGACACTGCTGTCAAGGTATATAATTGTTTTGTATATTAATTTTCATCAGATATACCGGTAATTAACGGAATAAATTTATTTTTCTTCAGTCAACATTGGAATATCATTTGGAAATGAATGTGCATTATGGAGGGATACTGCTATCACGGTATATAATTTATTGTATATTAATTGGTTATCTCATTTAATTAGTACATATTACACATTCTGGAAAACATTGGGGGCTCTCGAAGTACCGGTATGTACACCAAGATGGCGCACATCCTGAACATAGTATGTTTAAGATGATATTTATGACGTCTTGAGGGTTTTGAATTGAAATATTCTATGATTGTGCTACAAACAAGAACACCATAAAGTTGCAGCTCTGCAGTTTAGTCATTTTGTTTTCTATTTTTATACCTATCACCTCACTCAAAGTTCCATAAACTTGACAATGCAAAGCCGTCAATAATATGGCAGTTACATATGTGCATTTACATGCACAGAGATTTAAATATAATTTAATTCTATTTTAAACTGAATTTCACCATGGTAAAAAATTGACAACAGGTAGGACGGTTATTCAGGGAAGTCCCCACCGAGGGAGACATAAAAATTACTACATGGGCAAACACACCTTATTTGGAGAACCTCACTGTTCAGAGCAATGGAATGTTAAACCTTATTAAAACACAGGCAGTAACTTTATATCAAGGCATTTATATATTTATTTATAAATTGTTTAGTAGATGGCTATCATTAGAAATATATACAGGGTGTTAAAAAAGTTACGTAAAATTAACAGAAGTTGAGATGAAATGCTACTTTAAACATTCAACGACTGACAACTTTTAACAGTATTGATTTACAGTGAAATACCATTTAAACATTTAAAAACTGTCGTTTTTTAACAGTTACTTTATATCATTTAGGTTTATTTGTTAAAAATTTATTTTTATATTTTTAAAATCTAATCGTTGTATAAGCTCTCATCCAATAAATAACAAATTCCTAATACTGGAATCATTTATCACTCATTTAATACCACTTCATTCGGTGCCTCTGGCGCACAACCTGAACATAGTATGTGTACCAGGTTAGGGTTATCAGGTTGTGCGCCATCTTGGTGCACATACTTCTGGAACGCCCTTTATTCTTTATTTGTGTAAGAATATTCAGAATTTTGAAGAATATCATGAATTACCGGTGACTGTAACTATGAGATAGCAATGTAACTACTTGTTTTTTTAACTGCATTGTAAACATATATCACATCTAGCCAAAGAAACAAAACGGTATATGAGGCAGGGAGTTTTACAAAGGCGATTATTAGGGTTAATCATTAATATGAAATAGTTTTGTACCACTGGCTCAGGAGAATGGAATAGAATAGTATTAGTTGGTAAAGTGGGTTTATTTCTGTGTACGTTGCATAATGGAGATAGTGAAGTGTAGGTTATTTTGTGTTGATATGAGTAAGCATCGTAATAGACATGATTTTTGTTGATATTTGGTTTGAAATCATTGTCAATTTTACCTACTGTAAGATAAAAAATTGTTCCTACTTGTTTTTTTAAATGCATTGTAAACATATATCACATCTAGCCAAAGAAACAAAACGGTACATGAGGCAGGGAGTTTTACAAAGGCGATTATTAGGGTTAATCATTAATATGAAATAGTTTTGTACTGCTGGCTCAGGAGAATGGAATAGAATAGTATTAGTTGGTAAAGTGGGTTTATTTCTGTGTACGTTGCATAATGGAGATAGTGAAGTGTAGGTTATTTTGTGTTGATATGAGTAAGCATCGTAATAGACATGATTTTTGTTGATATTTGGTTTGAAATCATTGTCAATTTTACCTACTGTAAGATAAAAAATTGTTTGTGATTTCTAAAATAATCAAATTCAATTTAAACTAAAAATTTTTGATGTTTTTGCATTAGGCATTCACTATAGATAAGGTTGTACATGAGGCATGCAAGGTGTTGTAGGGTATTGCACAAGGTACTCAGGTCGGATTTGATATTGCATGATTCCAAATAATTTTTCCTCATAATTTTGGTTTCAAATTCTTAGCAATAGAAACATGTCAATTCTGGGCCTTTCAATGCTTTCTATTCAATTAAATAACTACGGTATACTGAATAACATCACTTACGACTAATATGTGTTTGATTTAAAAAATATGAAACCAAGTTGAGATATGTTAGATATTCCCTAACCTGAACTCTTTGAGTATACACACTATAAGTAGTCCCATAATTAGGTCATCTTATCAGGCTAATAATCTAAGAAAAATCTGCAATTTTGTGATTTTGTACCAAAATCTGAAATTAAATATTGTTCATTTTTCACAGTGTATGCCTATTTATATAGGCCTGGACTGAGTTTTTATGAGATTGCTTGACGTTGAAGATGTCAAGTGAAAGTAGGTATAAATTTATTATCAACGTATAACTTTTATCTGTGAATTTATTTTTGCACAACAATTTATATTAAATAGAGTTATGTTTGTCTCTGAGTAACCAAAAAAATGATATTAACTTTAAGTTTATTTAAATTTTACAATTACATCAGTAAGGTTTATTGTGAATATGCCATTGGGCAACTAAGCCAATGCTAAATAATTGATGCATTTTAAAAATCATTTGAAACACTCTGGATGGAATTAATTAAATTGATCATACCCGTGCAGCGGTTATTGGTTACCACCCAAATTTACTCTTGCTCTGAACAAGTCTCTATACAAGCAACCAATGATAATAATCTGTAAGGGGCTACTATTATGGAAAGAACTGGAATTTTTTTTATCAGGCTTTGCCTACTCACTCTATTGCACACTGATGGTGGGGTGTAATGAATTAGAAACTGAATATCTTGATATAAGGCTTCATTCAACCTAAATCTAAAGTACACTTAGAATGAAGCTACAGTGAAATACAACAAGTATACAACACAACAGTAAATGTTACTAAAGGAGAAAAACAGATGCGTATCGAATGTTGGCGCTAACAATAAGCAGGTCGATAGTAAAATGAGTAAAGTGGAATGAAGTAATAACACACTAAAGCACAGCAAATATTGCCATCAGATTTTAAACGCGCTACAATGATCATCGCTGGACTGCAAGTGTATAAACAAATAGTTATTTACATTTATTTACATTCACAAGTTATTTCAAGTTGATGAGGATGGGATTTGAACCTAAAATATGTAATATACAATGCTAATACAGTTAGATTTATCGCTTTCACCGCTTGGCATTATTAAGAATCATGAGGTGAATAAACATACTCGGCATAGACTGGTAAACGGATGAGAGGCTTTGATTTGCCATATGATTAAGCCGACTTATCAGCTTTTCATGCCCTGGGATATATATGTAAATCCTATCCTCTTCCAAGAATATATTTGCGTGAATCTGTGCAAACCTCCTGAGCCCCACCACTGCTATTAACCATATGAGACATAGGTCATTGTTTGTTCCATTTTTCAAAGAACAGAAATAGCTGGAGCATTTATTTTTTGTTCGATGGTATATAATGCTACCAACACTTTCTGGAATCATGAATTGACACTTGGTATAAGTATAATTTTGTTCCCACTCCATATTCAGCATAACAGACTTTAAGATAAATAATAAAAACTGATTACAACATCAGAAGAGCAAACAAAACCTTAAGTAGGGTTCATATCTCAAAAAGTGAACATCAAAAAATGATGTGCAAAATGCAAAAGAAATTGTATGTGTTCACTCATGAAGAAGTATTAAATTATTACACACGCACACACATACATACACTTATGATAAATAACTTTGACTAGTAACCAGGTGTGAGGTTGGGGTTTGCCATATTTGTAAAATATTTATACAAATCACCAATCCCTCAATTATGTGTAAAAATACTAACTCTAATAATCTAGATCAGGGCTACTCAACTATTTTTACTGAAGATCCTCATACAAAAATTCAAAATTATTTGGGTGTTTCCAGAAATTATATTTCGGTCTCCTTAAACACGCACTTCCTCGGCCAACAAATGATTATTAGCTACCAGTAATCAAGGTTATTATAGTTCTTTTCGTGTATACTCAAAACTATAAAAGTGATTTTATAAAAGGCAACTTCAAAAGTGGGGCTAATGATCCCCTAAAAATAATTATGTGCAGTCCGAATCAAATACTCGAAAGGTCTGGATTCGGATCGGGGTCCGCCATTTGAGTAGCCTTAATCTGGATGACATTTTTTAAATAGCAGAAACATCTGAAGCCCTAAACTTTTGTTAAATATTATTAGTAGCACTTCGATAATTTGTTTATAAACTTTAAGAATCTAAAGATTCGATTGGAATAGGATAGGATTTACATATTTATCCCGGGGAGAGAAAAGTCAATAAGAGGGCTTAATCATATGGCGAACCACAACTTCTCGTCCGATTACCAATCCAAGTCGGGTATGGGATTAGTTAGTTATTTGTTTTCGAAAATATGGAATTGACGGTGGAGGAAGCCATAATCGAACAGCGGTTATGTGAACCACCCTACGGCGGTGAGGAGTTCAGCAATCCTCTTGCACATAACCATTTTCTTATGGGATTCGAACCTGCGAACCCACGCAGAGTAATTAGGGGTACGATGGCGAGTGTATTCCTAACACTTAGCACGATTAGCCACACCGCCACCCCAATAATTTTATTTTTATTTGTTCTAATGTTTTCAGATGATAAAGATGCAATCGCTATAGCCTCTGTGACACAAGATGGAAGGTTCTGTTTAAATATGAACAATGTAAACACTCTTGTACACAAGCTAGCAGACAAAGAAGATGTTGCTATTATCTCAATGGCTGGAGCCTTCAGAACTGGGAAGTCTTTTATGCTAAGCATATTTCTACGTTATCTAAGAGAGAAAGGGGTATGTATGTAAAAAATATTAAACAGAATTATACTAATTATATCATAACTATTATTGTGCATATACTTGACTATAGAACATAAACCACTGGTCCAGAAGTAGCCAACCCGAGGAAAAATACCCCAATGTCAAACGGGCTGCGCTTAGGATATGGTCAATGTTTGGGTCAACATATGTCTGCGAATCCGTGTTTTCTACTATAAAACATGTAAAACCAAACCATGAGAAAGAACTGCTTCGATTGCCACAATGACATACAAGCCAAATTTAAAAAGGATTGTCCAAGAAACGCAAGAAGTCCCACTAAGTAGCATGCAAAACAATAAATGGCCTGTAAATTTTTGCCATCATCATGTTGGTTAGTGAAATGTACAATTAACTAGCATTCTAGCAGAGATGAATAAAGGTATATCTGATTTTCATGTGTTCTTGTTCATAATGTGGCTCTTCGCGATAATAAAGTACGAAACACGGTTTTTGGTCTCTGACTGGTTAGCTACCCCTGCGTCTGTGCATTGCCGATGTGATCATTTTGTTGTTAAAGTTGGAAAAACGTATTTTTAATGTCTCGGTGTAGAGAGTTAGAAAATTAGTTTTAAATTCCAAGACATTCTTAAACTCTTTAAATCAAATTTACACGCCGTCTGTTGAAAATTTTTGGCTAAGACGCGGACTCCATGTCAAAAACAATTTTCACTTTGACCCAAAATCAGTTTTTAATATCAAAAACGATGTATGTGAACCTTTTATTAATAGACTGTTAAGAACGCTTTGTAATTTCAATGTAGAGTATTTAGAAACTTTTTATCACCGTTGAAAGTCTGACAATCTAACTCAAAATTCAAATTCAAAATTTCGAATACCACTATGACTCTCTAGAGTTTGAAAATACAATTCAAATTGGGTAAATACATTCCAAACTCCAATTCCACAACTTCACTTTTTGGAGTCAGAATTTGGTACTCCCGAAGTATGTGAACAAAGAGAGTGGACACCGGAACGTAGTATGTGTACGAGGTTAGGGTTAGGCCATAATTTCAGGTACAAATACTACAGGAGTCACTTGAAATAACTAGTCCCCAAACTCGTATTAGAACCAAAATAAAGAATATTGGAATAAAATTATCGTCTAATCCTAACCTAGTACACATACTACAGTCCCGTGTCCGCTATCTTGTTTCACATACTTCGGGAGTACCCAGAATTTTGGAAGTTGGGGTCTGGATTTTGAAATTTTAAATGAACAGAAAAAGCAGCCAATCATGAGTTCCTGCTTGACAATGACAATGGCGACATTTAAGCAAGGCATTTATTTATTGTGCCCACAAACTAATTCAGACGGAACACTGTGCACTGTGGTGTATGGATGTCCCAAAATTAATTTTCAATGTGCTGTGCTTCCTTGTCTTGAGATATGAAGCTTTTTACAGCAAATTGAAAGACTATTGATCTGATTAATATATATCTCTGTTCAGTGGGAAAACGCGGATTGGTTTGGAGCGGAAGACAAAAAGCTGCATGATGGTTTTGATTGGGAAAGGGGACGAAAACCACATACGCAAGGAATAAATGTTTGGCCTGAGATATTTAATGTACCATTAGAAAGTGGAAATAAGGTGAAGCATTTGGTAAATTTTTCAAAGAAATCAATTCGGCTTACCAAGGTCTTAGAAGCATCTGCTTTGCAATTGCCAAATTGTGGGTAACTAGCTCGAAGCCTTTTTATTGATAAAAACTACCCTTGTCGTACACATAATACATGAAATATAATTTCACTCAAAAAGTGAATTCAAATTTTCCACCTTTTCACATGCAGGGTCAATTTACACTTTTTAGCAGCAATCATTTTTTCACAGTTTATAACATTTTTCACAAAGTATAAAAATTGAGAAAATTGAGCTCGAAGCCCTTTTGAGAAAAGTCCTCTTGTCAGGAACTTTACATTATTTTTTTCAATACTATGCTGTTCAAAATGTCTGAATTGTTTTGATAAATAAATCATGATTGATTGAAAATGGAGGAAATTTTATTCTATTTCAGATATCTGTAATGATTGTTGACACCCAAGGTCTACACGACCTTTCAAGTACACGAGATACGAATCATAAAATAATGATGCTGAGTACCCTTCTTTCTTCTCATCAAATTGTCAACTGTTCAAAAAATATAGAGCAAAGAGACCTGGAATTTTTGCATGTAAAGTTTTGGCAAGCCCTCTCCATCTTTTGTGATTAAAATAAAATTAACTCATTATGAAATATAGATTTGAAAGTATACCCCTGTATTGTATATATTTCATAAACATTCAAGTTTGAAAATTAATTAACTCTAGTTTGATTCAGCCCCATTGTGACCTGCCAAAAACATAGTAGAAACAGTAGCAATGATCTTTGACATTTCATGGATTAATAATTGCGTTTGTTTAGGTTCGATATTTGTTATACACTTTCACTTCAAAGAAAGCACAAAATGCCACTGAAAGACAAGGAGCTACTATTGTTAATAAGAAGGCAAACAATTTTCTATGTTCGACATAGCCTACCCAATTTGTTACACCTCCAGACAGAGGGTGGGAATGGAAGTTGAACTCAATATTTTCAGACTGCGAAATCAACTTAATGAGCGCTGACGCTTGAACCCCAAAGTCATTGTACCCATATTATCAAATGTAAATGAGCCTTAATAATATTGTTTTTATTTCAGTCATCCGTGGAATATGCAAAAGCAATTGCCAGAAAGTTCCAAACAAAAGATGAGCATCCTTTTCAGGTTTGATATGGCACAAGTTGTAATTTAATTCATTGTGTCACTTTATGTTTGAACGTGTTTTTTGTGATGACAAAATAAACGATTGATTGATTGATTGATTTCATGTTTTCATTGAAGACCACAGACAACAACCTCTCATTCGGCAGCGGTGCTCATCGTGCCAAGCATTAGGAATACGCCCGCCACCGTGCCTCTAATTACTCTGCGTGGGTTGGCAGATTTGAATTCCATACATGGATAGTTATGTGCCAGAGGATTGCTGGACTCCTCATCGCCGTAGCGAGGTTCACGTAAGCGCTGGTCGATTACGGCTTCCTCCACCACCAATTCCATGCTTCCGAAAACAAATAACTAAATAATCACATACCCGACATGGAATGGTAACCGGATGAGAGGCCGTGGTTTGCGATGTGGTTAAGCCATCCTATTGGATAAGTCTGAAAATCCTATTCTATCCTATTCTCACTTCCACCCAAACTCATAAGATGAACAATGCTCTTAGCAAGCAGATGATTTTACATTTAAACTCATTCACATAAAAATTACTAGCTAGACATATGGAGTGAATTTCGTAGTTTGAAGACTTTGGTATTTTTCTATGTTGTTGAGAAAGGGACATAAATTTGACCCATATAATGAGAGTTTCTTCTTAGTATAGGGATCTAAAGTATGTACCATAATCAGAACAGTCTTGCTAAACACTAACACAAGTTCTGTAATGACTTTCTTATTTATTGAAGGCAATTACTTTTCTGGTTCGGGATTGGGACTGCGATTTTGAATTCTCTTTTGGTGACAATGGTGGCTGTGAGCTTGTTGAAAACATTTTGAAAGATATTCCAGCAAATATGCCAAGAACAGTTAAAGAAGTGAAAGAATCAATTGGCATTGCTTTTGAAAATGTGTATGGATTTTTGATGCCTCTCCCTGAAAAGGAAATTCGTGGAAAACTGGAATATTCTGCAATTACTAATGCAGGTTGGAATTTTTTGACTGGCTTTTTTGGTTTCTCTGTTATGTGTAGTTGCTCTAGGCCAGTGGTTTCCAATTCGTGGCCTACGGGCCAATTAGATTTGATATGACTCGTCCAACTTAAGTGAAATAGTTTTTAGTTTAACCATGCTTTTACCGATTTTGTGCTAAAAACCAGCAATTGTTATGTCATTATCACATTTTAAGTGCGTGTATATTCATAGCAATTCAATTATACCAGTATATTAAATATACATGCCGATATTAGAATTACATAAGGCAGTATTTTAGTTATCAGTTAGTTATATCACGTTCCAAGAATATCATTCCGATTCTAATTTTGGCCCCTGGTCAATCATCTTTGGGAACTACTGCTCTAGGCAATGTCAGATTCCGTGGGAGATAATTTAATAATCTTAATAATGAAAAATATTATTAAAACTATGGTAAAATTGTAGTAAAGATTTTAAAACTGGAGTTCCTCCAATTTTTGATAAAACAACGGGGCTGTTTGTGGACCAGATGAAATGGATGAGGAAAGAGCCTTCATATTTATTCTGGGGGATAAGAAAGCCAATAAGACGGTTCGATTATATGGCAAACCAACTAGTCGTCCAGTTACCAGTCCATGCCGGCATGGAAATAGTTAGCCAGATATTTGTTTCAGATTTATGGATTTGATGGCGAAGGAAGCCATAACCGACCAGTGGGTACATGAACCACCCTACGATGACAAGGAGTCCAGCAATTCTCTTGCACTAAATTATCAAAATCAGGTGTGATCGATTGAAAGAGTATTTCAAACAATAATCACAATGCACCAATCTTCGATCCTTTTTCTAATGCTTACCATGAGCTGTTAATATTTTCTACATTTTGTCTCCTCTGTTTAGATATTGAAGGTGAATTCCGAAAATACGCTTGCCAATTGACAGAAAAGATTTTGCATCCCAAAAACCTCATAGCAAAACAAATGTGTGGCCAACCAATGTCCACAAATACTTTTCTTGGTCTTATAGCAGAAATCAGCAAAGTGTTTGAGAGTGGCGACTTGCCTCCTGTTGATAAAATGATCAAGGTAAAAATGTTATTGTAATATAGTTCATTATAATTTTTTTGCTCAGGAAAATTCCTGTCAAAAGTAGTATTGATGTGATACAAGAGATACAAGAGGCCTGCGGGTCACATAATAATTTTGCAGTTTGTTGTTTCTGAGATTGAACAGACTTGAACGGAGTTGAATTTTCTTGCTTATAGTTTCAATACATTGGATTTCAACACTCTCATGGTTGATGGCGGTGACTCGGCGATGTGGTGCTTTCCACCGCACCTCTGATTACCCTGTGTGGGTTCGCAGGTTCGAATCATATGCCCGATCATGTGCGAGGAGATTGCCGGACTCCGCGCCTTCGTAGGGTGGTTCACGTAACTTCTGGTTGGTTCTAGTCCCACACCCGACATGGAATGGTGACCGGACGAGAAGCCAAGGTTCTCCAATTTATTATCCATCTTATCGCCTTTCCTCTCCCCGGGATAAATATGTCAAAACTTACTAATCCTGCTATTTTTTTATCTTGATGATATATTTTGTATTTTAGTGCTATGAAAAAGCAGACAACATAGCTGATTTGATAAATGCTGTTTCAATTTATCAGCAACAAATGAATAAGGTATCTGTTTAATCATCACACATGTTAATAATTTCAGGTTCAATCATTATGTCTACAAAAGTGACATAACAATAAACAATTTAGCAGTCGCTCAGACACTTTTGTCACTCGGACAGATTTTCAGGCATTGTTGTAAACATTACCTGATTTTTGCGTTTTTGCCTACTATTTACTAGTTTTTTGAAAATTTAAGTATGAATCGAATAATCCAATGATCATTTTGTCATTTTCACCTAAAATTGTGCAATGGTAAAGTATAGGATGAATTTTTCGGGGGACAAATATCAGGGAAACATCATTCGGCAAACTCGAAATATTCTGGTTTGTCGATAAACCTTGGTCAGAGTAATGAAAAGGCTTAGGAAAATAACAAAATTAACACAATACAAACTCTAAAATGTGGATGGACAAACACATGCTTCTTTCATTATGAAATTCTTTCATTTTTGTAAATTTTTATATTTTCCAAAATATGTTTTCTGTCATAACTACTACATATACAATAGTTGTGCCTCATTCAGTTACTGTTTATACTAACCTGTGGGTCCCTGACGACTGTGGTACGCAATTAATATAATAATTATGGTATATTTATTCATTGCATCATTTTTATTTACACTTTTTATGATGACAAACAAACGATTGGCTGACTGAAATCGTAAAGTCAAAGTCAATAACACAGTCAAATTTCATTCTGTTGTTTTTCAGAACATCAGCAAATTTGACAAAATTATTTCAGAAGATGATGTTTTTAAGCACCACAAAAATGCCATGCAAGAAGTCCACCAGTTATTTTCTCAAAAGACATCAAACAGTTCTGAAGTGGAAAGAAGTGAAGTGTGGAAACGAATTGAAGAAGATTGTGAAAATTATTCTAATTCAGTTCTTGATGAAAATAAAGAGAAGAAAGTAAGTGCTTCCAGAATCATCATATAAGGTAGAGGTGTGAAACCTGCGGCCCACAGCCAAATGCGGCCCACGGAAAAGTGCCAATTTTGAATGGTGTGTGGCGCGCGAAACAAGTTTTCGATTCAGTTTGATCTTGTATGTGCAAGTAATTCCAATTCTTTTATGATGCAAAGTTATAAATCTATGCTTATAACGTTACGATGCCTCAAAAAGCTGGATTGTGCAAAGCTAACAGCACATGTGATGAGATCAATTACCAAAATTTTTGTGCCTACAACTTCTTAAAAACCTATTTTAAGTAAAGATGTGGCCCGCGGTTTCGCCCAGTTGTTTGTATTTGGCCCTCCTGAATCAAAAGCTGCACACCCCTGATATATGCTTTGTACATGTAGCATGTTTAGTGTATCTCCCAAAACAAATATGTAAATCCTATCTTATTCTTAGTGACAGATAAATATAGGAAAAGTGGAGCACAACATTTTTAGGAATATTCCTATTACTGGGTGTCCATGAAGTAGCTATAGCCACCATAGTTGACAAGCTATAGTTTCTATTGCCTAATTACCGGCATATCACTATTTGAAACACAGTTCTGAATTTCTCTTGTTTTGGCGGTTATTATACTGTTAAAAATGATATATATTGATTTTTAGCGCCAAAGAGAACAGAAAATCTATGAAATATCAGCAGAATTGGAAAAGCAATATGAACAAAAGATAAGAGATTTGGTGAGTCAATGGATTTTTCCCCGACCCTTGACCCCAGAAAATTTATTCCTATACTTTGACATAGCAAAATTTTGGATGTTTATTTTGCGAGTGTTCTGGAGAGTTATAAACTGGTTTACATGCTCAAAATCATTATTTTTATTACTAAAATATACAACCATGTGCCGCTTACCCTTGCCAATTGCTAATTTGGGCCTAGTCTATTGTAGCTTTTTCGGGACAAATTTTTCATTATTGCAACTAAACTAAAGCTCATTGGAAGACGTAATGACAAGACGTAATTGATTTTTCATGTGATATTTTGTAGAATATATCAGCAATGCCAGAGGCAGATCTGGAGGCCCAACTCACGAAATATCGAGAGGAAGCTGAGCAGAAGTATAACAAAGAGACCGTAGATTGCACAGATGTTCTCTCAGACATCATTGATGAAATACGGCAAAGGCTGATGAATAAATTGTCTGACTTTTCTAAACTTTTGAAAAGTGAAAAGGAAATAGAGGAAAAAAACAAGAAACTTGTGCAGGTATATAATTTTGGGCGCTCCCCAAAAATCTGTACTAAGATGACGCATCACCTGAACCCTAACCTGGTACACATACTACCTCCAGGTTGTGCATCATCTTGGTATATATACTTTGGGAGCTCCTAATTTTGGGTGAGGTACTCCCGTAGTATGTGAACCAATATGGCGGACACCAGAACGTAATATGTGTACCAGGTTGGGCCTTAATTTAATTCCAATTTTCTCTATTTCAGTTTTAATATGCGCTCGGGACAAGCCAAGTGACTACTGTAGTATTTGTATCTGAAATTATGGCCTAACCCTAACCTAGTCACATACTACGTTTTGGCGTCTGCCATCTTGGTTCCCATACTACGGGAGTACCTAATTTTGTACATGTTTAATTTTATATCAATCACGAAAAGATAAAAATATAAATAAAAAAGTCTAATGATTTCTTCGAATATGTAGGCTAGTTGGTGGAGGCCGTAACTGACCAGTGATTATGTAAACTGCACTGTAACTATTTGAAACCTAGATATCCTACTTCAAACATATACCCACAAGATTTAAACGTGTGAACCCACACATTGTAATAAGCTATGCATTTTGCAACCTGCGCCGTGCGTTCTTAATGCAGCCCATAAGGAAAAATTGTGCGGTTGCAGAGAAGTGCCAATTTTATTTGGCATGCGGCCGAGAAACAAATTTTTAATTTTGTTTAATCTGGTATCTGTGAGTAATTCCAATCTTGTTGCGTTGCAAAGCCTATACCTGAATTCAAATCATTATCTAAGCTTATGACGTAATAATAATATTCTAACAGCTAGTATGTGCGAAGCAAACAATGCATGTCACAAGATCAATAACCACCATTTTTGTACCTGCAACTACTAGAAAGCCGATGTAACTACTAGAAAGCCGATGTTAAATAAAGGTGCAGCCCGCAGTTTTGCCGAGTTATTTGTATCTGGCCCCTCCTGTATTAAAACTTGTACACCCCTGAGCTAAGCAATAAAAAATTATTCCTGATGTTTACTTGGTGCGTTAATCATCACCACTTAATGATGGTAGTATTGGCTTTTCAACCAGCTCAGTTCAATGGCACATCATTTTATGCTTCGTTCAGAATTCGAAAAAGTTTCCAGAGAAATTTTTCACAAAGTTTGGTGTTGAAAATTTTTCACAGCCTTGAGTGGCGAGTCGAAGTCTAACTTTTTCTTAACCTGTCATTGGAAGTCGAGCCTGAGCTCATAGTTTTTTTTAAAACAGAGTCTCGTGTTTAAGTCGATGATGAGTTTTTCTCGGCCCTACATTCCAAATTGCATATAAACTATACACAATGTTTGTTTTCTACTTTATAGAAGGAAGAAGAGTTGAATATTCAAAATGCTGTTCGTGAAGCTGAAATTTCATTTGACAAAGAAAAGGCAGAGGTAAATTCAAAGAACTCCCTGGAAGCTTTCATTGTTTCGAATTCCTTTCCAATTACTTGTAATCAGTAATCAGTATTTTATTTTATCCACCATACATGAAATATCGTACACTAGTGAATACATATTGTAAAAAGAGGCGAAACTGATAAGTCAAGGTGAAAAGGAGCTGCGAGAAACCATGACTGTTTATTGAGCCGCGACACCTGGCGTATACCTGGAGGTTTCAACTTGAATAGTTCAAGTACTTTCTCTACTTATAGTTAAGCGTCTGTGACTTCGCTTTCAGTGTACAAAAATATATAGAATATATCAATGAAATGATGAATGGTAGAAATAACGATAGGCGTTTAATATTCCAAATGTTTTCTTGAAAGAAATCCTGTTTTTAGATTGTAAAGGAATATCACTCAGACATTTCCAAGAAACTAGAGAACAAAAAGCTAAATCAAATGTTTGTTTTTGATCAAAAGTGTGTTGCTTTTAAAAATCGAACTGAGGTATGTATTTGAGTAATTTGAAACGTGCATTTATCTGTATTTGGTAAGATATGGTCAATAAAACTTACACCAATAGGATAACTCAAATGTAGACCAGAACATTTATCGTTATTGGGAATGATTACTGTCAATACCTTCATTTATTTCCTTTCTGATCAAATTGTATTCTGTATGTAGTGTTGATCATAGGAATATCGAAAGAATGTCGATTAATAATGAGAAAACTTTTATTTTTGTATCAATCCAAAAATGATCAATGTTGAAATAGCATTTTTTCGTAGGGTACTTTTGAACTTTTTAAATATTTTACTTGTGAGCACCATATCACTTAATGAAACAATCAGTGGGTTCATTCTAACATACATGTCACATGGTCATCTCTGTCTAAATTCAAATTCTCAATAGTTTCAGTATGTTTGTCTAACAATGAACTATGCTATGCATGCCACTTTAAGTAAAAAAAAATACAGATATTTTTATTGTTCCCGAAGAACTCTGTTGAGTGCCACAAAAGGGAACTAAATAAGAAAAATATCTTGAAGTTTATCACAATATACTGGAGTGAAATTGCACTAACTTTAGGTTGAAAAATACAGAGAAAAACTCATGGAAACTTTGAAAGAATCTATTAAATTAGCTGAAAATGAAAATTCAAAGACTAAGGTAAGAAGTCAAGTAACAGACAGTCGATCAAATATGACTGTTCTAGACAGGAATACACTGATATGTATAGATATTATGGTTCTTTAAAAGCCCTATTCATTTCTGATTTGATAGGACTTACTTATATTTATCCTGAGGAAGATGAAAACCGATAAGATGGCTTGATCATATGCAGAACAATGGCCTCTCATCCGGTTACCAGTCCATGTCGGGTGTGAGATTAGTTAGCCAGGTATTTGTTTCAGATGTATGGACTAGATGATGGAGGAAGCAGTAAACCAATAATGGTGGCAATAAGTTCAGCAATCATCTTGCACAAAATTATCTCTCACAGGATTCCAAACTTTGAACCCATTCAGAGTAATCAGAGGTATGGTGGTGAGCCCATTCCTAATGTTTGGTACAATCCGCCACACCATTTTCTGTTTAAATAACACCATAGATCAAGTGAGGGTCATGGCATTTGAACCTTGGATGTCTAACTAGCAGCTTAGTTAGATGATAACATATTAAGCTATTGTCGATACAAACAGTTAAATACTCATTTGTGTATGAATTAAAGTACATTACTGTCCATCCTCACATATAAGCCGACACTGGCTCTGACAATAAACAATTAGAAAGGATAATAAAAATTAGCCGTGTCAAAAATGATGTGAACTGTTAATAAGTGTTACGATTTATTAGAGTCGGCGTATATGCAAATTTTCATAAATTAACTGTTTTATGGTCGGTCTTAGGGGGTCAACTATCAAATAAACTGTACATAATTGATAAATATCCTTGATTAATTATTATAGGAACAACTCACAAAAGAATACAGAGATAACATCAAAATTGCTTCCAAGGAATATGAAAGAGAAATGGAAAAGGTTCGTACTATTAATGACTTTGGGCAAAACCACTAAAAACCTTGCCAAAGCGTGCAAAAATGCACAAAAACAGTGAAAAATCGTCAAAAACCACTATAAACCTTGCCAAAACATGCAAAATTGCACAAAAACAGTGAAAAACCATCAAAAACTACTATAAACCTTGCCAAAACCTGCATAAATGCGCAAAAACAGTGAAAAATTGTTAATAAGCACTTGAAACCTTGCTAAAACGTGCAAAAATATGCAAAAACAGTGAAAAACTACTAGAAGCCTTGCCAAAACGGGCAAAAACAGCATAAAACTGTCAAAAAGCACTAAACAATGACTGTTGCGAGAAACATTTGATTAATCAGCATTTAATGAATGTTAGTCGATCTATTTTGACAAATTCATTGTCAACAAAAGTAATAAGACAGATGAATACTGGCACTTCTTTTGTTCAAAGCTTAGTAACGCATTTCGCTCTGAACAAGGCTGCCATTGACATATAGGATAGGATAGGATTTACATATTTATCCCGGGGGAGAGGAAAGCCGATAAGACGGCTTATCCATATGGCGAACCACAGCCTCTCGTCCGGTTACCATTTCAAGTCGAGTATAGGATTAGTTTAGTCGGGTATAGGATTAGTTTAAGATTAGTATAACGATAAGAAGCTATAATTTTGGATTATGCTCATCTTTGTAGACATATGTTCGTGCATTGTTCCATTGTTCACCAAAAGTATAGTATACCAGCACTAAAGTCTGAACTCTTCATTTTATCAGTATCTGGCCAAAGGCCCTGTTGATAAAGATGAATTGTCCCAGCATCACGGGAGTTGTAAAACATTAGCACAGAAAATATTTGATGACAAAGTCAAGACTATGTAAGTGTATAGTTTTCAAACCTTGATCTTTTGTACTACTGGGCCAATACGTTTGTACTACCGGGCCAATATGCGCATTATCCGTAGTGAGCGGGCATTAATTTATAAACAATGCTCAGCTCAAACTTAAAATTTGATAAACTGGAATTGCAAATAAACAACAAAATTGATTTAACTTCAGGAAAACTCATCTGGAGTATCCAGCTTTAGATAACTTCAGATCAGAATTGAAAAAAAGCATTCAAGATAAATATATCAAAGGTTTTAAGAAGACAAATCAAATGAATTTGACTCTGCTTCAGCAACAGGAAAAAGTAATTAGATGATATTCTACATTTCTAACTCGGCTTATAATTTGTATCTAATTACGGAGCGCTCTCGAAGTATGTGTACCAAGATGGTGCACAATCTGAACTCTAACCTGGTACACATACTATGTTCCGGTTGTCGGACTTTGTCATTGTGAAATTATGTAAAATAATGACTCTGACTTCATTAATTTGAGTAAACTCCAGAGAAATTCCAATTTTTTTTGCAGATCACTTCCAAAGATTGTTCAAATCTTTCAGTAATGATTTTTATCAATCTGGATTTCGTAAAGTTCAGTACAATACCTAACCATCATACATTGTCTGTAATTTATTCATTTCATTCTTGTTAGACTCTAACCCAGACATAGGCAAATTACGGCTCGCGGGCCAAATCCGGCCCATTCGGTAAATCAATCTGGCCCACCTGATGCTGCCACAGCCAAACTGAAACCAAATTTTGATGTTTTAGCTAAAAATAACTCAAGGAATTTGTTGAGATTATGGTTAAATCTAGTTTTTGCATGATGCATTTTGTTTCCCATTTTTGCTTTGTAACACTGTAATATTGTTCGAAAAATGTAACTTTTCACGCCACACAGTCTAGGTAGGCAGAATTTTTGGCCCCTGGTTCAAAAACCTTGTCCACCCCTGCTCTAACCTGATTGCTTATTGATATGCTTTATATTTTAGGATTCCGAAGAATGTGTTAAACATATCAAATCTGCTTTGGAAAACTATACTAAAGAAATGAATGAGGTATATTTGCAGTGTTCAAAATTTCTTAGATAACATTATTTTTTTATAGAAGGATAGTAAATTACCTTTCATTGTTTGTCATATGCCAATGAAATGTCAAACGATAAGAATCAATTGCTGTGATATTCAATAATATCTTTAAATCAGCGTGATCGGGACAGTGATCGAAATTGCAACTAAATTGGCGCCTCGGTGTGGCTCAACGAACTAGGCATTAGGAATACGCTCGCCACCGCACCTCTAATTACTCTGCGTGGGTTCGCAGGTTCGAATCCCATGCAGGGATGGTTATGTGCGAGAGGATTGCTGGACTCCTCGATGCCATTGGGTGGTTCACATAACCGCTGGTTGGTTACGGCTTCCTCCACCACCAAGTCCATGCTTCCAAAAACAAACAATATAACTAATCCCATACCCGACTTGGAATGGTAACCGGACGAGAGGCCGTGGTTCGCCATATGGATAAGCCGTCTTATCGGCTTTCCTCTCCCCGGGATAAATATGTAAATCTTATCCTATCCTATAAGTCACCATGGCAACTCAGTCATATTGGCGCTTCTGGGCTGTAAATTTGGCATTTTCGTCAATCGTTCAATATCGTTAACCTTCGGCACAATTTTTTAACTGTCAAGTTTACAGAAAACTTTTTATTTTAATTTGGGCTAAATTTTTCAAAAACCACCCTTCTCAATGAATTGTTGGCTTAAAACTCAAAGCCTCAAAATATGTTGTGATAATCCAGTTGTGCAAGTTGATGCACAAAGTAAATCCATTACATAATTCTTTTATTATCAATTTTTCGTTCTGATTTCTTGGTGTTTCGCGAGGCGAAATAAAAAGTGTCGGTGTTCCGGGAAATGCTGCTCTAGATGATTGATTTTCGCCATTTACCTAGTTAAAATTTTCTTCATATCTCAATTTCATAATAAGTATTCTTTGTATCTAACATTACAAAGCTATCTTTTTAGTTGCTGGCAAGCGGAGCTTATTTTGAAGATGAAGAATTGAAGGCAAAACATGATATTCGTGAGAAAAAGTTGAAAGAGGAAATTATAGCTTTAACTGCTGATCTGTGAGTTTTATTTTGTAAAGATCATATATGCTCAAATCCATCAACGCATGTATTAGTATAGTGGTTCGCAGTGGTTCCCAAACTTTTTGTACCATCGCCCCCCTAAACTAGTTTATACAACTTCATTGCCCCCCGGCACTGCAAAATTTTTTTGATAAAGTCTGAATATATGTGAAATGAATATATTACAGACCAAATAAGAAGACAAATCATAGTTTATAGTGTTTTTTAATGAGATGGATGAGCTTGGTGTTCTTCAGCGAGTTTTTTATCATATCTGAAATTAACCCGTTTACTGATGGAAAGACGAGTTACGGTAGTTGTTTTGATAGCAATAGTGTCACAGATGAAAACCCCCTTTTTCACCATATCAGAGGTCGGAAATGAAAAAATCCAGGGTTCTACCTCCTCAAAAACCGCCGTGTACTTTTGCCTTATAGCATTCAACTCCCTAAATTCACCCCGTTTCACATTAAAATAATGAAAACAAAATTAATTTTTCAAAACTTATAATAATGATTTAGGTACATCTCATTTATCCCTACAGCCTGATGACCTTCACCAAAATACATGATATATAACGGTCTTCGGTAAAATCCCTTCCCCATTCCTCATCCTACCACGTCCTCCAGTCCGATCACCAGTCCATAGAATTAATCAGCCATTTGTTTTGGATTCGTGGACTCGGATGGCAAAGGGGTCGGCAAATTTTAAGTCGCTTGCGGGACAAAATTTAGGATTGCTATTCTTTTGCGGATCGCATATATTTTTTGAAAGTTAAAAACGGAACATCGTGCAAAAACTCCGACAATTCGTGAACTCAACTCAGTCGTCTTATTGAAAAATTATTACAATGGCATTTAATTTGACGCTGTTTTGTTGCTGCATCACGCTTGATAGCTTTACGACGCCAAGATTGGAAGATTTTCTAAATGGGCATCACTAATCTTAGTTCTTTGCTTGTTCTTTGTAATGTTCATTTTCAAAAATAATTGTTCGCAAAGATATGTACCGGTACTTCCAAACGTCAAGGTGAATATTTTTGCATAGTTTGTGAAATTTTGATAAAGATTTTCTTTAAGAAGATATATTCTTACAAAAATTAAGCAGTGATGATTCTCTCGAATAGAACATTATGAATTTTATTTCCTTATTGCATTGCAATATATTCGAATATTGACTGCGCTATTGAACCCTGTCCTCAGTTTCAGTTTAAATACAGTAATCAAAAATTAGTGTAGAAATAGCTGTGATAGACTGGGCTAAAATTCTTTACCGGTACTTTTAAAAAACAGATAGTGGTATGAATGGTATGAATTGAAATATTTTGAAACAAATACTTCATTTTTTAGGCAACAACTCGAACTCGCGAAACCACTCTTAAATTAAACACCGAATATTTAGAATGGTAAAATATGGGAAAAATTTTCGGGGTCAAAGGTCGGGAAAAGATTCATTCAGTGAAGCGTCCCGGGCCAGATTACTATAGATTTCCCGACCACTGGGATTCGCAAACTACCATACTTTACTGCGAAGACGAGTCCAAGACCTACGAAAGCCCGCAGAGTACAGTAATCGAGTGCACGAGGCGCCGACCAAAAACAGGTTTCGCAAAATGGCCCCCATATCGCCCCCTTTGACTTTTTCGCGCCAGATATCCCCCCCCCCCCTTGAATCGTTTTTGCCAACCGGGGGGGGGGGGCGATATAGCGGCCACAGATTATGAAAGATCAAGAACTGTGGTGTTCTTTTTTTATATAAGATTGCATAACGGTTTCGTTAAAATTTATCTGATGATTCGCAGACTGGATTCCTCGACGCTGTAAGGTGGTTCACGTAACCGCTGGTCGATTACGTTTCTTCCACCATCAAGTCCATGCTTCCGATATAAATAAATACCCAACTAATCCCCCCAGGATAAATATGTAAATCCTATATTATCCTATGGAATAAAATCTTCAATATGGCGTCGAATTTTTGAGAAACACTGTACGAGCATGACATCCAAAGTTTTCCCAATAGTGCTTTTATGTCACAGTCAAATTTGCTTTGTGGTCTTCCTAATATCACTTCGCAGCCCCCTAAGCGACCCCACTTCGAGAACCAACACTTAAAAATGACCAGTATAACATATAGGTAGATGTTGTTGTTATCCCTATATTGTATCCCTATCCTGTTTACATAACAATTGTTTTTGAATTGTAATCAATTCAGTTGGTAGTTCACTTTTAAATTTTGTGCTACTATGTTGAATTCACTCTATATGCTGAAAATCATTGTTATTTCAGCTCAGAACAACAAAGAAATATTGACCTAATTGAAGAACAGCTACAAGCGAAGTTTTTACAATTCCAATCGAAGAATAACGATAATCGAGCCGAAGCACTAGAGAATGAGGTAGATGTTGAATAAGTTGTAGCAGCTTGGTGACAAGCTTAATTTGTGCCTAATTAGCCCCAGAACGATGGGCTTGTCATATAAAGCTGAATATTTAATGAATATGATTTTAAGCAATATAGAAGTGGTCAATTTGGCCAAATTCAAACCATTTGTTATTGATGGCTTCTTCCATCCAAAATCAACAGGCTGTCTAATATTTTTAACTATGTTCCATCAAATGATATATCAAATTTTACACCCCTTGAATTAGCAGGAAAGTTTCGATCTGAGAACAGAGATTAGGTACCAACTTGTTAAAATTTAATTTGCTCATTTTCATTTCAGAAACTGGAGCTCATTAGGACCTCTGTGCAGCAATATACAAATTCTATGAGAGAGGTATTAAATCCATAGTAAATTGTGTGTTCAATTTTCATTTTTTTAAGTGTGTATGCTCGACTATATTTAACTGTGTAAACTTGACTATCATCATGTCCAAAAGTTCTTGCATTATTATAAATTCTATGAATCTTTTTTTCTCTAAAAAGCGGCGATCCGGAAGTATATGCACCAAGATGGCGCACAACCTGGACCCTGACCTGGTACACATACCATATTCAGGTTGTGCGCCATCTTAGTTCACATACTCCGGGAGCACCTAAAGGGCTTTGTACCCTTGAATGGTAACGTAAAGTCTAACCACTTGAATACTTCTCATTGAATGAATATTTTTTAATAGCTCACTATGAATAACATCATTGAAGAAAAAATCTTGGAAGAAAAGCATATTGAATTCAAAAACAAAGCATTGGAAACTTTATCCAACAATTCAATGTATGTTATTTCGAGTTCATTTTATTCAACAAAACAGAATTTGGGTAAAAGGCAACTAAAAAGAATTGGATTTTTTTTCCTACTCTGTGGGGAATCATAAAGTCTGGAAAAATGTATACAGGGTTGTTTTAGTCCCAGGAATGCATATTTGGATTTTGGCACACAGAGTCAGGGCAGAAGTCGTGTATCCTGACTCTCCGGAAGTTAGAGTAAAGGGTATATGTTAGTGATTTATTGAGTTAAATTTATTAATTTATTGTTGTATTAAGTTTCCTAAGTGTTAACAGTCAATTAAAGGTTGGCATAGGCTGAAACTGTAGTAGGTGTCGCTGCCTGAAGACTTTATGAGGTCCCTTGCGACTCCGGTCACACAACTTAAGTTAGATTGTGTTTGAAATGTTTTTTCTTATGATATGTTTATTTTGTGCTGACAAATAAATGATGATTGATTGTACTTATGTTGAAATTAATATATTTTGGAAGACCAGAAATTCAGTGGACTCTAAATAAGGCTATGCTGAAGCACCCACTGATATGTAAGAAGCTACGTTATGTTGGATTGATTGGAATCTTGCTCATTCAGCATTTTTACCCAACTTAAAAAATGAGAATTTTAAATCTGCGATTTTAATGATGCCAACAAAAACCACTTTTATAGGTTCCTTAATGATGACTGGGAAGATGTGAATCAAACATTGGACAATATTCATCTGCGATTTAGGGCCGAAAACAACAATGCCAAAGAAAAGGAAAAGTTTGATGATGATAAACAGGTTGTTCATCACAAATGACATATATCTTCTTTTTAAAATATTTTGAAGTCTTACAAAGTCTTATTTTTGTTAAAACATGGGATTGAAGTACATAACTAATTTAACAAAATTGCAATGGCCTCTAATTCGGCTACTTCTGCAGGTATGAGAATAGCTTACAAGTAGATTGTCCAAGATGTATGGACTTTCAGGTTCAGATTAGTAGTTACACTAATCCTGCATTGGCTAGAAATGTAAAAAATTCCTCTAGCGTTATAATCTTCTCCACGGGTTGCCTCATTTGGTTGTTGCTTGCATTTCAACTGTTGGGCCATTATAATAGTAACATTATTAAAATATGTAATGTACATTATGTAACATTAGGCTTACCATACATCCTGCTTTAGGTGGGACAGTCCTGCTTTTCAGCGTTTGGTTCCGCCGTCCCGATAAGTCAGTCAAAAGTCCCGCTTTTTCAGCATATTACATAAACATGTTTTGGTTACTGTTGTTTCTGTGTAGCGCAGCGCTAGCCAGCTTACTGGAGGTGAATGCGTTCGTTTTTCGCTGATTCCCATTGATGGCAGACGTATCGCATGTAAAACCAATACTGTTTAGTCTAAATTTGAATTATTTGTACCGGTACCGTTAACGTCAATTCCTTCCTATTTTTCGAACTGAACCCGATATTTGGACAGAGAATATGCGCATGAAATTTCGATAATAATATGGTCAATAAAGACAGCCGGGACAGCTTATTAGTAATGTAGGCCTATGTAGTAAAATCGGAAAATGTGAAGTTACAAAATCACAGCTAAGGGGTCGTTGTCTTTTGAGACGTCCCTATTTGAAGTCACAAAAATATGGTAACCCTATGTAACATATATATTTCAATTTTGTAGAAATTATATCTGGAGAAACTCAAGACAAGGAGAGATGACTGTAGAAATGAATTCATTGGGGAAATCAGGAAGGTAATTCAATTTTCCAATAAATCTAATCGTAGCAAAATGTGCAAAAACTGAAATCATATATATCATATTCATGTATTTTAGCATGGTAAAAAGTATACAGAAAACTTTGAAAATATTTGCTGTGATACTAAGGAAAAAATCATGAAAAAGTTTGATGAAGCTGTTCAATGTCTGAAAGGAAATATCTCGGAGGAAGATTTTGAAAAAACAATGAAAGAATTGGAACTTGAGATAAACAAAGAAATTGAAATTGCGATGCTGGACAACACAGAGAATCAGGTCAGATATCCTAGTTTGACTTGCAAAGTAACATTGGTTTAATTGGTACTCCCAAAGTATGTGAACCAAAAAGGAGGACACCGGAACGTAGTATGTGTACCAGATTACGGTTAGGCCATAATTTTATTCTAATTCTCCTTATTTTAGTTTTATTACGAGTTCGGGGACTAGCCAAGTGACTCCTGTAGTATTTGTACCTGAAATTATGGCCTAACATGATACACATACTACGTTCCGGTGTCAACCATCTTGGTTCAAATACTTCGGGAGTACCATTTAATGTGAGATAGACGGTAACTTTGATGTCTTGAGGCGAAATTAATCTGTTTGATGACTGTTGTGTATGAAATCTTGTCGCGACTCGACTAGTTACTCAGGAGTGGAGTGACAAAACTTTAAAACCTGTGACTTGCAACTCAGTGTTTAGGGTGTTTGTCCAACATTGGTTGTAATAATGCCAGACATAAAATTATTGGTGCAATTATGTATGAAATACTATTCAAACATAGTTTGTGTACCACGTTCGGGTTGTTCAGGTTATGCGTCATCTTGGTACGAATACTTCCGGTGCGCCATCCTGTGCATTCTGTACAAAGGCATGAATATGTGCAAATATTTTGTGATCCCTCTTGTTTTCACTTTATTGTGTTTTTCATGAATTCCTAGAATTTTTTTTTCGTGATTTCTCAGAATTCAAAGTACACTAACTACTGGTAACTATTCCTGGACCTGTGAGAGGGAGAGACTCTAGTTCGCATTGGGATCAAGGTCCTCCATCCACTTTCTTCTTTCTGGGTGTAGTTGAGATAGACATAAGAAACAATTTATCACAATTTTCCCAAAAAGTCTATGTATACTTATTGCTTAGAATTAGAATTGAAATATTTTTTGAAAACCTAATTGTAGCTCTTATGTATTTTCAGACACATGAAAAAAACAATGTTGAGACGATAGTGAACACGTTTACGACATCTTATCGCTCTATGTTGAATAAGGTTTGTAGATGGAAATTTTACATCATTGGTTGAATAACTATTGCATTGTGTTAAGGGTAAACAGTTTATGCTTCTTGGTTGACCCATGATTACTCCTTGAGCATGTATATTTGCCTTAAAAAATAACACTATAACATGTACCCTTCACAAGTATAACAGCAGTTTAAGGCTGATATGCTATAATAGGACAACAAAATGGAATAACAAAATATACAAATGAAACTTTAGTTCAATACAAGGATCCGATCTTAAGAAGGTTCGCAGGTTCGAATCCCATGCAGGGATGGGTATGTGCGAGAGGATTGCTGGACTCCTCGCCGTCGTTGGGTGGTTCATGTAACCGCTGGTCGGTTATGGCTTCCTCCACCACCAAGTCCATGCTTCCGAAAACAAATAATATAACTAATCCCATACCCGACTTGGAATGGTAACCGGACGAGAGGCCGTGGTTCGCCATATGGATAAGCCGTCTTATCGACTTTCCTCTCTCCATGGATAAATATGTAAATCCTATCCTATCCATCGGCATCGCGTATTGATTTATCTAATCACTGTAATGATTAACTACTAGTATTGAGCTATTTTCATGCCCCGTCTGGACCATCAAAAATGTTGTGTGCCATTTGTCTCACTTTGAATTGGGCTAGTTATATATATTGTGAGGCAAATGGTTAAAGTAAATACACGAAATGGCTTGTAGTTGATTTAATACTTCAGCAAAAGATTACAGTAAACCTTCATAAAAAGTGTAGGAGTAAGGATTCGTATGAATGAAAATTTGTAACACTGGATCAAATAGACGAGTGTAGGACTTGATATTTTAGAGACAACCTAATCCGAACAGATGATTGAGTTGTCTTATCGTTAAAATTTAATCTAATTACCTATTTTGTTTATTCAGCACATGAAAAAGCACTACGTGAAGCCAACTCGTTTAAATAAAACCGAAAAAGAATTCCTTGATGATATTGAGAAGGGAACAATGGGTCAAAACATAAAGGATAAGATCATCCTCGCGATCAAAGCAGAAACCGAAAAAGCAAGAAACTTGAATGCTAAGAATGAGAGGTTTAGGATCTTCACACTCGATGACGACTCCATTATTGAACAGCTGAGAAAACTTGTTTCAAATTTACTAACATATTTGTTTGGTAAAGATACTCCGAAAGACGATATGGAAGCACAAATTATAGAATAGAACAAATAGAAAAAATTTGATGAGCCCTTTGAGTCAATTTATATTTTATTAGTTTATCCCTCTCTACTAACAAGTAACAAACTTATGAAACGCATTTGCTTGTGATTAGTGTAATTGAAATGGACAGGTGGATCACTACCCTAAATTCTCGTTATTATTAAAAAAAATCGCTCTTTTCTGCAACTAATGATTCAATTGATTTCATTCTTTTACTACAGTTGATTAGAGTCGCTAGTAGGCTAAAACTTTTATTTTTAAATTCCTCCTGCCAGTGTGGGACCCGATATCCTACCAAATATTTTGCTGTTTTATTTTATTGAAGTGGAACACTTCTTTATTTCATAACAGCTTATTTACTGATCTTTTGTTCAAACTAGTTGCTTGCCTATGTCATCTTCATTCCCGTAATATATTATACAATCCAATACTTTTTAGCTTGCTTATATAATATGTACTTTGCAAATATGCACTGCTTTTAATATAACGCTTGGCAATTTTTTGGGTAATTGTTTATAATATTGCTCTGCACAAAGATGAACATTTTTTAATCTAGCACAATATTAATTTGCAATAATAAAAATCCTATTCGAATATATGGTGTGATTATCCAACTCAATTTTTAAGGAAAAGATTTTGACTTGTTAAAGTTTGACGATTATTAATCGGTTTGTTTTAAACAAATGATGATCTCGATTATGTGTCTCAAGTACTCGGTAGTTTATTTAATTAATACTATTTAAACGAATGTCACAGGGGATCTATTAAGGAGGCCAGCAATCGGGAAAACTCAGTGGGCCCAATTATTAGTTCGTATAGCTTTAGGCCGCGCTACACAATAATGAGAACAAAAGCTGAGTTCTTGTGGTCAGATTTAGGAGACAATGAGATATTTACGATGGTGCAGGAAAATTTTACATTTTGTTGAATGTTAATTAATGCATTAGGTTGCAACAGTCGGTATTTATCATCGCGTAACTAACCGCCCTCACTATTTACGGTGTCAGTTGATCATGGCACTTTACTATTCGCCCGTAATTTTGTTCGGAGATCATATCCTTTTGCGCACGACAATTAATTGAGCAGATTTCTCTCATGACTGGGTGCGGGACAGATGTGTCGACGGTATTAACTTGGAAACAAATAGAATATAAAAGTTAAGAACATCTTAACGGTATTGACTTGGAAACAAATAGAATATAAAAGTTAAGAACATCTTACATTCGAAATGATGAACAACTAAAGAATAGGATTTGAATAATGTGAACTACGTTGGCATTGCTGTATGTGCTGGCTACCGCTGTTATTACAATTTTACATACCTGCATACTAGGATACTGAGGTGAAATTGGCACATGTATTTCTACGTGTTTTACATCCTATTATGACTTTTATAGGTTTTCATGATTTTCTCAATCGTTTGTATTTTCATTATTTTGTTTCATGTATGTATTTTTCGGGGAATCAGAATAAACTTGATCCTTAATCGTATATTTATATATCGGCGGTTGGCGCGTTGTGCTCGACATGAGAAATACGCTTGGCGTTGTACTTATTTAACTTGCGCATTTTCAACTTCTGTGGATGATAATTATGAACGACAGGACTGCTAGACTTCTCACAAGTTGTAGGGGTGGTTCACGTAGTCGTAAGTGCTGGTCGGCTATGGTTTCCCCGCGTACAAGTCCGTGAATCTGGTTAATTATTCCCATACCCAACATAGATTGGAAACCGGGCGAGTAGCTGGGGTTTGCTACATAATTAGGTGAAATAGTTATAAACTACTGATTACAGGTCGTCTTATCGGATCCCCACTTCACGGGTCGAATGCGAAAATCTTCACGACCATGTAGAATGCCTTGCGCGCTTCGGGTTCGGATATTGAACTCCGGCCACCGCTTCCGTTCGGTTATGTCACGCTTACCATATTTCTTTTCGAGCGTTTTCCTTCCATTGCGCCATCGCCGTGACGCTCCAGTGTTATTTTTATGTTTGTTGAACAAAGAGCGGCAATGTTCAGCATATTTGGGATTATACCGTATCTTTAAACGTGCCCACATTCCAACAATTTGAAGTAAATTAAATCGGGAATGAAAATAGCCGAAGCGGTACCGGTACGCGATGGGAATAATGCACTGATCACACTGCCATAACAGCATAAAGGTACGGTACCGGTACCTGTCTGCCTACGCCTGTGCAGTACGGTAGTACCTGTAGGCCTACCGGGTACCGTATCCTGGTATTGGTTCTATGTAGTCAACAGTTTGTTTGAAGACAGCCTGCTAAAGTGCTGTCCTCACAGACCACAAACCGAGAACTGATCATGACTTTACATATGTATGTAAAAAATACGTTACCGGTACCGGTGCTGCGACGTCACAATGCACAGATGTATGTATGTTTATTCGTCTCGTAAATTCATAGAGCTTGCCAAAGTCTGAAAGTTAAACTATGCCCAAAACGGCATGTGCGCCGATGATAAAAAACTGACTGAACGGCTCGAGATTGTTGCGATGAGAGAACGAAAGAAATAGCTCAGTAGCTAGCTTGCTCGATTTTGGGTGATCGTCTGCGCGTCTTAGATGGCAGTTCGTATAGTTTGAAGGGCTTCATTACGTCACTGTGATGTCATTGTGACTAATATTTGGATGACGCAATCATGTGGGGGTTAGGATTAACATATGCTGATATGTATAAATGGGGTCTGGTATAGTTTAGTACCACATGCACTTCTAATTGGCCTGGCTCAACTATTTTTGCAAATGTCAATCCTAACCCCTACCTGACTAAGTCACCGAAAAATTACGTCATTTCGACGTCACAGTGGTGTAATGAGGCCCACCAAAGTATGCGGAAGGGCGTCCAAAACGCGCAGACGATCATCCGAAATCGAGCAAGCTATTTCTCTCGTTTTTTCGTCACAACGATCCCGATAGGAGAGAGATCGCCGGGGTTAGCGAGTTCGTTATCAGCGGCGCAGATGCCATTTCGGGCGATCGTACTTATACTTTGACAAGCCCTATGACTGTATGACGTGATGATGACGTCGTAGTGACGTAATTTTTGGATGGCATAGTCAGGTGGGGGTTAGGAATAACATATGCAAAATTCGTTATGCTATGCCCACTGGAAGTACTTGTGGTACCAAACTATACTAGACCCCAAAAATATTATGCTACGCCCACTACAGTACAGCACACTATCCAAATTCCAAGAATTTCCCTTCATTTGGCTCAATAAAACAAACACTCCATGTGTCTCATAAACGAGGGGCGTCTGGGACCACGTCAGATGCTTCATATCGCGCCATGCTTGTCTCAATAATATTCTAAATTAATCGCGGCCGTTACATGACCAAATTTGCTGTTTTTTGCTAAAAACTCTTGAATGCTACGGTAAAATATTTTTTCCTTCGGTAAATCTGATTATTCTTTCCCAAGGAATTCAATGATGGCGTTACTAGATTGCGCTATTTTGTAGTATTTTGTGCAACTTCGTTATACTGTATTATTACCGATATTGAATGACAACAATGTCCAGAGGCCTCCTAAAGGAGGGGTGTCTGCTCATATGTAAAATGGGTTTCTCTGAAACGAGACAATGTCACTCTATTTGTATAGTGTGCCGTACTGCACTAGAAGTACGTTAGGTACGAAACTACATGAGACCCGGGGTTATGATTAACATATGCAAAAATATTATTGTTATGCTACGCCCACTAGAAATACTTTGGGTACGAAACTACCCTAGACCCGATTTCTTTAATTTTAATTAAAATATTTTGGTCTCACCATAATTCAGTAATTTCTGAATTTCAATCAATCATCTATTATTGTTATTCATTACTGCTACTTTCAAGTTGTTATTGTAATATTATTGTAAATTTCTAGGTCAGATTATTGACTTACAAATTAACCTAATTTTCGGATCACATAATGTGGGGGTTATGAATGGAAAACAGCAATGTTTTGTAATAATAGCACTGAATCATATTACATTTGGCACAGGTCTACAGGTTCATTGAACGCTGTTCTTTTTCAAAATAATATCGCGGGTACCATGTAATCCGAACGAAGCATGTGATTATAATATAATTTATTTATAATTTATATTATAAAGGATCAGTGCAGCTGATTAGATTCCGGAAACACTACCATAATTTGTCTTACCTGTTAATAATTAAATGGTCTAGCAATGATTGACACGAAATGCAGCGGGTTGTGAACATGGCCCTTACATTCAATGAAGCACGACTTAGCAGAATATGGTTGTGATAACATAAGACTGCCGATGCTGCCAAGGGTCACTACAATGATTTATGATAGTTAGTCAGAGAAGTATACTTAATACATGTGTTGGGTTAAAAGAGTTGAATCAGAGCCCTGAAGCTGGAGGTGCAGTTCGTACCACTTCATGGCAGCTCCTGCCACGAACGAACCGATGGCAGCTCTTGCTGTGGTTATGGCGCTATTACCGGTATATTCACAAGTCATGTACCAGATTTTGGTTTATCATGCGAAATTGTATCTACTTAAACCTGAAACCTAACCCTAAATCCATGAAAAGTGTGTCCATAGGAAAAATGTTCCAACTTACCCAATATTTATCACCATCAGGGGCAGCCCTGCCATTACAGCCGACATGCCATGGTTATGGCAGCAAAATTTTACCCGCCTTTGGTTTTCAATTTGTGGCCTTGGTAAATGTATCTCGCTATTGGTTTGTGGAAGCTAAAAAGTCAGTTGTCATAGGTTTGGTCATAGAGGCCATGGTTTGGAAATCTCGTCATGGTTTTGCGGCCGCTTCATACGGCACGAAATACTTGAAACTACAAGAAGCTGGGTCAATCACTAAGTTAAGTCTCCCTGGAGATTGTCTCAATTTTCCACTTGAGCCATTTCTAGTCCAATTCAAATCTATTAAATTTCTAGAGCCCCCACCCCAAAACTGCTAAATACTGACTTTATATATTCATCATTCCAAAGGTCGGTTTACTCATAAATTAGTTGATTATTTGCTTTAGCCTAATTAATATTTTGGCAGAAAATTTTTCATTTTCTACAAAAAAGCAAGAAAAATTTGAGGGGGATTTGTGTAGCGGCAAAATTCGAAGCCTTCATGTCATCTGACGGTTTCAACGATAAAAAATCTCCAGCTAACGACAACAATATAACAAACTCTCCTCCAAAAAAGTTTCGAAAAGTTGACGACACGACGGGATCAATTTGTACAAGAGAATCAGTGATAGTAGCTGTAACACCCGGAATGGCTCAAAACGGAACAAAAATGGCGGAAGACTCGATCGATGAGGGGTTGTATTCACGACAGTTGTACGTACTCGGTCACGAAGCAATGAAACGGATGGGAGCTTCTAATATTTTCATAAGCGGCATGAAGGGCCTTGGAGTGGAGATTGCAAAGAATGTAGTTCTTGCTGGTGTGAAGTCTGTTACTATTCATGATGATGGCGTTACTGTTTTATCTGATCTCAGTTCGCAGTATTTTTTGACTGAGCAAGATGTTGGGAAAAGCAGAGCCGAGGTTTCGGTTGGGAAAATTACCGAGTTAAATTCCTATGTTCCAGTCAAAGTTCACTCTGGTGATTTAACCGATGAAATTTTGAAAAAATTTCAAGTTGTTGTTCTTACAAATTCTAACCTAGAAGAACAGCTCAGAATTGGGGATTTCTGCCACAACAACGGTATTCGTTTCATTGTTGCGGATACTAAAGGTCTTTTTGGTCAAATCTTCTGCGATTTTGGTGAGAAATTCGTCGTTTTTGACAATAATGGGGAACAGGTTAGATCGGTTATGGTATCAGCTGTCACACAGAATGAAAAAGGGGAAGGTATTGTGGCTTGTATGGACGAGACTAGACATGGATTCGAAAGTGGTGACCACGTTTCTTTTACGGAAGTCAAAGGAATGGTTGAACTTAACGGATGTCAACCAAGGGAAATAAAGGTCCTTGGACCTTATACTTTCACTATAGGCAATGTCAGCAATTTGACTAAATATGAAAGTGGGGGAATCTGTACTCAAGTTAAAATGCCTACCCCTGTCAATTTTAAATCTCTCAGAGAAGCTATGGCAGAACCGGAGCAAGTAATTACTGATTTTGCAAAATGGGAACGTCCTGGCCAATTACACGTTGCTTTCCATGCTTTACATAAGTTTGTCGCTGACAAAAATAGTTTACCAAGAGCTCAGAATAAAGAGGATGCTGATACTTTGGTACGAATCACGGAAGAGTTGAATTCGACTCTACCAGATGGTGCCAAAGTGGAAAAAGTTGATGAGAAGTTAGTACGACAACTTGCATATGGTGCACGAGGTGACCTTTGCCCTATGCAGGCAGTAATTGGCAGTATCACTGCACAGGAAGTAATGAAAGCGTGTAGCGGAAAATTTAACCCAATTAAGCAGTTCTTGTATTTCGATGCTCTTGAGTGCCTCCCAGAGGATGGGGAGGAAAAATTGGATGAGGGATCTTGTACAGCCATTGGTGATCGATATGACGCTCAAATCGCAGTTTTTGGAAAAGATTTTCAAAAAACCGTCGGTCAACAGAAATATTTTGTTGTCGGTGCTGGTGCCATAGGCTGCGAACTTCTCAAAAATTTTGCTATGATGGGTCTTGGATTTGGAGAACGAGGGAATATCACTGTAACAGACATGGACATTATTGAGAAATCAAATCTTAATCGCCAGTTTCTGTTCAGACCATGGGATGTTCAGAAACTCAAGTCTGAATGTGCAGCCGCTTCTGTCAAGAAAATGAACCCCCAGGTTAACATCATTGCTCATCAGAATAGAGTTGGACCAGAAACTGAAAAAGTTTACAACGATTCTTTCTTCGAAGATCTCGATGGTGTCACAAATGCTTTGGACAACATTGATGCAAGAATTTATATGGATCGGAGATGTGTGTATTACCGTAAGCCTCTGCTTGAATCTGGTACGCTCGGGACTAAAGGAAATGTCCAAGTTGTTCTGCCTTTTCTCACAGAGTCTTATTCTTCCTCACAGGATCCCCCTGAAAAGTCTATCCCAATTTGCACGTTGAAAAATTTCCCGAATGCGATTGAACATACTTTGCAATGGGCACGTGATGAATTTGAAGGGATTTTCAAACAACCAGCTGAAACCGCTAATCAATTTCTTACTGATGCAAAGTTTTTTGAACGAACCGAGAAACTGCCTGGAATGGAACCTATTGTTACATTGGAGTCTGTTTTTTCCTCCCTTGTCTCGCAATATCCGAAATCTTTCGTTGATTGCGTGAAATGGGCTCGTACGAGATTCCAGGAGCAGTATTATAACAATATTGCGCAATTACTACATAACTTTCCACCAGACCAAAAAACAACATCTGGTGCTATGTTTTGGTCAGGACCTAAGAGATGTCCCCATCCTCTTGAATTTGACGTGAATAACGAAACCCATTTTGAATATGTTTATTCCGCTGCTCAACTAAAAGCTGAGATGTATGGGATCAAGGAAAGAGCCAGCAAAGCTGCAGTTGCAAAGGAAATTTTACCGACTATTAATGTTCCAAGATTTCAACCGAAATCGAATGTTAAAATTGCTGTGACAGATTCTGAAGCACAGGCACAATCTCAAGACTCATCTTGGGACGATAGCAAATTTGATTCAATGAAATCGTCTTTCCCAGATCGTGACTCGTTTGGGAAATTGAGACTCGTCCCGATTGAGTTTGAAAAAGATGACGACACCAATTTCCACATGGATTTTATCGTAGCAGCGTCAAATCTGAGAGCGGAAAATTATGAAATCGCTCCCGCAGATAGATTGAAAAGCAAGCTTATTGCTGGTAAAATTATTCCGGCAATTGCAACGACAACTTCTCTTGTTGTAGGATTAGTTTGCCTTGAATTGTACAAGATAATACAAGGTCACAAAAAAATGGAATCTTTTAAAAATGGATTCGTGAATCTAGCATTGCCATTTTTCGGATTTTCAGAACCGCTACCTGCACCAAAACTGAAGTATTACGACACCGAGTGGTCACTGTGGGATCGTTTTGAAATTGACGGAATCAAATTAGCAAAGGAGGGAGAATCAGAAATGACACTGGGTGGTTTTATGGAATATTTCCAAAAGGAATATAATCTAGAAATTACAATGTTGTCTCAGAACGTAGCGATGCTCTATTCCTTCTTTATGCAACAAAGTAAAAGAAAGGAGCGTCTGGCTACAAAATTAAGTGAAGTTGTTCAGAAAGTTTCAAAGAAAAAGTTACGTTCTCATGAAAAAGCTCTCGTTCTGGAGATCTGCTGTAACGATAAGACTGGAGAGGATGTCGAAGTACCCTACGTTCGATACGTCTTTCGTCATTAACTTGACAGACATTTGAAAAACTTTGCTGCATGTAGTCTATGTATTTTTTTCTTATTAGGTAACTCAATAACCAGAGACGTTGAAACTACAAATATATTGTAGTTGTATAGTTAATTGTACAGGCCAATCTAGCAAATTATAACCCTTTTTAAGTGGTTCAAAATGATTGAGATAAATGCATCTTACCATTAAAAATCATCCTTTTGAGAAAAATGATATATGGGAACACTTGTCGAGTCTTGCCCGGCTAAAAACTAAATGCATTGATTTGAAAGGCTACTATATTCCCAGTAGATATTTTTACTTTGCTTAATAGGGCAATTTATTGTGCTTTCTGTTTCTCATATTTTTGTGTGAATTTTCTTTGTTATTAATTGAGAATAGGCAACTAAATTGTAAGTTGTTATTTTTCATTTCAAGTGGTGTAATTAACTTAATCTTTGATGAAGATGAAAACTCTTGAGAAGGGAGCAGTAGTTGATTGGGGTATCACTCCAATCGACCACTCAATTTGTACGATTCTTATTTCAACGTGTGAATCTTTCCTGCGAATAAGACACTAAATAAGTCTTGACTTCAATTTATATTCAACTATTAATTAATATTTTCAATGACTAGTATCTTTGCCTGAGGATAGATAACCATGACTTGTACCTAGACCTCTTACTATCAATGCTTTTTAAATGTTGAAAGTGATTCAAGATTTTACACCAATATCATTGAATTATTTACCCAATATAAATGCAAATGAAATCCTAATTGCATAAAAAGTGAGAAATAATACCATTATACAAATGACTAAGAATTTTTTATTCTATTTCCCTCAATATCTCAAATCTGACAAAAACAAAAAGCAATGAAATCCTAGTTATCTGGAAAATAGCATGTCAAAATTTGATGCCTATTTTCGTGGATAGAGCTCAAACCTGACTAAAAGACAATGTGCTCTAGTTTTCAGTATCTACTTTAAATGTTTCTTCATGTCCAATGTTCCGTTTTTTTGTTCTGCTGTCCTATGAAGTTTTTTTCTGAGTATTTGAAAATCTTCACAATTTCTTGGCTGGCGATAAGTTTTCCTCAACATTGTACCGTTTTGTGGACTGTATTTTTTTATACTCTTGAAAACGGTTTCTGCCGTTTCTCATTTAGACTGTAATTATTAAGGAAGTCTAAATTCTAATAGTTTGACAGGGTACTGTTCTGATTTGAAATTCAGTTTGAACATGAATTTTCTATACAGATTTAAACTGTATCACACAAGTTATATATGACATGAAATGCCATCTTAATAATATGTTTGAATTGAAAACTGCATTTTCAGCAAAGTCAGGTATTTGAGTAAATTCCAAATTAACTAACTTGTATTGAATTCTAGATTCAACCACACTACAACATAAGGTCTATCGCTGGATTTTGAATCCCCAATGAATATGATTTATTTTTAACCCTGTCCCTAACCATAACTTGGGTAGGTAACGTGTTGCTAGACCTCAAGCTATCATTTATAATTCATAATATAAGTTGTTAATTTTGAATTTATTCAAATACTTGATAGTTTTGTACAACCTTGTCTGTTATGGTAACGAAATATTGTTCAGTCTAAATATCAAGTTCATTATTTGTGTATATTTTCCTAAAGTTCTTTTCATTCTGGGCAATTTAAAAATCTTGGCGAGTTATCATTATTTTCATATTCCACTTTGGGCTCGACATGTTAAAGTTCAAATATTATTTTTTGCTTCATTTAACTCAATTAATATGAGTTTGTCAAACTGTATATTTTCACCTTGCTTGTATTGTATAACTAGACAATGACTTTTGAAAAACATATCGATATTATCATTAGGATAACAGTTCAGTATCATTTGTTATTCGAGTCTTATTATTGACCTCGTTGAAAATTACAATCTTTTATTATATTGATTAGACAGACCAGGAGAATATTGCTTGCTTTTTTCCACAAGTCGACTTTTAATGAAACTATAGGTCTTTCTTTAATTTTGAAAACCTATACACTTTAATTTAGATGTTTAAAAATTCGTTTCAACTTATTTAACTTCTGTTGCTACTCATTAACATGACCAATATTTCAATTTGACAATTATCTACAATAGAACATCAATAAACATGATTTAAAATTTCAAGATACGTTTTTACAAAGAAACATAGTCAAATCTTGTTAATGTATATACCATGAGCATTCATATTATCAAAATAGGCATAGAATTACAGTTTACCATTCTAGAATTTTGGGATGATATTGATATGTTTTTCATTGTCTACACTTTTCACATGTCTCATTAAAGTGTTGTCTTAATTCGCCACATTGTTTTTTTTTTGCAATAGATTGTTGCTATTTCCAGTTAGAATTTTGGCCAAAATAACACAATTTTTGTGATCTTGTGGCTGCATTTTTCAAGAAGAAAATATGTCTCGTTTTTTCGGAGCATCAAGCTCTGATACTGATGAGTCCTCAAGTGATGATGGAATGGCGCCTGCACCACAGAGACCACAGTCAACTAGGTATAGTGGAATTCGTTATTAAAGTTTTATATATTACCATTACTATTTACATTTTTATATAGTGATTTGCCACCTTCATCCTGAGCAAGGCTCTGTATAAGCAGCCACTGATACGGGTATTTTGGAATGACACATGCAATCCTTTTTTAATTATCTGTTTCAAATGTTTAGTGAACTTAACGCTTTTGGGGTTTGCCAGAAAATTCAGTTATCACTATTATAAGTATGAGATTCAGAACTCACAATTCTGAAAATTTCATAAGCGTGACCCCCAAACACTTCTAATGTTACCCTCAAATAGTTCTTTGTATGCAAGCCTTTTTAATTATGTACTGAGAATCCTTGTGTTAATACTTTTGTGATCTACCAAAAATGTTTGGTACTCCCGAAGTATGTGAACCAAGATGGCGGACAAAGGAGCGTAGTATGTGTACCAGGTTAGGGTTAGGCCATAATTTCAGGTACAAACACTACAAGGGAGTTACTTGGCTAGTCCCCGAACTCATAATAGAACTAAAATAAAGAAAATTGGAATAAAATAAATTATCTAGTGTCCGCCATCTTGGTTTACATACTTTATGAGTACTAAATTTTTACCTCAAATTATCACCATTAAATGTCTATAACTCATACTCTAACAAAAAAGAATTCAAATTCCTGTATCTAACCCCTTTGACTTGGAAATGCAACTCTCACTCAAATAACAATAAAGACGTTCCAACTGAGAGTCAGACTACACTATTCTGGTTTAAATTCAAATGGACAGCGGAATGTAGTATGTGTATCAGGTTAGGATTAGGCAATAATTTTCTTTCATTTTAGTTCTATACGAGTTCGGGGACTAGCCAAGTGGTATTTGTACGTGAAATTATGGCCTAACCTAGTTCACATACTACGTTCCGGTGTCCGCCATCTTGTTTACATGCTTCGGAAGTATCTTTATTTTTGCTTTTCACTGACTCATAATGTTTTTACTTTTCCTAGAGTTTTTCTGATGAGTGACGATGAAGAAGATCAGAAGAGAGTTGTTCGAAGTGCGAAAGAAAAATCTTGGGAAGGCCTCGAAAATTTGATCAAATCAATGAGAAATGCAAGAAAGATCAACGACATGGTCAAGGTATTTCAATTTTTAACATTTTATGAAACATTTTCTATTTTTTTGTTATGAATAAAGCTGAGATAAATATGCACAAACGGTAAGCAGTAAACGATACAGAATATTATATAGATATTAGAAACATTGCTTAACTGATTATTTATTTTCACCTGCTGCGTTTGGTTTAGTACTGTGTCACAAATTATGTTTCTCATCTCGTGTTCTTTATTGAAGCTCAGACACTTTGTGTCAATTTCATATTATTGGTGGACATATTGTGTCTTAGAGGGGTTGAGTTTGCTTTACTTCACTGAAAAAGTGTGACTTTGCTCTGAGTAAATTATAAAACAAACAAAAATGTGGCTGTATTTGCTAAATAGCGCCTGCTCACAAAAAAGTCAATGGCATGTAAGGTGCTCCACACTATTTTTGAAAATGCCAGAAGCTTGTGTCCCTGCATGCCTACCTGATTCTTTCCGTCCTATAAGAGGTCATGACTCATGAGTAGAGCTCGACCGATATCACTTTTTGGCACCGATACCGATAACGATATATCGGCCAACTAGTGACCGATAACCGATATCGACATACCGATATCTACAACCTGAACCCGCAGTAAATACGAATAGAAAGAAACATTCAGTTTCAGTCAATCAAAAGTTTATGTTGAATAATAAAGCAAGCAGTCCTACACAGTGCTTGCATCATTAATAAAAGTTTCACAGTAAACAATAAGAACACACATTAATGCACAAAAAAAAGGCAGTCAGTAAAAAGCTTATAGAAATCCATTTTGATCCATACAGTAGTAGGTGGGAGTAGGCTTGCACGTAATTTACGGATTTACGGAATTATTTCGAGTTACGGAAGGAAAGTTACAAACTACGTAAAGTTGTAATTATTGCTCGAGAGCTTTCGCGTTTGAAATGTGATCCTTCCAAGCAGTCAATTCCGTCGATTGTAAAAAATGATAGTTTAACAAGTAGAAGAAGTTAGAGTTCCGGTATTCGCAGCCAATTTGAGCCTGCATGACGCGTTGCCACCCCGTTTGAGCGTTTGGTTTCACGGTCAAAACGATATTATTATAAGCGTTATCACCGTAACGCAATTAACACCGACAGACTTTTTTGTCTTCACGATTTGATATCTTTTTTATTCGGCGCTGATAATGATAGATAAGAATGTGTGATAGTTGATTGTAATTACGGAAGGCGTATTTTTCTTTCTCTCAGTGAAACATACATGAAACGAATTTTACCGCCGCTATAAGCGCTCAAAAGGAGAGAAGGCTAGGCTACTTTCTTTTCCTGACTCAATCACTTTTATTAATACAAATCACAGCGCATTAAAAAACATAATAAAATTTATTAGCATTAATTTACAACGAGTTACGGGTAAGAATTTATCGCCGGCTAAATAATTAATATTTGATCTAAATTTATCGCAAATAATGTTATAACATTTAGGCCGCGAAATGATTTGATATAAAATGAAGCTTGGTAATCGGAATATCGTCAGTAATTCAGCATCAATAATTATTATAAAATGCTAATTAGGTAGCAAAGTCGGATAATGTAAAAAACGGAGCAATAACAAGTCTTCGTCGCGAGGCAAGCGCAGGTATAATCAACAAGAGAATAATACGCTTGTCGTTGAATAATAACTTAGAAACCCGAAATTTTTATTCAATACGAAAGTCGATTTTAAAAAAGGCAACTATCGTTTCATAAATATCCGTATACCAGTGTCGGTAATGATAAAATTGATCGCATAAAATTGGGACGGTTAATTCGCGAAGGTGAGAAAAGAAAATCAAAGCCAACACAATAAAACAAAATAAAAAATCAGAATAAATTTAATTTGAATTCACTCCTTGGTATTTGTCTTTAACATCTGTCGCCGGCGTGTAGTACTGTCGGTAATATGAAAACCAAACTTCGATGTCGCTTTCGGAAAAGAAGTGGATTCAAATGGTTTTTATGATAGGTTTAAACCTGTGAAAAAATATCGCAATTACGAGGTCATTACGTAACCAATTTTGAATTGATTTTTGTCGATTACGTGCAAGCCTAGTGGGGACGCAAGATGTTCGAAGGCGAGGATTTTGCGCCGCACGAAGAGATAAAAGAGGGAGAGAGAAATATAGAAGAGAACTCTCTGTTCATTGAAAGGCAAAATGAGAAAAGCGAAAAAAAGGAAACGCTCGGCCGCAGATATTTCCCGGGAAAACTACTCATTTTTTAGAACGTGGAAAAGCGACTAACGCTGATATATATCGGCCAGATATATCGGCCGGTTGGGCCGATATGATATATCGGCAAACACGCAATATCGGCCCGGTCGAGCTCTACTCATGAGTATGAATTCAAGATGTTAATAACCTGCGAGGTAGTTTATTTAAGTCACACTCACTACTAGGTCACAAGTTGTGTTTAGTAATTACTTATCGATTTTAATCGGTAAGTATGTTGATAGGTATTTGTCTGTTTGATGCGAGCGATATCTCACGAAAGCGAGATTGAATCTGCTCCAGATTTTGCATGTGCATTTATCATATGTCGGACCAGAAGCCTTTTGATTTTGGATGAATTATGTTGTATAATTAACGAGTTACTAATTAATTAGTGATGGGACACAAGGTGTCACATGAAGTAAGAGCGCTGTCTTGGGAGATCCCCTAACTTTCGATCGATAAGTCTTCAGTCTTTGATCGATATTCTTGTTCTCTTTTTTTCAGGTTCTGGATGATTTTGACAATCTCTGCAAACAATATGTGAAAGCAAAAAATGTGATTGCAAAAGAAGGAATCCCTCCTTTCTACATCAGGAATTTGGTTGAAACTGAGGACCATATCAATGAGGTTTGATTCGTTTATTTATATTTTTATATTCATCTCTGAGGAGAGGAAAGCCAATAAGACAGCTTAATCATGTGACGAATCCTGTATTGGATTAAAGCCATTGTATTGTCATTCCCCACAAAATTCGAACCTGTAAACACACACAGGATAATCAGTGTTGCAATGACATACTTAGCATAATATACCACATTTCAAGTATATAAATGGCTGGAGCGCCGGCATTTCTTCATTCACAAAGATGCAATATTAATATTCGCACCAAATTCTTCTCTTTTACCAGCTATGGGAAGACAAGGAGGCTCGTAAGAAGATGAGTAAAGTCAACTCAAAATCATTAAGTACAATGAGACAGAAATACCGTCGTTACATTCGGGATTTCGAGAAGGAAATGAAGGAATATAGGGAGAACCCAGATGCTGTTGAACATCATAAAGAAGAGGAACCTTCAGAGCCAGAGAGTTCTGATGGTAAGTCTGGGCCAAGAGCTGTTTTAAATATATGCTCAATGAATATTTTTCACTCCAAATCGCAACAGTAGGGTATAATGTTGGTAGTCGTAGTACTCTAACCATGGTAATATAATTTGTATACCAAAATATTAGCAATATGTGTACCTATACAACAATAACTTTTTAAGCGTGTACTCAATAAAGGATAAAATAATTAAAATGTAAAAAAAATTTCCAATTGCTGTACATTTCAGCAAATATCTGTGGGTTCCAGGGGATTCGTTCGTGTGCGATGACATCATCGAAAAGTGTGCACATAGTGATGGTTCTGCTTTTGCATTAGTCTTGAAGTTTGTTGTAAAAAATATCACAAATATGTACTTTGCCATGTTTTTTAGATGAAGTCCAACCCACTGGATTCCTGAAAGCCCCTGCCAAGGCAGCAACTAGTTGGTTGAAGAAAGAACCAAAAGGAGGAGATGATGATGATGATGACAGTGATGTAAGTTTTTGGGGAATGGTCGCTAAATCCTGGCACAGAAATTAAATGTTGTGGCTGAACAAAGTCTCAAGTTTTCATCATAAGATGTATTTAAAAATTAATTATTAAAAGTTACGTCTAAATATAAATAAACACAATCATAAATAAGCCTTGAAACGAGATACTCACTTTAAGTATAAATATAAAATCGCATCTTTGTGTTGAATGCTATGATAATTGTTATTATCGGTCTTGATTGTGTTGTCCCCCCTTGTTGACCAGTGCACAATTTAGCAATTGATATTATTCTGTATCTTTTAATTTTAATGGGTAAATTCTTCAAACTGCTTTCTAATTAATAATCTAATTACCCAACCTTTAATTGCCCGTTTTTACTAATTAATTAGTGTCTGCTCTGCACTTTCCTTAATTAAATTGCTAGCCGCTCAGCAAGTGACAGCTTTGTGAATCGCATTTTTCGTTTCGCACAATCTAGCTGTAATGGCTTAGGGTATGATAATAGGCGCAGGGGTAATAATGAAAAGAAACAATTGTTTTATCCTTCCTTAATCATGATCTCCCGTTTAGATCTGGATGAGTTCTTCTGAGGATGAGTCTTCTGATTCTGACGCTGAAACTGGTGGAAGGCAACTCACTGCTGAGTACTTCTTGAAAAAAAAGTGAGAAAATATTTTTCAAATCTCATCATTTTAAATTTCCATTTTCAAAATGTTTCAAAATTATTGAAAAGTCTATGTAAGTCTATTTCATTCAACAAAATAACAGGTTTTTAGAAGCTAATTTATCATCATTTTTGTGGCTTTTTTACATTTTATCAGGCAAGGTTTTGTCCAAGCAGCCACTAATATATAAAGAGCTAACTTTTTTGTAGAGATTGGTAATGCCATTGCTTGCCTAAACTATTATGTGAGGTGCTCGTCAAGTTGTTTTTGTTAATTCAGTAAAAACGTTCAATTTGAAAATCACAATAAACATAACCAAAGTAATAACTCTCAAGATACACCAACAGGAATGAGCTCTTAAGCACAGAGAGCACATGGCTACTTCACAGCTGGTTGGTCATGATCATTCATCTGAAACTGATAACGTCACAGGTCATGCTTAGCCATCTGGGAAAATACTAGTTGCCAGAAATAAGATAAAGTTTTATTTTGCAGTTCCAGGGGTCTTGTATCTTGAGCTTTTTGCGGTATTCTGTCTCACAATTCACTATAGTACTCTCCAAGTATCGGGGAATACTTGTGTAGATCCTTGGGAACTCCCGTAGTATGTGTACCAGGTTATGGTTAGGCTATAGTTTTATTCTGATTTTCTTTATTTTAGTTCTATTACAAGTTCGGGGACTGTCTGTGTTAGCCAAGTGAATATGCCCTGCCCATAGGTTTCAGTCCCTTTACACAACTTGATGTGAAGTAGGCGAAAAAAACTAGTTGCCTTCATATTGGTACACACACTTCTGGAGCGCCGATCATTGTTCATATATTACAAGGAAATGTCTTATAATTTTGTGTGTTTCCATGTTTTTTAATCGAAATATGGAAAATCCTTCTATTCAGACCTGGTACAGAGAGTAAAGAAGAAACTGATAAACCTAAACGAAAGAGAGAACAAAAAGAGGGAAAGAGTGGGAAAAAGAGTGAGGACGAGGAGGAGGAAGAGGAGGGCTGGGAGAAGGTGAGAATGCTACAAATACCTCTGGCATCAGACCATAATTACCCGGTTTCGAATCTTGTGGGTGACCAGTATTGCTTGACTTCTTACAGTACGCCCATAGTGTGTGTTCCAGGTTATTTTATTCCGATTTTTTGTATTTTTTGTCTATTACGAATTCGGGGACTGTCTGTGTTAGCCGAGTGAATATACCCCCTGCCTATAGGTTTCAGTCCCTTTACACAACTTGCTGTAAAGTAGGCAAACAAAATTAGTTACCTCCATATTGGTAGACATACTTCTAGGGGGGCCCTTATGGTGATCCCGAAGTATGTGCACCAAGATGGCACACAACCTGAACGCAGTACGAGGTGTGGCTAAAAAGAAACGAGACTGACGTCACAGATTGCGCAACACGATTAACCATTGGTAATCAACACTTTTACAGTGTGGTGTAATATGTGTTCTTTGTTCAACAGCTTTTTTGACACAATATCGCAATTATTTTTGCTCTTTAGGAGTCGTAGGTGAATGTGATTAATTGCTTGTTGAAAAAAAAATTGCCGTGCGAGATCTGATTGAGTTTTTTAGCGATAGGGGGTTCAATTGCAGAATGACGATTGGGCAAAGAGTTAACATTAAATTTTGTGTCAGTCTCGTTTCTTTTTAGCCACACCTCGTATGTGTACCAGGTTAGGGTTATCAGGTTGTACCACTGTAGGGTGTGGTTTGTGCAACTGCTGGTCAGTCATTGCTTTCTTCTACATCAAGTCCATTAATTTGGACAATTCTTTGAACTAGCAACTGAACAAGAAGCCATTATCCGGCATACGATGATAAAGTCTCTGATGATAAACTTTTTTTGTGGTTCTGAAGACGTATTGTGATATTATTTTTCTATTAATCAATTCAGGTCAAGCAAACAGGGAAAGGGAAGCATGGCGGACCGATTGTTTTATTTAAAAAGGATACTGAGATTGACCACAAGGTGGTGTTGAAGAAACTGAATGAAATTATTCAAAACCGAGGACGTAAATCTACCGATAAGTGAGATGCGAGTTTCATTCTTAGAAATATGATATTATATACCTTGGCACATTTATTGCAATTTCTCATTTCAGGCCTAGATATATGTAAACATTTAAAGCAGAGCTTTCCAAACTTTCAAGCTTAATATATTGAAATTTTCCGCAACCCCTGATAAGTCGACATTGTTATGCAATCGCGCCCCTTCTCAGGTCCTAGATCAAAGTTGTATTCTCTCAAAATCGTGAGATTTATGTTTTGCAATAATTTTAATAATTGTGTTTGGAATTAAAAGTCTAAAATAGTACTTTGTGGGAGTACTTTGTGCACTCTTTGCAACCCCCTAAATTTTGCTCCCACTATGGGAGATCACTCAAATGGTGATGGAGACTATATAATCATTCCTATTTTTATTCTTCTGTATATACAGTCCCCCAACAAGAGGCCATTCAAATAATGATCGGGCCATATGTCCATCCCAATTTGTACTGCTGCCTATGTCCAATAGTCTTTGTATGAATAAGGGCATTCAAATGGCGATTGGAACCATATTTTCATCTCTGTTTCCAACTGTTTATATATGACTTTATTTGATATCTGGCAAGTTACTGTGTTAATATGTCTGTACATTTCAAATTGTGTGAATACTGTACCTATAATTTCAAATTTGATTGTATTTTCACAGACAAAATCAAGTTGCCCTTCTGAAACAGCTTCGAATTATTGCTGAACAACATTCCCTTGGACTTGGAATCACAATCAAACTTCTGTTCAACATTATCGCGGCTTTCTTTGATTACAACACAAAGACTAGAGATTGCATGAAGGTACGGTACATATTTGTGAACTATAACTAGTTTGGACCTTTTCCAGTTATCCCTTTATTCTGAAAATAATGAATCCTTCCTTATAAGTGGCGGATTGTCTAGAGCAGAGGTGGCAATGTATTTGAACAAACGGCCAAAAATCTTGCCCACCTAGACTTGCGGCCATGTAATTTAACTACCAATCTATCGCACACGACTAGCGCACGAAGCAAAAGAAAAAGGTGTGAAAAGCATGTCGTCGAATCGAATGAGCGAGAAAGCGTAAAGTTTTGTTAATGTGTCCCCATAACATGTAAGTCTGTGGCGACCTAAAATACAACATACATAGACTACTATCATAATCTAAGAAGCCTATTGCAATCTCCCAATGGGCCGGATTTGGCCCGTGGGCATAGTTTGCCCTTGTCAAGTCCAGGGCCTTGTTCAGATTGAAGACATGAAACATCTCAAAATAATACCAGTATCATGATTTGTATATATATACAGGTGTCCATAAATTTCAATTTTGTTATGAAGTCAGTTTTCAATATATCTTACCAGGTTTGTGTTTTTGTATTTAGTAATTGTTCAAGTATTTTTACTTATTCAATACATCTCTGAGGGCCAAAACAATATATGGTATCGATAAATTCCCTTTGCTGTTTTGAAAAATTTTAATACTTGATGGACATCCTATACTTTTTCTACAGACTGAACCATGGAACGATGTCCTGAAACATCTGGAAGAATTGCTGGATCTACTGTTGACTAATGACAACATACTTGTTTCTGAGAATATCACAGATACATCCGAGAATATGGAGGACAGCACTGTTGTGAGTTCCACTTTTTTGTTGTTCAGGACAGTACTTCTCAGGCTTTTTTCTCTTGTTTATGCCACGGTAAATTTCAAAAGTAAGATTCTCTCCGCAATAGTGTAGAACAAGCCGTGGGGTTGGAATGGAGTCTGAGCCAGAGTCGTAATTTCAAACCCCACTGAGCCAAAATTCAAGAAGGCTTGTATACATACGCTGATGATTTTGTTGTCAAAATTGAATTCGCTAGCTGCTATGCTCCAACTTGGCAATTAAAAATTCCAGAACGCCCTTCGAAAACTCTTGGCTACGCCCGTGTTATTGTTATAAAAAAATCGTTTTTCTCTCTGACTACTTTCTCAATTGCTTTGAAATTTTCAGTGAATTAAGATTGTATTTTTCAGGAGACTAGTACTTTTATTTATTTCAAAAATTTCTGTGGCTTTTATGGGAATTCAGTTTTTGTGTGCGATGACTCAATCAAAATTCAAAATTGCGTACCTTGTGGCGGTTATCATTTTGCGTAACTTGTTATCTGGTGCTCAAGCGAAGTCATTGATTCTGCGGTACTGGTTGTCTACTGTGACTGATTTTACACTCATACTACTTCGTTTTGGTCTTCATATCAATATAATTGAGCATCGCTTTCTGTTTATGTTGTCTTACATTCGCAATAACAGTGGAACACTACCATATTAACCGCTGTATATTCTTCCAGCATGCTTAGATACTAACTAAGGAAAGATGAAAAATTCTGACAAGCTTTTTCTTTTATTTCAGGAATACAGAGTGAAAGGCAATGTTGTTGCTCTTTTGGAAAAACTCGATTCTGAATTTATCAAAATCTTACAAAATGCCGACGCTCATTCAACTGAGTACGTTCAACTGTTGAGAGATGAAAGTAAAGTCATGAAAAATATCCAGAAACTGAGTAATTACGTCGAGGCTAAGGTTGGTTAAGAAAATTTTCCTCTCAAAGTTTTTTATCTCCCTGCTCAGAACAAGGCTCTAGACAATGCCACTAATGAGTAAGCTAACTTGTAGTCTTACTTTGGATTGATCAAGATGTCATAAAAAAAGTCAATTGTATCTGGGATAGGCTTAAGATGAAACAGTAAATTGTTATATGAAGTGGGTTTTTTAGGAATTGAGTTTTGAAAGGTACTGAAGGCTTTTAATTTGTCATGGCACATCGTCTAGTAATTAAATCTTTGATGTCGTAAATTGAAGTTTTGGAATTTAATAAACCCTATGTCCACCACCCCATCTGAATTGTAGGCTAGTGGCCTCACCAGGGCGGGGGGGCACAGAACAGTTGCAGGGGGCCACCATGCCAGGCGCAAAACTGATTTTACTTTTCCTTTTACTAAAAAACTCCATGTCCTTCTTAGTTGTATTGCATGATAAGGGTATTTCACAAAGTGTTTTCCTTTTGTTGATCATGAATTGTTCTAACATAATGGGATTTGGAATCTACCAATCAAAGTAACACTATAAATACCACTGGAATGATAAACAAGGGGGTCATAAGTGCTAAAAGAGGAAGAAGGGCACACGATATAAAAGATTGGGAACCACTGGTATAGGCAATGCAGAAAGGGAAAGCTTCCAGGCCCTCGAAAAATAGTAGATACCGTATATGCTCGTTTTACCGCCCGATCTTGATTAAGGGCCCGTTTGAATAGCTGCCCATGTGAACAGAACATAATAATAAATAAGGGCTGGTGCTTGAATACCCGCCGATGTGAAAGCTGATTTTTCAGTGGTAGAGAACAATAGGAAATAAGAAGCGCTTTTGTCACGACGCTGTTGAATTTTAAGCGCTGGTAGATAACACTCACGCCTCGGGCATCAAAGTACATAACATGTAGCATTGATTACGTAACACCATTGTTCTCAAACTGGGCGTCGTTCCAATATTGAAGGCGTCGCAAAAATTTTCGTTATTCTCGTTTAAATCATACTTGAGAACTGGAAATAACAATATAATGATTATTGGATTGATCGAAAATAACAAGCGCCCATGCTTGAATAAGGGCCAGTTTGAATAAGGGCCCGGTTAGTGAGTTGGTTGAAAAAATATGAGCCCGGGCTACAAAACGAGCAAATACGGTTCTTGAATATCAGTGCTGCCCATACATAGCCTCGTTCTGTGTGGGAGAGAAATTATTTGGTGCTAATCTTTATATGAAATTTCAATAAACAAATACAGAGTAGAAAAATAGACAATTGGTCAAACAGCTATTTATTTTTACAAAGAATAACTTTTACAATTTTTACAAAGGCATATGAAAAAAGCATATGCTATATTAAAATCATAGATGTTCAAAATCTCGTCCATACACTTCAGAGCATTAAATTAACCTAGTAGAACCTAAAAGGTATCAACCTAAAACAATCTGGAACCTAAAAGAAAAAAACGTATTAAAAAGATCTGAAAAACCACGCATTTTATTTTTGATCTTATCGATCTGACCTTCAAATTTTCTGCTTTTTTGTCGGTGCTCCCGAAGTATGCGGACCAAGATGGCGGACATCGGAACGTAACATGGGTAACAGGTCAGGGTTAGGCGATAATTTTTTTCCAATTTTTCTTATTTTAGTCCTATTATCAGTTCGAAGACTAGCCTCCTGTAGTATTTATACCTCAAATTATGGCCTAACCCTAACCTAGTACACATAGTACATTCCGATGTCCGCCATCTTGGTTCGCATACTTCGGGAGCCCCTTTTTTGTCGACCACCATCTACTTCATCCCCACGTCTAGAGTTCGAAATTTCCTGAGAAAAAATTTTCAAACATAATATTTTTCAGGGATCAAGTGAAGACATCTGCGTTGCTTATCTGCTCAGGATTCAGCATCTTTACTATAAATTCGATTACAAAGCAAGAGATGAAAGAATCGCTGCTGAAAAAAAAGAATTGGAATTTGAGGTGTGGCATGACTTTTTGTGTATTGTAAAAATAAATTTCGACATTTTTGTGAGGAATTCATGGTTTATATTTAATTTTTGAATGGAGCTTAATTTTTCTATTAATTTAAGTATTTTGTTGAAAAAATAAACCCAAATTAAAACAATTTATTATTTGAATAATAAGCTTTTATAGGATGTCCATGAGGTCTTAGATTTTTTTTTTAATTTTAAAGAATATTTATTGATACCATATACAGTTTTGGCTCTCACAGATGTATTAAATGAAGTAAAATACTTGAACAATTACTGATTAAAAAACAACAAACCTGGTTAAGATATATTGAGAACTGACTTTGTAACAAATTAAAATTGTAAAGGGACTTTATAGAAACCTGTGTGTAATTTTGAATAACAATAATTTCAGATTTTATTCAAACTATATTATATTGGACATCCTTAATTCGGAAAAATTCGATGATATTCGTTAATTTCTGAATCGTGCATTAGGGCATGACTGAGGAGGAAAAGCAAGATGTTGAAAAAGACCCGGTTCTTGCTGAGCTCGGCGAAAATTCTGCAAAGGTCATGGATGAATTGTGCAAGTTCATTTATACAAAAGATTCTTCTGACAGAATAAGAACAAGGTAGAAGAAATCTGTTTTTTCTTTTTTGGGAAGCAATGGTCAATCTGAGAAATAATATAAAATAGCTTACTCTAAGCCAGGGGTTCCCAAACTGCGGCCCGCGGGTCAAATCCGGCCCGCGTAATGATTTAAAATGGCCCGCCGAGCTTCCGTGAAATAGTGTTCAACAGATATTATTTTTACCTTTTTGCGATCTAGATACCACTAATTTATGTCATTATCAGAGTTCAAGCACGTGTTTATCGTAACAATTCAATTATACCAGTATATCAATTATGGGTACCGGTGTTAGGATTACAAAGGACAGTAATTTAGTTATCAGCCATATAGGAAAGCTTAATGATGTCAGAAATCAAACAAAAACTAGACTCAGAAAACTGACGTTTCTTGAATAAATGGCAGTGTTCGTATTTCTCCATTGAAAAGTATCAAACTTCAGAGATTTGTCTACCTTTGCGAACTATTCCAGTTCTGAAGGAATACAACATTGAGCGCTATTATGAGTCAAACGAGCATGTTTCAAAAAAATGTCAAATGAAAGTGAATCCACTTTTGGGCGCTACATTCTTCCGGCCCGCGAACAATTTTCCGATTCTAATTTTGGCCCGCAGCCAATAAAGTTTGGGAACCCCTGCTCTAAGCTGACTCAGAATATCACTAGCTGTTCGTAGACAATTTTTTGTGTGTGAAGCACATTATTAAAAATTGTCACTCACCGGCAGGCCGCACACTAGGTTAAATTGGCACTTACCCATGAGCTGCTGGTTGCACACTTCTGTTATATGATATATATATATATGTGCTGAAAAGTTTAAGATTGATTCAGTGGACAAACACTAGGCCCTGAGTTTATATCCCATATAATATTTTTTCAATGTTGGTAGATCTGGAACAAATGTTTTTTTTTCAGTTCATCGCTTTTTTAAAATTCATACTACTCAATGCCACTTCATTTTTATTTCCTAGAGCTATTCTGCACCATATTTATCACCATGCCTTGCATGATCGTTGGTATCAAGCCAGAGATTTGATGCTGATGTCACATTTACAAGAAAATATTGGATTTTCTGACGTTCCAACTCAGGTATCTATTGTATAATTGAGTCGCCTTATATGATCTGTTGTATTATGTTGATTAAGAATTTATTAGATCCAATAAATGCTGAAAGTATTGAGTCACAGTAGATCCCAACTGGGGGGCCCATCGTGCCCTTAGCGGCCACAGAGCTGTCGGAAGGGGGCCACAATGCTACACGAAAAATGATTTACTTGTACTTTTACAACAAAACTCTTTGGTTCCATTGCTTCGTAAGGTGATTTCCTGGACAGGGGTGTCACTTTTTTGATCATATATTCTTTCAACATACCGTATTTGCTCGTTTTGTAGCCCGGGCCCATATTTTTTTAACCAAACTCACTATCCGGGCCCTTATTCAACCACGGGCGCTTGTTATTTGTTATTTTTAAAGTAAAATTATACACAAAAATATATAAAAAAAACATAATATATATATAGAAAAGATCGATCGTTACAATAATGAATATATTGTCATTTCCAGTTTCCTCAAGTATGATTTAAACGAGAATAATGAAAACCTTGACTTTTTCTACGCACCGCAGGTATAAATCCGCAAAAGAAGAAAAGTTTTGCGACGCCCAGTTTGAGCACCACGGTGTTACGTAATCAATTGGACGCCTAAGGCGTGAGTGTTATCTACCAGCGCTTAAAATTCAACAGTGTTGTGACAAAAGCGCTTCTTATTTCCTATTGTTCTCTACCACTGAAAAATCAGCTCTTACATCGGGCGAGTATTAAGGCACCGGCCCTTTGATCAAGATCGGGCGGTAAAACGAGCATATACGGTAATAGGATTTGGGATCCCCTAACAAAAATAACACTATAAATATGATAAACAGGGGGGTGGGGGCAGTTCTGAAAGCCTCCGCAAGGGGCCCACGTCCCATAAAAGGTTGCAAACCACTGTACCAGGATTTAGTGTATTGAACTGCAGGCCTTTTTTGCTTGTTTGGTTCCTACCTCGATTCCGTATGTGACTGTAACCAAAACAACTTTTCATCAATTATGTGTTTCAACGGCTCGACGGTGTGGCGCATCGTGATAAGCGTTAGGAATACGGGTCCGAATCTCATGCGCGATTGCTATATGCGAGGGGATGCTGGACTTCATCGTCGCCATAGGCTGGTTCATGTAACCGCAGAACGGTGTCCTCCACTATCAAGTTCATGCTTCCGAAAACAAATTACTGGCTAACTAATCCCATACATGGACATATGATTAAGCCGTCTACTTGGTTTTCTTCTCCCCTATCCAATTCACTTAGTGAAGTATTTTGCCTTGTCTATCATACATCATCACAGATTATATTTTTTTTTTGGGGAATTTTGCATTTACTTGTCTCTTATCTTAGTTGGAGAAGATGTTGTCTTGTTATTTATATTATCTTCTCATCTACAATTCAGATATCTTATCTTGTTTTTAGATTCTGTACAATCGTACCATGGTTCAGCTAGGATTATGCGCGTTCAGACAAGGATTGATGCAGGTATTGTATGATTTGGAACTATTCTCTAATTCAGGGATGGCCAACCAGCCAGAGACAAAGAGCCGCATTTCGTACTTATTTCATACCCAAACATTGATAATATCCTAAGCGCAGCTCGTTTGACATTGGGTTTGACATTGCAGCCTCATCTGCGGCTCGCGACCCGTGTGTTGGCTTCCCCTGCTCTAATTGATTAAAACATAGAATATTAAATTGCAATATATTTCAACAATGCTTATTTTTGAAGAGTTTTAAAAATATGCACTTTCGATTCCATTTCTAGCTAATTTTATGTTAACTACTATCTTTAGTTGTAACGATTAGCATGATGTGCAACGGGTCAAATCCGGCTTGTTGGGTAATGCAATATGGCACGCCTGATGCTGCCACAACCAAACCAAATTTTGATGTTTCAGCTAAAAATAGCTCATCGAAGGTTATTAAATTTAGTTTGGGCCTCAAGGCTTATTGTTATTCATATTTGCTTTGTTACACTGTAAATATTTTTCGTAAAATGTAACCCCATACGTCACACTTACATGGCCTGCCAGACTAGGTGGACAAAAATTTTGGCCACTGGTTCATGAACCTTGCACATCCCTGCCCTATCCTCAGTATAAACTTAAATATATTTTGATGGAAGAATTTTAAAGTTATTTTTTACTCTTAGGAAGCCCATAATGCTCTGGTGGATATCCAGTCCAGTGGTCGGGCAAAAGAACTTCTTGCTCAGGGTCTCCTGATTCAGAGACAAGGTGAGCGATTGACCCCTGAACAGGAGAAACTTGAAAAGGGGAGACAGATTCCTTTCCATATGCATATCAATTTGGAGTTGCTTGAGTAAGTAATCATTTGTCGAGTGTTTTAATATCATATCTTATTACTTATTGATCTTGATCGGTAAGTATGTTCATAGGTATTTGTCTGTATGTCTGTTAGATGCACGCGATATCTCATGAAAGCAAGATTGAATCTGCTCCAGATTTTGCATGTGCATTCATCGTATGTCCGACCAGAAGCCTATTGATTTTGGATGAATTTTGTCGTATAATTGGCGAGTTATCAATTAATTAGTGATGGGACACAAGGTGTCACTATGGAGTAAGAGCGCTGTTTTGGGATCCTCTAACTTTCGATCGATAAGTCTTCAGTCTCTGACCGATATTCTCGTATTTCATTTTTAATTTTGCCGTTCCCACAGCGCTCTATAAGTGTGTATACCAATATCGAGGTAACTATTTTTGTTCGCCTACTTTACATCATGTTGAGTAAAGGGACACTCTCTCAAGTGTATCAAGCTATGAGGATTTGCTATGCAGTTCTATTCAATTGCAACACCTCTGGCTGTGCCCCTGTTCCCCAACCCACTTTGGTAATTACTTATCGATCTTGATCGGTAAGTATGTTGATAGGTATTTGTCTGTTTGTTTGTTTGTTTGTCTGTTAGATGCACACGATATCTCACGAAAGCGAGGTTGAATCTGCTCCAAATTTTGCATGTGCATTCATCTTAGCTCGGATCAGAAGCCTATTGATTTTGGATGGATTATGTTGTATAATTAGCAAGTTATTAATTAATTAATGATGGGACACACGGTGTCACTATGGAGTAAGACCACTGTTTTGGGGGATCCCCTAACCTTCGATCGATGAGTCTTCGGTTTCCAACCGAATTCTAGTTGACAAGTTTATTTATTGAAGGTTATATTTTTTGTTTTTCTAGATGTGTTTATTTGGTATCTGCAATGCTTCTTGAGATCCCATACATCGCTGCCCATGAGTTTGATGCTCGTCGTAGAATGATTTCTAAACAATTTCATCACCAATTGAGAGTCAGTGAGAGACAGGTATGCAATATTTGTATGATGTGCTCGATAATGCAGTGGTTCTCAATTGTTGGGGTGCGCCCTACAAGGGGGTCTTAGACAAGTTTTTGCCTCATTCAAGCCCACAATAACATGGTCATTTTTCGGCGCTGCAGAAGTGTGTGTACCAATATGGAGGTAACTAATTTTGTTCGCCTACCTTACATCATGTTGTGTAAAGGGACTGAAGCTTATGAGCAGGGGGTATGTATATTCACTTGGTCAACGTAGACAGTCCTCGAACTCGTAACAGAACTGAAATAAGGAAAATCTGAATAAAATTATGGATACCCGTAACCTGGTACACATACTATGGGAGTACCCATTTTCATGGTTTGGGAGTCCAGTATTTTGTGCATATTTATATAAGCGTTTAAATAGCAGTGTCTGTGAAGCCATTAATTTACTAAATATTTTTTACCTGATGTGACAGGCACTCCTTGGACCACCAGATAACATGAGGGAACACGTTGTCGCAGCTGCAAAAGCAATGAAGATGGGAGATCATGTGACTTGTCTGCAGTATATCATCAATGATAAAATGAACAATAAGGTATGTTTTGATAAATAATTTGAACAAAGCCAGGTCCACTCACTCAGAAAGAAGTAAGGGAGACTGGTCTATGGGGGAAAAAAAATAGGTGAACACTAAATGCCAGAGCTATTGAAACACTTGATTATGAGAGGTACACACCAAGAAGTAATGGAAACTCCTTTCTGGGATGGTTGTAATTGGCCTTTGAAATGCCAATAGCTATCGAAACTTATTTCTGCGAGGTGTTTCAGAATTTTCTTGGCATAACTGGCCCTCTTTATATGATATACATGAGTAACTAAGATAGGTCAAAGCAAGGCTCAAAGCCCTCAACTAAAAGTGGATTTGCATTCTAAAATATATATCTATATGTTCACTCGTACAACGTTATATTAATTTTATATGAGGTTTTTCACACTTCCTCACTGGACAAGGCTCTTTAAAGGCAACCATCCACTGATGTCTGAGTAGCCATTAAATAATCATTTTAAATATAATTATTTTACTCCCTTGACTGTAGATATCTCAAAACAACTCGAAATGTAACATTGTTATAATTATACACATGTGTTGGACTCGTTTTCCTGCTAAGTAGCATTTATATGGCAATTTCAAATATAATCATTTTGGATCCCCCCAATATCTTTTAAACAACTCAAAATGTAACATTGTTATATGTGTACTCAGGTTTGGGGATTGTTTTCTGAATCCCATAAAGTCAAAGCAATGTTGGAGGAAAAAATTAAAGAAGAATCATTGAGAACTTACTTGTTCACTTACAGTCAGTTCTATGATAATATGAGGTAAGTAAACCAACTTCAGGAATTTTTCTCATTTTCGTTTCTAGGAATGGAATGGCTTGGTTTGGAAGGTGCTTTCCTGCCTTTTCTTTTAACTAGGCTGTGTACAAACAGCGACTGATACATGAGGAATTAATGTTCTAAGATAGGATGGAATCATTTTGGCAGTACCTTTTCTATAGCAAGCGAGCGAGGTGTTGAGAATGTAATTCAAAACCAATGGTCTAATGATTTTTAAATAAAAATATATCAATTCTTCTTTAAATTTTATACTTTTATTTTAAGATATTTATTTTGGCACATATTCAAATATTCGGTCCAATTTGATATTCCTGTATTCATCTAATTCTAAATACGAAAGTATTGGACATTCTAAGGCTTTTAGAAAAATAAATTACTTGTATTGAGACTATATATTTTTTATTTCAGCATCTCTCTATTATCCGAGCTTTTCCAATTAGACCAAGCGTCCTGTCATCGTATCATAAGTAAAATGATTTTTAATGAAGAACTGGCAGCCTCTTGGGATGAGCCTTCATCTAGTTTGGTTCTTCATAAAACTGATCCTACTAGACTACAGAATATGGCTTTACAATTGGCTGATAAGGTGAGAATTGCTTTTTAAGTGTTATTGTTGAAGTGTAGAGGTATCACATTGAATCCTGTAAACCTATAGTGTGTGTACAAGTTTAGGGATATAATTTTATTCCGATTTTCCTTATTTTAGTTCTATTACGAGTTCGGGGACTGTCTGTTCGCTGAGTGAATATACCCACTGTCCATCGGTTTCAGTCCCTTTAGACAACTTGATGTAAAGTAGACGAATAAAATTAGTTATCTTCATATTGGTACACACAATTCTGGAGCGTCTTGAAGTATAAAAAAGATGTTGTTATATTGGATGTGAAGTTGCCTTTATATCCACTTGTAGGTTCGGCTGTTAGAACTCAACTGTTAGTAAAATGTGATTTTTTTCAAAACCTTTACAAGTTATTACCTAATGTACATATGTGAAGTCCATGCACCTAAAACAAATAAATGACTAACTAATCCCATACTCGACATGGACTGGTAGCTGGACGAGAGGCCGTGGTTGGTCATATGATTAAGTCGTCTTATCTTCTTTCTGCTGCTTCGAGAGAAATATGTAAATCCTATCCTATGTAAATTTTAGTCTCTTTCCGGTATAACAATGATAAAGTTTTTGTCTTCTATTCCCAGGTGACAGCACTAGTTGACGTCAATGAAAGAATCTTGGAATCGAAAAGTTCTGGAGGTGGATTCCAGAATTACAGACAAGGTAGAGTAAATGATTAGTATATAAAGAGTAATAAATATAACTTTTGTGCTGGTACTCCCGTAGTATGTTTACCAGGTTAGGGTTAGGCCCTAATTTTATTCAGATTTTCTTTATTTTAGTTCTGTTACAAGTTTGGGAACTGTCTGTGTTTACTAAGGGAATATACCCCCTGCCCATAGGTTTCAGTCTCTTTACACAACTTGATGTAAAGTAAACGAACAACATTAGTTACCTCCATATTGGTACACATACTTCTAGAGCGCCCTTTTTCTTTTCTATTGCTGGTATTATGAAATCACATTCCATATTCATGAAAACAACAAAATTCGACCCATGTAGGAAACACTGGCCTAGAGCATTATTTAACATGATTTTAGCTGGGTAAAGCGCATATCTTTCTACATTGTATTTTGGAATTTATCCATTATCTATCAAAGAGATACAGAGTGTTTATAAAGTCGCGTATTAGATTATGTAAAATAATTTTGATGGGCGCTCCAGAAGTATGTGTACCAATATGGAGGTAACTAATTTTGTTCCTACATCTGTCCCAAGGGACTGAAGCCTATGGGTAGGGGGCATTTCCACTTGGCTAACACAGACAGTCCCCAAAATTGTAATAGAACTAAAATAAGGAAAATCGAAATAAAATTATGACCTAACCTGTTACACATACTTCGGGAGTACCCTTTGATGTGCTTCGCGCAACTATGGGTGGCCATATACATCATATACAAAGATATATTTTTGTATTTCCAACCTGAGAATGAAAAAATATCTTCTTTGGAAGGAATTCTTTCTTGATTGAGAACTCTTGCCATAATTATCATCTTGTACACCAGGGGTGGGCACGGTTTTTAGATCAGGGGCCAAAAATTTTGCCCACCTAGACTGGCGGGCCAAGTAAGTATGACGTAAAGAGTCTTGTTACAAAAGCAACAGTGGAAAACAATAAACCTCGCGCCAAAACTATGTTTAACCGCAATCTCAAGAAATTCCTTGATCTATTTTTAACCTAAATATCAAAATTTGGTTTCAGTTTAGTTGTGGCAGCATCAAGTGGGCCGGATTTGGCCCGCGGGTCGTACTTTGCCCATGTCTGCTGTACACCCTCTGTAATATGCTTGTATTTTCTTTCAGACGGTCAAGATCAAAGGAATTACCAACAAGGTGGTCGTGGCGGTAGACGCAATCAGCAGAATTACCGGGGAGGTTACAACAATAGGAGAGAAGGCGGGGGTGGGGGTGGATACTTTTCCAAAGGTGGTTACCAAGGCAATCGATCTGGTGGTTACCAAGGTAACCGATCTGGTGGTTACCAAGGCAACCGATCTGGTGGTTATCAAGGCAACAGAAGTGGTGGTTACCAGGGATCTTATGGGAATAGAAGTGGGGGTTATCGCAAACAATATTAAATTTTTTGAAATATTCGGATGTTGGGCAGAACGGATAACGGATTTAGGCACTTCTTGATATATCTGGCTGCATTTGTTTTTGCATTTTACTGTAATACACCTATTCTGACATCTTTGGCTTGAATATCTTACGATCTTTCTATTAGGATAAAATTACAATTTTACAGTGTGTAATCTCGAAAGATCAAGATTTCATTGACCAATTACAACTCTTAAAAACTATTTGATTTTTGGTGGCCAATTCTTGGGCAGGGGAATCTGGAATTTATTAATTCCATGCTTGCTGTTAAGTGGCTATATTAATTCTTATTGGAGCTTAGGCACTCAAAAAATTAACGAAATAATTTATTGCTGGGGGGTGTGAGTGAATGCGATAAAATAATGCTTTTCGAACTACACAACTGTCGTCTATTTAGCCCACTGTTCTTATGTAAATCAATCATGTGTGTGCCATCGGAGTTTTATGAGCAGATGTTGTGTTAATATGGATTGAAATGAATAAAGAAATTGTTCCAGTATTGCAGTGTGTTCATTTTGAGGGTATATGCCAGGATGTCGAAAGCAACGGGTGTTCACCGGTAGACATAGTCTGGTAATCGGCCTTAACAAGATGATAGGATTTATCCCGGGGAGAAGAATGCAGATAAGACAGCTTCTTGATATGGCAAACCACGGCCTCTCGTCCGGTTACCAGTCCATGTCTGGTACGGGATCACTTGGCCTGTTATTTGCGTGGTCTTGAGGCCGTAGATCGCCATTTAAATGAGTTGTATTGTTAGTTTTCCTGTCTCTCTTAGGATAAATATGACAATTCAGTACACATTTAATATTTGTTATACAGGGTGTCCATAAAGTCCCTCCACAATTTCAATTTTGTTATGGAGTCGGTTCTCAATATATCTTAACCAGGTTTGTTGATTTTCTAATCAGTAATTGTTCAAGTACTTTTACTTCATTTATTGAATTTTGTGCGAGTCTTTGAATTCGAAAATCTGACAAGGTACAATATACGACGTCTTTATATTAAAAAAAGGAAAAGTCAGTAGCTTGCTTCGCCAAAAGCCCGAAATAGGCCCAGTCCTTTATTAAATCTTCGCTACGAAATAAAGCGTTTGTACGTTTTGTTTCGCTGTCCCTAACAGTTTAAGACGTTTTCATGTTTAAATACTGTAAACTCGATAATAAAGCCGTGATTTTCCAATTTTCACAAAATAACGGAAAAACGCGGCGCTCCGGAAGTATATGGACCAAGATGGCGGACACCGTAATGTAGTATGTGTACTAGATTAGATTCCAATTTTCCTTATTTCAGTTCTATTACGAGTTCGGGGACTAGCCAAGTGACTCCCTTGGTATTTATACCTGAAATTATGGCCCAACTCTAACCTGTTGCGCATACACCGGTGTTTGCCATCTTGGTTCATATGCTCCTGGAATACAAAAAACGCTTGTCAAAAATTGTCAATGACGCCTGGAAAGGCCTCTTTGATCATTTTTATATATGACAAAAAGTATTTTTAACTGCGAAAAAATTATTGCAATTAAAAAGTGTAAACTGTCGAGCCACATAAAGTGGAAACTTTTCAAGTGCAATTGTATTTATGTATTATCGTGTGTATAAAAAGTGATGTTTTTATGAATAAAAAAAAACTTGAGAACTTCTGCAATATGTATACTCACATGGGAGCGCGCAAAATTTTTTTACGTCATATATGTCATGATATCATATTTTGTATTTTTCGAAAATTCGTTGTGACGTCATATTAGATTCGTATAAATGATATATGATGACGTCATTAATTATTTTTTTTTTCCGCACTTACGTAGAATACAGAGTTGCAGGAGTTTATCACGCAAGTATATTGATACCTGGAATTTGAAAACGAATTGATGGAGCAGACAAAAGCAACATCGTTCATTATGTGCGTGAGTTAAGCAAATATAAATCACAAATCGAATATATATTTCCCAACGATCCAAATTAAAAATGACATTTCCAAGAACTCTTCAAACACAAAACTTATAATAAACTTATTCTTATTAAACTTTGATTCATGCCACCATAGGTAGGCAATTTCAGATGAGTGCGACGCGCCCATGCCCCCCATCTATGATGTAAAAAGCGCAGGCCTGGGCTTGATAATGCAATGCGAGACACAGTCACGTACGCATTTCATTCCACAAACACAAAATTAACGGCGCTTTATGAGTATGTGTACCAATATGAAGGTAGCTTATTTTGTTCGCCTACTTCACATCAAGGTGTGTAAAGGGATTGAAACCTATTGGCCTTTATTCACTTGGCTAACACAGACAGTCCACGAACTCGTGGAAGTAATAGAACTAAAATAAGGAAAATCGGAAGAAAACTATGGTCTAACTCTAATCCTAACCGAGTACACACACTACGGGAGTACCAAATTAACTATAGGCCTAAGGCAAGTTACCACAATTGCACCAAAAGGAATTTTTTTCAACTGCAGCTCTGCACATTTACTCAGCACAAGGCTCTACACAACTTCAACAATATACACTTACAGTGGCATACGCTTTTCTCAGGGCAATCAGATGCGACAAATGCTTGGCTGTAAACGTGTTCGCATGTGTGTACTGAACTGATGGCCATGACTTTATTCCGATTTTAGTTCTATTTCGAGAACTGTCTGTTTTAGCCTAGTGGATATACCCCTACCTATAGGTTTCCGTTCCTTTACACAGCTTAATGTAAAGTAGGCGAACAAAATTAGTTACCTCCATATTGGCACACATACTTCTGGAGCGCCCGTGTTTGTACGGACCTACTAACCCTAACCTGGTACACATACTACGTCAGTACCCGAACACAGACGCATATTAAAAGGGTCCGACATCAGGGGTCGGGAATCTTTTGTCACTGGCCAAAAATTACGGTTGTAAGTCATTGGTGGGTCGCACATATTTCTAGAAAGTTGGAAACCGAACAGATGATACTTTTTATAATAAAAATCATGCAGTGATATATCTCTCGAATAGAATATAGATTTACTTCCTCATTGCAGAGAGAGAGTGTGAACCTGTAACCTATAACACCGGTGAAACCCTTGTTTTGACTATCCCCAAATATCAATAATCCCACACACATTTTTTAACAACTTCAAAGGCGACTGTGAAACAAATGCTAAACAAAACGTACCCAATTTATTACACCCCGCGTGAGGGCGTAGTACTTGAACCCGGGATTCAACAAGCTGTACCATCGTGATGAAGCCTAATGCCTCACCAAAGTGTCCTCGTGCGTATTCGCCGACTAAAAGCAGCCACGACTCGCTACAATTTTATATTTTTATATTAATTTTTAAGACATAAACCGTAAATAAATATTAATGCCCGGCATTTAATTTAATTCTGGGATTTTGACATGTTTTAAAAGATGCGATGATGATGCGTGCCCTTTCTAAACTTCATTCAAAGCTTTACCGCGTGCCTCTGTCTTTGCTTCGTTTATATTTTGGTACTTACGATACACAAGAAATAATACAGTATTATGGGCTGCATTTTGCGATAAATATTTCTAATTATTGTAGAGTTTACAGTGATGTCGTGTCGTGGGTAGGACATAACAAAAGTCACAATCTTAGGTAAGCAAAAGGCTTGAATACGTCATCTAGCTCTTTAAACTGCTAACCAGTCGAGAGCACTGTTTATGATATGGCTAATCCATCATTTACACGTCAACTTTACAGTACTTTACAGTCGTACCAAAAATGCAAAAAAATAAAGATCTTGGTCAGACCCTTTCTCAGGGCATAGTTCCTTCAGCCCTGCCAAGCGACTGAAGCCCCTCTCGCAATAGTGTTGGTTTCGCTACCCCCTCCCCCCCCCCAAAAAAAAAAAAAATTTCTCAAACCTCGCTGTCAGACTGTTTTAAGTTATACTTGTTTCTAGTCTTTCTCTCTTATATGATTCGAGAAAAATATATCATATATTAGGCTTGTTACAATTTATTAGCTACCAATCAGTTACAATAAAATTTATATAGTTAATAACTAATATTGATTTAAAATTGAAATTAGAGAAAAAAATACACATATGGTATGAACATTGAGATGCCTAAACCGAACCAAATATTTAAATGCTTTTGAAATTGGTGGTCTTCGACATGAGTAATCCTTGGCTTTGAGAATGATTTAAAAACTTTTTATTCAGAAATTTGTAATTGCTCGGCATATAATTCATTTCTGATAATTGTAGAGGTTGCGCAATCAAATGAACAAAGTTTCAACATTATAATGCAATTCAATTTTTAACAATGATTAATGGAGAAATGCTGCTGGAATTTAGAATATTTTTTGATATTACATATTTAGGAATAATTTTTCAAAATAGTGAATTAATTGGTTTTGGGCATCCTTGTAATAGGCAGAATTGAAATATATATAAAAGTCAAATTAGTTTTGAACGTGAAAGACTCCTGATAGCATATTAAACAGTCTGGGCAACAGTTTTGATACTTGGCGGTGAAGGAGACAAGATTTATAATGATTTCACTTGGTTATTCGATATTCTCAGGCGAAAACAACGTCAACTCAAATCGACCTAAGTGATTTAAGAGTTTTGCTGCACACTAACACATATAAGGATAAGAGCTTATCCTCGCAGAAACCAAATGATTGGCGCAACTAAAATCGAATTTGAGCATTTTTTATTTATTTAAATTTTTCAGAGCAAATTCGCCAATACTAAAAGTAGATAGAATATTGATAAAAAGAATTGCAAGCAAATACTGACGCACATTGAGCCGCCTGTTAATTTATTTGTGCTGATAAATTTGGTACAGTGCGTTCAAGAGTATCTAATGTTCAAAGTTATCATTGATATAAATGTATGGAAAATGAATTGCTATAAATGCAATTAATACTTTACAGCAGGGGTTCCCAAACTTTATTGACAGCGGGCCAAAATTAGAATAGGAAGGATGTTTGCGGGCCGGAAGAAACATGTTTGTTTGACTCATAATGGCGCTTTATGTCGCATTGCCACAGAACTGGAATAGTTCGTTGGAAAAGTGGACAAATCGCTGAAGTTTGATTCCTTTCAATACAGAAATACAAGTCTAGTTTATGTTTTTATTTGTCATCTCAAACCTTTCTCACATGACTGAAAACTAAATTACTGCCCTATGTATTCCTAATACCGGTACGTATAACTGATATATTGGTATAATCGAATTGCTATAATAAACACGAGCTTAAACTGCGATAATGACATAACGATTGACGAAAAGGTAGAAACAAAATCTGTTTCACAATTCCACTTAAGCTCGGCGGGCCATTTTGAATCGTTACGCGGGCCGGATTTGGCCATCGGGCCGCGGTTTGGGAACCCGTGCTTTACACGGATTAGTATTTGTTTGCAGTAGATTTATGGTTTTGATAATTACTTGGAAAAGTGAAAAGAGATAAATTTACAATTCGCTTTTTTGATCAAACTAAACTATGGGTACACCGGAACATTGTATGTGTACCAGATTAGGTTTAGG